GCTCGTAAAACGGGGCCTTCCAGGAAGGTAGCTCGAAGAGACGCAGTGAGTTGTTCGTTAGTAAAGATAGGACGAAAGTTGTGAGGGTTCACTTGGGCGTAGCCGATATTCCCCTCTTTAGGGTAGACGTCCCAGCGTCTAGTTATCGAATCAGGTTTCTCGCCGAGTTTCCCCGGTCGGAAGCGAATGACCATATTAAATTGATGTAAAAATTCTGACCATCGGACCTGTCGGCGTGTGAGAATCTTGGTAGTAGAGAAATACTCAAGATTTTTGTGATCGGTGACGACGTCCACCGGATCACCCGAGCCTTCCAGATAATGACGCCAAGCTTTAAAGGCCTCGAAGATGGCCAGTAGCTCTTTGTCGTGTGTATCATAGTTGAGTTCCGCCGCATGAAGCGTTCTGGAAAGGAAGGCTAGAGGATGAATTTCACCGTCAGCATATTGGATGGAAAGAATAGCCGCAATGGCGTAATCGGAAGCGTCGGTTTCCACGATAAGTGGGCGATTCGGCTCCCAATGGGCCAGTATCGGCGCAGAAGTAAAAGCGATTTTGAGGTTTTCGAAGGCCTCTTGACAGCTGCTGTCCCAGATCCAGGGAGCGCCTTTTCGGGTAAGCCGAGTCATCGGCACAACGATATCGCTATAATTATAAATGAAACGACGATAGAAATTTGCAAAACCCAGAAAGGACTGAATGTCCTTGACCTTCCTCGGAACCGGCCACTCTAGAACTGTCTGAACTTTCTCTTTGGACATGGTTAATCCATCGGGAGAAAGAATGTAACCCAAATACTCAACAGTATCCATATTGAATTCGCACTTCTCGGGGTTGACGTAAAGCCGATGTTTCCGTAACCGCCGAAGAACCTCCTTGACGTGTTCTCGGTGTTCTTCTGGCGTATCAGAGTAGATCAGAATATCGTCAAGATAGACGATGACACAGACATCGAGCATGTCAGAGAAGATGTCATTAACAAACCGCTGGAAAGCCGCAGGGGCGTTCGTAAGGCCGAACGGCATGACCTTCCATTCGTAAGAGCCGTAGTGGGTCCGAAAGGTGGTTTTCCATTCGTCACCTTCAGCGATTCTGACTAGATGATAAGCGTGAGCGAGATCCAATTTGGTGTATATTTTAGCTCTTTTCGGAGCGTCGAGAAGATCTGATATGAGTGGGAGTGGGTAACGATCCTTTTTGGTAATACGATTGAGTCCACGGAAATCGACGCAAAGGCGAAGTTTGCCGTCTTTCTTCGGGACAAAAAGGACCGGAGCGCCGTGAGGAGAGGATGATGGGGTGATGGCACCAGTAGCCAGCTGTTTGTCAATAAAGTCTTTAAGGGCAACTAGCTCCTTTTCAGACAAAGGGTATATACGGCCGAGAGGCGGCGAAGCGCCTTCTTCCAAGTCAATCTTCAGGTCGTAAGGTCTGTGTTCAGGAAGTGAATCTGCAGCAATCTCGTCGAAGACGTCTGCAAACTCTGCGTACTCTTCTGGGATAGAAGGATGGAGTGGAGGGACAGTAGGAGTGGTGGAGGAGCGGTCGGCGGCGCGGGCCGCGACCTCTGAGTGGATAGCACGAAGTAAGATGGGTTCCATACCAGCGTCCTTGCAAGCCCTGTTAAAGACTGCAGCACTGACAAGTGCAATGTCGACCTCGGGAGTTTCCAGTTGAGCAGCGAATTGAGAGACCGTAGGGTAGGAGTAGATGGGTTCAAAGGGGAATTTGGACGAGAGGGGCTTGGCCCGTAAAGTCCGAGAGCGGGAGCGAGAGCGGGAGCGAGAGCGAGAGCGGGAGCGAGAGCGAGAGCGAGGTGAGTCCCCAGGAGGGGTCTCCAGAATTGTCGGTGAAACCGACGGCGAAGGTTCCGGTAGCGGAACAGCGACCTTTGCATCAACGGTGTTGATAGCAGAAGGCACAGACGTCTGTGGAGAATCAGGATGTGAAGTGTTACGGAACGTAATGTTTCGAGATACCCAGTCAATCAACGGATTGTAGCGGGATAAGAAACTGTAACCTAATACTGCTTTACAAGATGAATCTAAATGTGTAACATAGAAGGGTAAGAGAAGCAGCTCGCCGGAAGGAAACCGAACGGCGATATTCGCCATATCGGTAATGGGTTTAGAAGACAATGAACCATCAAAGAGACGAAGATTAACAGGAGAAATTTTGGTCGTAGGAATAGAGTTCTGAGAAACATAACGAGTATCGATGAAAGAGTCAGTAGAACCAGAATCAACAAGAGTAGGAAATTTGAGGAGAGCAGAGATGGGTTCGGCCGGCGCGGCCGAATCGGATAACGAGAATTCAGTAGTTAATGAAATTACAAGAGAACGTTCAATGGAAGAAAGAGCGGACGCGTTGAGATATAACTCCCCAGGTGAGGTACGAACCTGATCAACGCAGCTCCCGTTTCGTACCGGGGAACAAGAGCTGCGGATTAGTTTTCCGAATCCTCTTCAACAACCTCAATGGTTGCTTCGGGGGTTTCTTCAACCTCGGCAGCGCGGCCCTTCGATTCTCGGGCTTTTCGCTTATTGCAGTCAGCAATCTGATGCTTACCACCGCAGAAGAGACAAAGGTTGTTCTTCATCCTTCTTTCCCGTTCGGAGGGAAGTACTTTACCATCTGCTCCTAGATGGTTGAACGCGGGGCGCTGACCGCCGGATTGGCCGGAATTCGAAGAGTTCTGGGGCTTACCATTGTTGTTAGGCTTACCACCAGAGAAGGGTTTAGGTTTCGGCGCGAGCGGCGCCGAAGAGCCCGAAGGCTGAGAATTGTTTTGCTGGTTAGTAGAACCAGTCTTGAAGTCCGAGGAACCCTTCTTCGGGTTCCGAGCAATAAAAGGCTTACCAGCCTCGCACTTCCTAGTTTCCTCGCGTTTCCAATAACGATTGTCAATGCGAAGAACCTCTTGACGGTAATCGGCGAGCGTCGCCGGCTCGGGCAAACGCGCCATTTCGTCCTTGATGCGCTCAGCTAAGCCTCGTCCATAAGCCCATTTCAGGGCAGCAGAATCCCAGTTGGTACTAGCAGCCAGGGTGTTGAACCGGATATTGTATTTCCGGATGTTCTCGGTTTCCTTCATCTTCAGATTACCGAGAGAATCTTCGGCCTCGCCTTGGGCGTCGTAAACGCCGAAATTGTCCTGAAGCTCCTTTACCAGGGCCTTGAAGGAGGACGTCCAGGCCGGCAGCGAGTCGAGATCCGGATCGAGGATATCAGGGACAAACCATTCTTTGGCTGACCCACTGAGATAGGAAAGGGTATAGTTCACCTTCCATTGGTCGGTGAAGTACTTGGGACGGTCATTGAAGACCAGGGCGAGATTGACGAAGAACGTCTTGAGTTTTCGGGGATCCGAACCGTCGAATACCTCGGGTTCCTTGACCTTACTCTTAGATTCAGAGCTGTCAGAGGGACGGCCGAGTGCGGCGAGAACGGTACCGAGGGTTTCAATGGAACCCTTGAATCCCGAGAGAAGATCCAACATAGCTCGTTGCTCGTTGGGGATGTCAGGAGAATTAGGAGAACGAGGACCACCAGGTCCACCAGGACCACCAGGTCCGCCGGGACCGCCGGGACCGCCAGGCCCACTGGGGTCACCAGGCTCACCACGCGGTAAACCGCCGGAGTCGTCATCCAGATCGTCATTGTTGTTGTCGGCACCCGGATCGTCGGGGTCGACAGGAGGGTCTTGATCATCGGGATCACCAGTATCCAAATCGAAATGAGGAGGTGGGTCACGAGGAGATTCAGAAGCAGCTCGACGTTGGGGTTGTTTTCCCGTACGGCGGGCTATGGCTTGGAGAATTGGAGAATCAATTCGAGCAGTTGACCGGCCCCGAGCCGGAGCGACCACGGGGGGTTGTCCACGGCGAGGGGTCAAGACTTGGACAGGTTGTCCGTCACCGGTGTACAAAGTGCTGTACTCAAATTGCTGATCTTCTTCCATGGCTTCAGGAAGAGTTGACGTAGTAGGAACTGTGGCTGGACCGAAACCGCGATTACGGCGACGTGGTTGACCGATGGCAGAGATAGAGTCGGAGAATGGGGCAAATGATTGAGCTGTGGTGAAGAAAGTGTTTTCTTCGGAATTAGCTCTGGATTGAGCTCGAGTTTTCGGAGGCATAAAAAATGATATGTCAGTACGACGTTACGGATTGAGTTTAATTATACTGTTAAGATCATGTACACCGTGCAACCGTGCCAAGGCCACAGGGTGTCTAAGTGCGGAAGACGAATGGGACAGTAGTGAAGTTATTAACAACACCGCCGTTACGCCGTTAGTCCCCGGAGAGCGAGAGTAGAGAGAGAGGAGCTAAGTAGCAGCCAGGTCGGGGCGGCGGTATCGCCGGTGACGAGGAGCGGACCAGAGAACGTTAAAGTCCTAAGGTCGAGGAGAACGTACTTCGAGGCGTTGAGCCTGAAGACTTTAGAGAAGAGTTAAGTTGAGAAGGGAGATCTAAGTTGATCTAAGTTGATAATTAAACTGAGGAACTACAGTAGCGTACAGGCAGTATTTATATCTACGGATCGGCGCAGCGGTGCGGAGCGCCAGACTAACTACTAGGAGCTATACGAGTAGTACCTGCAGGGTAGAGTAAAAGACAATAAGAAGGGACTAGAACGAAAGGGTATGTGTAGCGAGAAAGAACAATAAGAGTGAGATAACAATAAGGAGCAGATCTTCGGAATACCGAGCGGCGGAATGGAGGCCCGCGGCATGGACTTGACAGAATGCCAACACTGTCCGATCACTAGGATGTTTGGGATAGGCGTTATGAATAAAACACATACTGTAAAACACATTTCTAGTTTTCGGAGGTCCATCAAAGGGGTAACAATTGTGATATTTCTTTCAAACCGCTTTGTCCTATATGGAATGTCATTGTCCTCGTTGTAAACAAAGACCTGCAAATGCACTATAAAAGTCCAGAAATTCCTCAATCGTTCTTTCCATTTCCCTATCTCTTGAGAACACTCTTCTAATCATGTCTACTGTGAGTCCATGACTGCCCGACTTTGATAAACTCTCATCGGATTCTCAGAAAGTTCGCATCTTGTCATCCGATACTCCGCACTTGAAATTGCTAGAGCAGCGTGCTGAGCAGGGACGCCAGGAAGTCCTTGAGCTCCGCAATAAGGTTCAGGAATTAAGCACTCAAATATGGAACCAGTATCAAAGGATGTGCGAAACAAATGTATGTCATTGTTCTCTACGCTTAGCCCTTGTAGTAACATAAAACAGGCCGAATCAATATGCCTCGAATTAGGGATAGAGAAGCTGAAATCGGTGATCGTCGATGAAACAGCTATGAAAATAAATCTTCGGACCCAAATTTTGGCCTCTCTGGGCTGTGACCTGGCTGATGAAGGATGTATTGAGGCGATCACAACAAGCGAAGTATGCAGAGTTAATATTACAACTCTTTGGGAAGGACTCATACTCAGCAATTAGTCAACACGTTTTTGGTCTTTCCTGGAAAGATCCCGGTCCTCAAACGCTGAATTGACCAAAGAACCAAGTGTACCAAGTGTTCGTTGTCAATCCTGCTTATTTCTTATATCTTTTGCGTACTTGACTGTGTAGGTACCACAAAACTCTGTCTGCCCACAAGGGGAACTATCGCAAGGCTCAGAATCTAGCGTGCGTTGATCTATCTTGCGTCCTACATCTTCTGCGTACCTGAGTGCTTTTTAGGCACCATCCAAGTCTCCATCTTGTATACAGAAGGAAATAAATGACGAGGAATTCAACGTATGTCATTCTGCTGTTTGCTTGATGTTGTGCATCACCGGGTATGTAGGCATTGCCGGATACCATTAATTGCTTACAGGAAGATGAGGAATTGAGAGTGCGTCGATCCGATCTTTGACATTCCCACTTATCTCATACTAACTGAGCATGCAGACACCACTGAAATTTCCTTCTTGCCTGCCAGAAGGATTGGAAGAGGTAGAGCTAACGACGCTGTTGGCCATACAATGTACGGAGCTTCAGAAGATGGCAGGAAGCTTGTCGGACGCGTCACTCTTCCAACAGTGCACTCGTTTATGCGATCTAGCGTACAAAATGAAGTGATTCTTGCTATGTAGTATTACACACTGATTAATTCAGGCCTCAGCCTTTATTGTTCGATACATTGTTTGTTCGAAGACTAAATCCCGCGTAATCAATATAGCATTACAATGTTTTAGAGAATTTTGAGACCGACTAGCCCATTACTCCAATTTCTCCGCTGGCTGTTGTCGAGTGATTTTCAGATTTCAAGGATCATTGAATATATTATGTACCCAATACATACAAAGTTCCGAAGTGAAATGCTACAAACATCACTGCTATCAACTCTCCTACCATAGATAGCATCCACCATACAATGAAAGTACATATGAAGGCACCCGCTAAGATTATCGCATCCACAGCAACTTTCAGGACGGCATTCCTCTGTTAAAGCAGGCAAATGAATGTCAGGGTGTAGCGATTTACATCAAATGTCACTTACTTCCTTTGGAGCTTGTACTCGTTCCGGAGAATAGTACTGGACAAAGATAAACGTTGCGACACTGGGAACGACAAACCCAATGGTAACAGCATGTGGCTGACCAGGAAACATTTTCGCGAGCTTCCAAAGCAATTTGATTGTGAACCCTAGATAGCTCAGTATTCCTGCATTGAATAGTATTTTCGGGAGTTGAATATGAGGAACCTAGATATAGAAGGAGTGAGTGCATGTCCACGAAGGTTGGTATGAGCACGCACAATGGAATCTGTAGAGAAGAAGTGACTACCAGAGTAGATCCAATGGCGTGCATTGGAGGGAGTCACAGTGGGGGTAACCTCAAGGCTCACTGCACTTCCGACAGCTCCTCGAGCAGAACTCAGATGCGCGTCAAGTTGGGTCGTCTTCACTTCATCAGGAACCACTCCTACTGACTGTTGAATAGAATCGAGCTGTGCTGTCTTCTTTGCAGCAGGATGCACCGCTGACTGCGAGCGCTGAGTAACGCGGGTGTCACCCAACAGTGGAGATCTGGAAGGGTCCGTTGAAAACGACGATCGACGATTTCCACGTTGGTGATCGAACGACTCCGACTCCGAGCTTTGCACTTGTTCGAGTTGCTGCGAGACGACCAGTCAGACCGAGCGAGGCAACGATCAACCATAGATATACCAATATTGGTTCCTCACCATGACCACTTGACAATTTATCTGCTAAACTCCTGGATTCGTACCACCCCTCGTTATTGGGGACAATTTTCGACAACGACGGACTGCTCATGGAGCTAGTAAGCGAGAAGACACTTGTATACTGCAACGCGCGCTAATGTACGGTTTGAAACCAGGACTAAGCCGAAGTGATGTTCGAAGATGAAGAGGAGACTAGTCTCGATGTCACGAGGATGATTCTGGACTTCAGATTCGTGACCGCATGTGACAGTCACATAAGCAACGTATCTCTGAGACTTCCACTACAGAGTCAAACTCAGTAGCAGCCTCTATCTCTATCTGGACATTGCATCTACCTCTCAGCATGTTACCCGATGTGCTCCTCTATCTATCTTGTCCTCCCACGGCGTTACCAAAAAATCGTTTGAAATCTCATCGGGCACCTTGCGACATCTAATTTCTCTCCTCATCTGCATTTGCAGTTGCTATTTATGTTCCACAAGGCGATTGCTACAGAGTTAAACTCAGTAGCAGCCTATATCTGATCTCATACAGTTTGTTCGGAGTCCTACTCAGCATCCGACGCCCATATCTGAATATCGACCTCGTTCCGTCCTAGTACCGTCAAATTTACATGCTCTACGACAGCATTCAATGTCCCTCCCTGGTACTCAAACACTCTCACATTCGGGCCGCATGCTTACATGACAGCAAGCTATGTACAAAATGGCGGCTTAAATAGCAGCACAGGTACATACCACAAGGCGGATCAGGACTGAAGGCGGTTCACGAGTGTGCAAGGTTTGTCGTCTCACGCATCCATTTCCCGATACTTCATTTAATACACTATATCTAGCCGGGGCATCAACGATATAGCGAGAGGAGTAAAGCCTTTACGAGCTGACCACTTCCCCGATAGATCCCGATAGGCGTTCATTCTCAGCCAGGGAGGGTGTCGTCACCGGGTTTTCCATCTCTCAATCCATCTTCTCAAAACCGTGGCAAATGAAGGCTGATTCTGGGTCTGGTGTCTCCATCTTTTGCTTATTAACGGCTGGTACGTACTCAGGATCTACTCTGGTTCTATGTATGTTCAACATCACAAGTAGGGCGTCTTGAGTGAGGTATCAGCAGCAACCAAATTTGAGCGAGACATATTAGCCTGAACGGGCAGTCTCTGGTAAACGAAGCTTGTTGCACGGTATTCCAGTGATATTGAAGGTCAGTCATCAACATTGATATCTGTTTATAACTCTCGCAATGCCAACACTCATCAAAATACCAGGATAATATCGCCACCATCACCTCTGAGGGTGAATGTCTGACGTATATCGCATTCTGGAATCACTCAGCCTTATTTCACTGCAGGGATGAACACGACAGCTGGATCGTTTGCTTTGCTTGGATCTATTGTCCCGGACGACGCAGGTGTCGTTAAGAAACTTCGGGAAGCAGGCGCTATCATTTTGGGTACGCCTGTCAGTCCCTGTCACACCCTCTCCAGAGCATTCACGATCTTCCTGCACCTCCTTTGTCTTCCTTACAGGCAAAGCAAACCTTTCAGAATTCGCCGAGTTTCGAGGCAATCTTCCCTCCGGATGGTCAGGTCGCGGTGGCCAAACGACAAACGCCTATTTCCCAAGCGCTGATCCATGTGGTTCGTCTTCTGGATCGGGTGTCACCACTTCCATTGGTTTAACCACTGTCGCGCTGGGTACTGAGACGGATGGGAGCATTACGTGTCCAACAGGTAATAACAATTTGGCGGGGGTCAAACCCAGTGTAGGGTTGATTTCTCGTGCTGGAGGTGGGTTGATTTTGGTTTTCTGTTCCAGTTCTTCTATGTACTGACATGTGTACCACAGTCATACCCATCTCTGAACATCAAGACACCGTAGGCCCAATGGCTAGGTCGATAACCGATGCCGCCATCGTCCTCTCCCTCATCGCCGGAAAAGATCCCAATGACAACTTCACACTCGCTCAACCCCCCATTGTCCCTGATTACACGAAAGCTTTGAACCCCAACGCCTTGGTAGGAGCTAGAATTGGTGTTCCGCGAAAGGTCTTCCTTGATGGTAGTGACTTGACGGGAAACGGATCTGAGTCGGCGATCGGATTAGCGTTCGAAAAAGCCTTGGATGTTATTAGGGATCTTGGAGCCACCGTTGTAGATCCTGCGGATCTCCCTTCTGCAGAAGAGATTGCAAGGTCCAATAATGAGACGGTCGTGCTGGATACGGATTTCAAGGCAAGTACTTACCCTGTCACCCCGGCTGCCTGATATGCTGATTACGCTTCAGATACAAATCAATGCCTGGCTTGAAGGTCTCATCAGTATTCCGAGTGGCGTACGCAGTCTAGCCGACCTCATAGCGTTCGATAATGCCAATCCTTCATTGGAGGAACCAGTAAATTTTACGTCACAGTCCGAGTGAGTACAAGTCTCAAGCAGAGAATTAACTGCGCCTCTTCCCAAACTTGGTCCTGACTGGCTATGGGCTCGGTTGTTACACTGTAGATTCATCGCATCCGAGGCTACCACCGGATTCACCGATGCCTACTTCCGGTCCCTGGCTTTCGATAAAGAGCTTGGTGGTGCACAGGGTATTGACGCAGCTCTGGAGATGTTTGATCTGGATGCCCTGGTTCTTCCTGCTCAAGGGTTGACTACGGTACCTGCCGGTAAGCATTTTTCCTTTCTCCTCAGGATATTTGTAACTAAGTATTTTACGTTCTCAAGCTATCGCAGGATATCCCATCGTTACAGGTGAAAGGGTCTTTAACATTGCGTCCTTATTTCATTCATCCGTCCTTCTTTAGTGCCTCTAGGTTTCTTCCCCTCCAACGTAACCATTGGTAGTGCAGGTCCAGAAACCGTATGCCCGGCTCCTGGCGTTCCTTTCGGTCTGTCGTTCTTGGGCACAGCGTTTTCAGAATTCGATTTGATTGGGTTTGCATTTGTGTATGAGCGAAAGACAAAGACGAGGCTTGAGAGGAGAGCGTTCCTGGCTGCAATACCAAAGACGCAGTTGAAGGATATTCTGGGATAAGCCTCTCGGTAGGGTCTCGGGTGAATAAAAAGTGTACTGGAAGTTCATTCATCAAAATAGGCCGAGGATATATATTCAGAGTATATTCATGAGCTAACGCTCTCGGTCTATCAACACTGAATTGGGATTGGGTGTTAAAATGAGAACCACAAGTTCCAAACCTGTCCCCCTGAAGCAAATACAATCTCAGAGTCAAATTTCTAGTAGATCTGGCTCCCACACTGTCCCCATGCCGAAGACAGATTCTTCGCGGACTTGTACGTTCTTGATTATTTTAGGATCACCATGGAATGCATATTCGATAAAAACCGGTATCTGGAAGCCAACCTAGATAACCCAATCTATGCCATTCATGATTAGAATGTCTTCGACATTATCTTGTTATGAACTCGATTATGATATCCTGTGTCACACTCGACGAAGTTGTACCCATGATCAAAGCTACAGGTTCCCCGTCGAGCTGCAAAACCCCAAATTTCGACTGTAAATCAAAATACATTCACTTTGTTTTAAAAGTCCAAGAAAATCCGCTACAAAGGATAAGCCACGGATACACATCTTGTTTACCGGTCTTTTGAGAGCTAAAACCCTCCATTCCAATTACTCCCCCACCATCGCTTCAATCTCTCTCCACCCATCTCCTCGTACTCCGCCTTGGACATCCCGACCGTCGCGAACTCCTCCGTTTTCGCGAACTTGGCCATTCCTCTCCATGCATCCAGCGCCGGATCGTTTGCTGATCTGATCTCTATCGGCATCTCCACAGGAAATAGTGGGCGGAGGGTGGAGTAGAGACGTGGTGCGATGTCGGGAATTTGGGAGGGGGAGCCGGAGAGGAAGATGTTCTGATGTTAAATGTCATTACCTGGAACCTATCTGACAAAGTGATGAGCCTACCTTGACTAATCTTCTCTTCTCTTCCTCTCCAAACCTTGACAATATATTCTGGATCACTTCTCCTAAACCGGCGGAGTCGACTCCGGCGATTGAGGGGGAAAACCATGCCTCGCAGACGCGCCAGCGTTCGGTTGTTAGGTGGATACGGGTGTTGCCTACGTACGGATGTATGGTTATGTTTGGGACGGTTGGGAAGGGAACGTGGAAGGAAAAAAAAGGTTTAGAAAAAAACCACAAGTTAGCATGAGGCAGTTAAGAATAAAGTTCTCTATTGCTCACCTGCCCCATCACCTTCCTCATAGACAGGTCTGAACGCGTTTAACAGAGCCGACCGTTGTGAGACAATTGACGCATGAGTATGTTGGTTTGTGAACGTTGGGTCGTGCGTAAGAAGTTTTTGTTCAATTTGCTGTAGTTGCGCCAGGTCCTCTTCTTCATCGGAGGAGATTGTAGTTGTCGTGTTCTATTGAGCAAAGGGAGAGAGTAAAGAGCAAGTATCAATCACTTAACGGTTTGAGGGGGGATGAAGGGACACGTCGCTCGTACGATTTTTCGGTATATAGCCCAATCAGCATCATCTGCACCAAACATATCTTCTATCGAAGACGTTTTCAATTATAAATTGAGTGTCAGAATACGCGAGTAAGCAGACGTCCATCTCACTGACCTGCGTTTCCCTTTCTCCCTTTCCCCGTGCCCTTGCCTACTCCCTTACCCGTTCCTTTTCCCCCTTTCTTCGAAGTCCCAGAACCCCCAAGCATCTTTTCATCAGCAGCGGCCAAATTCGCGATATTCTTCATCCTCTCCTGCTTGGCCGCGCTCTTCCGGTCACTCATTGCGGCTCTACGTTTGGCACGGTTTTTGATCCGGGTCATTAGAGCCTGTATAAAACAGATGAAGAAAAAGACAGATGGGTGATAAATTTAAATAGCCACGAAGACAAGCCAATCGGACTCACCTCCTGCTCTCCCTTCAATTTTCTCGCCCAGCCTTCCAGATCTGCTTCGCGAGCCTCAAAATCCAGTCTCTCCTCAAGTTCTCTTTGTTTTTCCCGCTCGGCTGTCTCTTTGCAATCTTTGATTGCTTTGAGTTCGCGCTCCTTGCGTGCACGAAGTCGGGCTTCGTAGCCAGCTTTGAGGAGCTTTTGTTTCTTCTTCTCGGCGAGGGAGGAAGGGTCGAGCTGTGACGTATTTAGAGTTTGGAATGAAGGTCGCAAAGGAAGACGTACGTCGGCATCTGGGATATCGACAAGAGGGAATGATGGTTCTTCCTGTATACAGAGATGAGTACTTATTTATGGGTTGACCCACAACAATTCTGGCTTCTTCTCAATCCACCAGGTTCTGCACAACTCATCTGGCTTCTGGACAATCCACCTGGCTTTTTCACCATCCAACTGGCTCTATCTACTGCCTCAGAGCAGAATTAGTATGTGTAATTCATTTTATTGCATTATTCTACCCAATTTAATGTGGCTCTTTTTTTCTAGTACTCTCTTCTTTTTATCTCGTGTCCGATCCGATGCCGAGGCGCCCCGCTCATAAATTGCGCGCTCTGTACTCATTTCGGAAAGCGCGCCCAAAATCGGCGGCGGATGGGCCGGGCGTTCTTTACGCGTTTGTAGAGCAGGGCACGCTCTGGAAAGTAGGACATTCCAACAATTTCCATAGAAGGCGAGCCGAGTGGGACAAGCAGTGTCCGTGTCCCGACCGTGTGTGGCTACCTCCTGTTCCGGTCCCGCGAAGGAGGCGGGCAGGTAAGTACTGATTCTGCTATTTGATTGAAATTCTCATCCCGTTGTCAGAATCGCTGGTGCATCTCCTACTGGAAATCATGTGCCGCGATAGACCGCGGACTGTTTGTGCTCAATGTATGTATACTCTGTTTGTTAAAGAGTGAGCTCATATGCTGTTTCCGAAGGCGCAAAAATACATTTGGAGAAATTTACTTTTGTCGGGAGTAGATTCACTGTTTGGAACACGATCATTCAATCTGTTCTGAAAAGGGCTGCAACAGCATGAAGGTACCACTTTTGTTATTCATATCTTCATTCAAGACTGACAATTTGCTAGATCCCTGTATGGAGAATCCAAACTGTTCATTCTATCTGTACTTATGTAGATATCATGCAGCTATATGTTCTGATAAATGACAAGAAAAGCCTCCCTCAGGGCCTTCTGTGTATTCATAGATGGGGCCACAAGCTATGTCATTCCTATATAGGTCGTGGTTTTCATTACTAACTTAATGCTAGGTCAAAACTGGCACGTCCCGAATTGCCTGAACGTCACGCGTCTCGATATCCCGACACCAGCGACGTTTCTACGTCCGGACGTCTCGATATCGACGACGTTCCGGTGTCTCGATGTCTCGATATCGACGACGTCTCAACGTCGCGATGTCCCGACATCGGGTACGCATAACCTCGGCGAGGTTATTTTGAAAAACCTCATGTTTTTCGCGAGGTGAATATCTCGTGAAAATTTCAAATAATCTATAGGAGAATCTTGTACGATTATTCTAAATATGCTCCTCATGTTCACTGGTAGGTTATGTTACGATTATTTCAAATTTTTGGCAGCCGAAAAAACTAACGAATCGCGAGGCAAAAAGTCAATATTATATCCTTAATATTATTGGTAGATAATATAGAATAACCGCACAATACGAACTTTATATTCTATATCCAACTATCTGAGAATTATATGAACTTTTCGACATCCCAAAATCGGTCAATATTTGGTAAAAATCTACGGATAATGGACGGATTTTGGAGGCGCCAAAACGCCCTCTTCCCCACAGTGTTACTGGAGGCGGACCCTGGAACTTGATAAACCATATTAGGCATATCTCTGGTCACATTATCAGATATATCATTGTACTGAATTTTCGGGTCACGGTGACCGTGTACATACGTATGTCCATTTTGTTCCACTCGACATCCTACAGAATCCTGTATAACTCTGTTCATAAAAATTCAACCCGACTCAGAGGAAGAAATTTCGCAAAATCTAGGCTCAAGAGTCAGAGCAGACAGCGCATCAAGATTATGTTCACCGATTTGGAGTTGCGTATATGACGGACCATCGAGAGCGGGCTGTCAGGGTTCGAGGTACGGATTCGAAATGTCGCTTTCCCCATCCAGGACCGCGGATAGATTGTTTTGTGGATGGAATGAAGGGCACCGGAAAGAAGTTCTAAGAATCTAATTCTCAAGGTCCATGTCATTCTCGCGGCGGACAGCGGTGGTGTGTTCGCAAGTTGTACCCTTGCTTGGCAACTTACGGCTTCCCTCAAGGGGAGCTCTCGGTGTTCTCCGGGAAGACTTTTGGCAGAGTCTTTATTATTTAACTCAACAGCTAAATCCTCAAGCCAAATGTTTTTGTTTCACCTTGAACAGTGTACACGTAGCCAATCACACTAGAAATTTCATCGACCTCCTTTGGTTCTTGCGCACATATGCCGATGACTGAAACAGATATTCTTTTTGAAATCTTAACACAGACGCTGTTGTCAAATGACTGTAATCACACTCACACTTTGTATACCTTTTCCCGCGAGTTCCCGCGGTTTGTTCTTGAATCTCTTTACCAACAGCAGGATTGGAAACATTATGAGGAAAGTCGGGATTTGGGCCACTTGAAGCAGAAACTTGAAGAGGATGCCGATGAATCAGTCATGGTCCAATGCCCAATCAAACCTACCTCATTTTTTTCATGATCAATCTCCATCATCCTCCATCATCTTACTGTTTTTGCTTGGGATCTGCTGTACATTATCTCCTTTACAGCGCAATCTCGCAGGCCAGAATGCACAAGAGTGAAGAAAATTTGTTTGCTCATTCCACACGAGGGGATCATTTTGAAGTACGAAAGAATCGATGGATCTTATCACAGCCGCTGTTGCAGGAATTCGCTGCTCAAAATTTCCCTAGTCTGAACTTTATCCTGCGACTCCCTCTCTGATAACCGGAATTGAATGGGTGATCCCATATTATCATGTTGTTTCGAATCGTGGTCTAACAGGGTCTAACTCGAAAGTAATGGTGCCTTAGTAAACTAACGCGTCATTGCTTCAAATCGAGTATTACTCTCCTGCTAGCTGAACACGAATATCCGGCTTGTGCATAGTTATAAGAATCGCAAATGATTTGTGAAGCAAACAAAATCATCCAGCGGATTTACAACGCGAATCAGAAATGGACCGACTAGCTCTCTACTTCGCTATCTTCAAACAAATCAAGTCTCTACCTCCCGTCCTACAGGCGGACCTGACAGGAAAGGTTGTCCTCGTCACAGGGGCCAACACGGGGCTTGGATTTGAAGCAGCAAGACATTTCGCCAGGATGAATCCTCAAAAACTGATTCTAGCTTGCCGGAGTGAGGAGAAAGGAAATCAGGCTGTACGAAGTAAGAGGTTCATTTCGCTTTCTCATGGGTATTGACATTTGATTTGCCCCAGAAATTGAACGCGATACAGGATACACGAAAGCGGAAATGTGGCTGCTTGACTTGAATAGGTTTGCCTCTGTACAGGCATTTGCAGATAGATATGAAAAGGAAGGCGGGGGACGTTTAGATATCCTTGTCGAGAATGCCGCAATTTCATCAGCCCAAACGTATGAGAAGACTGAGGATGGATACATGAAGACGTCAGTGCATTGAATTTCCAGGTTGATCGTTGTTATACCTTGCTGATATTCGAACATCTTATTGCAAACAGATTTCAAGTCAATGCCCTTGCACCGTCTCTTCACACATTTCTTCTGCTCCCACATATGATTCGTACTGCACAGGAACATCCCGAAACAAATCCGAGAATTGTTGTTGTCTCCAGTGGAATGCATCATTTCTCAATGCTTCCTACTGAAGTTGGTAGAAAGATTTCGGAGCAACCAAACTTCATTGAGGCCCTGAGCAGTCTGGAATATTTTAAGCAGATGTAAGTCAACGTCATGATTTCCGAGTCTCGAAGATGATAATATTGACGAACCTTATTTTACATCTTCTAGTCCGGTTGCTGACCATTATTCCGATACTAAATGTGTGCATGATGATTGACCTACTTGTTTCAAACTACTGACAACGTTTGGACCAAATTCTTAGTACTCAACATGTTTTTCGCTCGAGCGCTTCAGTCCAAACTATCGAAATCTTGTCCATCCATCGTTGTAGATTCTGTGGACCCTGGATATTGTATTAGCGACCTTCGTCGTTCCCTCTCAGGACCAGGAGCCTGGCTCTTACTGCTCTTGGATAGACTCTTTGCATATTCAACGGAAGAAGGAAGTCGAAATCTTGTTCACGCTGCTCTTGTAGGAAACAAAGCAACCATAGGACCTTCTGAGGATGAAGGACAGTTCAAGGGAGCGTATCTTTCTACACAGAAAATCAGCGATGTAAGTTCGTTTGCAAGCAGTGGAGCTGGGTTGAGGCTACAAGCAAAGTTCTGGGTAAGCTCGAACTAGAAACCATGTTCATACGTCGAGAGGCTAACTTCTTTGTAGGATGAAATGGTGGAGATTGCGACAAACAAGGATGAAAGAGTGGCAAAACTTGCGACGACTCATTTTTGATTCCATTGCCATCAGGTCTACTCACTGACTAGAGGACCGATGAAATTCTCGAGCCTGTTCAGTGATCCGAAAGTAATGTCCCTTTCGCCGTCGAATTTGAATATGATTGGAGAATGGCATGGACGTTAGGGAAGGAAGAGGTGATGCGATTATCTTGTCCGTTGCTCGTAATTTTGTAGAGTTACTTTAATTTTATTTAATGCTTACAAGGATTAATGTTTTTCGGGTGGTATGGACCGTCTTTCTACGTGAAAAATCTTGACGGCATATTCTGTGTCTTTGCCCTGGGGCGGAAGAATGAGGAATGGTGTCGCGGGGCTCCAAATCATAGTGCTATCCACTCTTTGGAGCGGTTCAATTGCATTGTGTCCCGATTTCGGCGTCGGTGAAGGAAGTTAGCATTGTTCATGATGCATAGAATGAACAGAGTGTAGACTTCCCAAAAGAATGAATATTTGACGCTTTGATTTGCCTTATAGGGGCATTTGCCCGCTAGTGCTGTGAGAAATATCTACGTCCGATTCGCCTCTCTGTAATTCGGAGAAAGTCGGGATTTTGACAGCTTCGTCTCACACGGCTTTCTTGACGCGTTCGCTCATGCTCACACCGCACGCTGGCAGTCCTTCTTAGACACGGGAACTGATTCAGAACAGGTCGGAGAAAGTGAAAGTGAAGACTCCGATTTTGAATAATTTCCCTCTCCGGTACCACTACGTCTTAGGTACCGTAATATGTATTTTACCCCCTCCATTCTCACTGCAGTCTACCGTCCCTCGTTGGATGAGCATTCGCTGTAACTGAGATGGTTGGGCCCGGCTGTTCCCTAGTGGGACCCCGTCTTAGACGGAGCCGCGTATCTATCTATCTATCTATCTATCAATGGACTCGGAAGCACATTCGAATTTCCAAGCAATTGCGCAATTTGACACCACGATCTGTTCCACTTCTATGATCTTGTATTTGCCATAAAACCATTTCCTCAACTGCACTTGGACAACTTCAAAACCTTAGCGCTTCAGCTTCAGCCCTCAAGTATCGACACAGGAAATGTCCGCACATCTCGAATTTGTAGAAAAGAACGTGGCGTATGCAGAGAGTTTTGACAAAGGACACCTGCCTGTTCCTCCAGCTAAGAAGTTGCTTATCGGTTCGTCGCTTCATCTCCTTCCAAGAATATATCTGTATCGATCGAATCCTCAGTTACTTGTATGGATGCGCGGATTGAGTGAGTAATCGTTGTCCAGGAAGTGAATATCGCTTTAGCTGCGGACAGTTGCTACAAATCGCTGGGACTAGAGTTGGGCGAAGCCCATATCGTTCGTAATGCTGGAGGCAGCGCGTGGGTTTTCTTTATTTGCTAATCGAGCATCGGTTTCTCATCATTTTCGTAGTCGAGATGCCTTTCGAAGCATTCTCATCTCTCAACGTCTCCTCGGGACCCGCGAAATTGCTGTCTTTCACCACACGAACTGTGGCATGCAATCCTTCACCGCTCCCCAGCTTCGCAGTCTTGTGAAGTCCGACGCCCTATCGAGGCCTGATAACGAGAAGGAGGAAATCGAGAAAACGGTAGATGGTATGACATTTTATGAGTTTAGTGACCTCGAGGGAAGTGTGCGAGAAGATGTGAAATACTTGAAGGAAAATTTATTGGTGCTCGAGGAAGCAAAGATTACTGGCTGGATTTACGATACTGCCAATGGAAAGGTGCGTTCATATGCTTTCTGGTTATCCCGACTACATCTAAAGATGTTTTCCACATGGCAGGTAAAGCAGGTGGTTTAGGAGACACGTAGATGAATTGTACTACTATATACTGAAAGTGAGTTGTGTTCGTTTCCTTGTATTTCACTGGCCAAATCGTGATTAGCAATGACCTCCAATACCATTTTTCAAGTTCTGTGTCGATTTCGCGTAATTCCTTTCGCGTAATTCCCTCAAGCAGAAAAGCTATTCTCTTTCTTGAACACAGAATTTGGCGCTGGATGAACATCACATAAACTGGAACCTTCAAGGCGATTTGTATGCAAGATTTTAATAACTTTCTGTACTACAAAGGGGTCAAACAGTCTATCATTGCCGACTCACATCTTTTCTGCGATTAGGAATGCCGCAGAGTTTTCATCTATATGCAACTTGAATCGTGGTGTTGGTTGGTCGGAGATACAGTTCATTGTTTCCAAATTAAATGTCGGATGTCAGCCTTGTACTCGCGGCGTCTCTCTCCGCCCAGTCCTCGCTATATTTTCCGCTTGCGGGAATCGTCATCGTTGCCAAATGCTGATTCTATTTATCTCCAATTTCGTTCACCTCGCTCGCAAATACTGAAGTTTCAGGTAAGGTTGCTAGCAACGAGAGGAATACTCATGCGATACGGCAATCTGTAATAATCCTGTGAGTATTGGCCTTATACTCCCTTCCGTTAGTCTTCCTATTCATCTTTGCACTTTGCATCGGGGTCCATATCAAGCCCTACCGAGATACAATGTTTTCGCCAACGTTTTCCGAAACCCCTTGTGCCTTCTCAGAAGCCTAAGGCTTTTTCGCAACGCGTTTACTTACATAAACCTTCACCAAAAGCAGAACAAAGTTGACCAAAATACGTCTTTACGTAACTTCCTGGAATGGCAATCCTGTCTAGAAGAGGTACTTAGTTTGGAATCCTGGATATACTACAATGACCTATGTACTACAGTGATAGTCTTGTTCAATTTCGAATCGCCATTCACGCCCGGCAAAAAGAGGACAAGCTATGGAACAATCTAGGAAGGACGCAACGGATTGATCGTCCAAAAGGAACAAGTGAGCATCTTGTTCTTGGACTGGTACCTAGATGCTCTATATTTTTGCTGAAACTATTAATACTTCCAAGGATAACTCCATCTTCATGCATGGATCGTTTACTTTTCCTTTTTGGGACTCCTTGTTGAGGATCCGAGGTGATTCTTGTACCCCTTCGTTACGCAGGTATAAATGCAGGTTCTTCTTCTTAGCCGAGCGTCATTCGCCCTCTAATACTTACTACCTTTTCATTGCTTGAATCTTTTTCCATTTGCACTATCTGCCCTCTTCCGCTCTTTCAGACCAATTATCCATTGTATCTATCATCATCACAATGCAATTCCAATTCTCTACCGTTTTCTTGTTCTTCGTCAGCTACAGTCAGTATTCACGACACAGAATGAATCTTAGTGCTAATGTTCACTGTTCCAGTGATCATGCTTGTAGCAGCATCTCCCATTCCTATTCCCGCTCCTTCCTCCAGTCGTGGCTTTGTTATGGCCCGTCTGCCAGAGCCTGTTGATTCACCCCTGGCACCCCTGGATAATGAAGCTCGTGCGTTGGACTTCATCGGAACTACTCCTCTGGCACCTCTTGACGCTGAGGCTCGCGACATACCGGAGCCGGCTTCTAGTGCCGGTTCTCCTTCGGACGTTGAACTCAGAACACTCGAGGTCCGTTTTTCGCTCAAGTCATGATCGAGAATGTTTTCCAATGTTATCCAGACTTTACAGCCTGAAAGCCTTGACGAAACAGCTCCGCAAGTGCGAGAACGGGGATGCGGTCGCTGGGCCTGTCTCTAGGATGTTCGTCTTTGGAAGTTCAACTTCCAAAGATATAGACCTTGTGAGTATTGCCCTGCGAGGCTCATCGCTTTACAAAGTTAATATTATGACAATGTAGGGTTATTTTGACGTCCCCCGGCCTCTCGTTATCATGGATGATTCCAGTCCCTCATTCGCCTCATGCTCTCTATCTCGCCCGAGTTCTCTCGGGTCCTCGATTACATTGACTTATTACTTACACACATTGGCTGGGCCTCTCCTATCGGCGAATAACTTGCTCTCACTCTCGACATCTCTGCCTGGTTTGAATAATAGGCCAGTTCTCCACGGACCCGGAGAGTACAGCAAGCCTAGCCGCTTTCAGGGTCATTTTTCCTGTGGGATTCTGGTGATTCCAAACGGACTTGCAAGAACCTTAATGTTGGCGATAGAAGCCCTATGGCTTGTCCTGGATGTGAATCAATTGTTCTGCTTATAATTGGATTCTATGAAATTACTGTCCTTGTTGTTCGGAATCGTGTTGGACCTACGTTATTCTTGGCTATGTTACTGTAGGTATTTTTCATCCACATCTCTCCCGCCATGATCTATCCTATCATACTTATCATATTTATGTACATCTTTCTCGCGGTTTCCATTCCATTCCTGTCTTCAGTGTTGTAAGCTCCCTTACTGTATCGATAACATTCTCAGACAGTCTATATACACCCCTAGCTCTCGAGGAACTGTATAAGTCTTGTATCTCAATATATATTTCAAGGACAAACCCTCTGGAGTCTAGATAATACAGTATCTTTTACGATTGCTATGCAAGAAAGTCACTGCAAATGTTATTCATTAATCACTCATGAGCGCTATCAATGGTCTAAGACTAGCCAATTAGCGTTTGAACGTTCAGCATTCGTTCTCAAGCTCCGTTACGAGTCGTTCTGGTTACTGCGAAATGATCCTCTTTTGATTGATGGATTGTCGGAAATTTGTTGATACTATCTTTGACATGTCACAGGATTGCGGTCCAAAAATTCAGACTTTCGACGTTTTAAAGGAATATGTACTTGCATTTCAGAAACGAAAAGGTTGTATGACCAGTCGAGGCCCGACTGCGCATGGCAAGTTCAGTCTATGTGTGCAGTAAGCTAGTCAAGTCAGGAAGAAGAACAGGCCTAGGGACACTCGAAACGTGGTCGCGACGCGACGCGATGCTACCACGTGCCGCGCTTGAATCTAGACTCTTGTCATCGTGCAGAGGATATGAAACCATCACAAAATGTTGTTACCCAGGCAAACCCGGCGCAAAGCGAGTATATAGTCCTCAAACTTCCACCGTTCCCTTCAAATTCCCTTTCTCGCCTCTAGACTATTCTCCTTCTTGGTTTTCAGACCGTTTTCCACTTTTTAATTAAATCATGACTATCATCCTTACACCGTACTGGTCCAATGGTGTTCAAAAGCTCAAGATGGCACCCCAGCGTATGTGACTCATGCAAAAATTTACTTCCATCTATTTAACTATACCTATAGCCCCTCCAAAGCCAAAGCAAGGTCTAGCGCCGCCTGTCCTCAATGACGATATTCATACCGTTCGCTGCCTGGCCCAGTTACGCTCTAAGGAAATTCCCCTCGAAAAGTACATCTACCTTTCTGCTCTTAAGCATGAAAACCCCGACATGTTCTACAAACTGTGTTTGAACAACATGGCCGAATTTACACCAATTATATACACCCCTGTTGTTGGTGAAGCCTGCCAAAAATGGTCAGCTATCTATCGTCGTCCGGAAGGGATGGTGCGCATCAGTCTCGTGTACGGTGTGCATTGCTTGATATATTTACTTCCGTAGTACATATCTATCAAGGACAAAGGGAAGATTGGTTCTGTTCTGAAGAACTGGCCCAAACTTGACGAAGCCCGAATTGCCGTGGTGACCGATGGTACCGATTATTGGATTCTGAACGTCGAGTTATTCGATCTGATGGATCTCATTGTAGGCTCTCGCATTCTCGGTCTAGGAGATCTTGGTGTCAATGGGATGGGTATCTCGGTTGGAAAACTTTCACTATATGTTGCTGGAGCAGGGTTTGTACAGTCTACGAATGTCTGATCATTCAGGCTCAAATAGACTTCCCAGAATTCGTCCTCATTCGACCGTCCCCATCTGCTTAGATTTTGGAACCAACACCCAGAAATACCTTGATGATCCGTTATACATGGGTCTTCGCCAACGTCGTATAGGAGACGAGGAGATGATCGAATTCATGGATGAGTTCATGCACGAGATTTCCGCAGCTTTCCCTAAGCTACTCATTCAATTCGAAGTGAGTACGAGCAGCTCGTTAGAGATCCATGACATTGATTGTAATACTTTTCTTTGTCTTCCAGGACTTCTCAACGGACCATGCTTTCATGTGGCTAGAGAGGTTCAGGAGTAAATACCCACTCTTTAACGACGACATTCAGGGAACCGGCGCTGTCGTACTGAGTGGTTTCATCAACGCCGCTAAACTTTCTTCGGCAGCATCAGGAAAACCTTTAACTTCTCATAGAATTTTATTCTTTGGTGCAGGCTCTGCAGGGGTTGGGGTCGCTATGCAACTGATGAGTTTCTTCACTATGCAAGGCCTGTCGGAGAAGGAAGCCCGGGAACGTATTTGGTTAGTTGACTCTCAGGGCCTCGTTTTCGACGCCCGTGGACCTATGGCGGAACACAAGAAATGTGAGATTTATGTCTCTTTCTCGTGCAATTCTTATTTACTTTTTTCCCAGACTTCTCTCGTAGAGATTATGCTGGTCCGCCAATCAAGGACCTTCTTGATAGTAAGACACGGTCAATCCCTTTCAGATCATTGATCCTTACCATCCTCTTTCAGTCCTGGAATACGTGAAGCCCACCGCTCTCTTGGGCCTTTCGACCATATCAGTCGGTTTATTCTCTTGTCACACGCCAACGTCCGTCCTGATATCTTTTCGACTAGAATGCTTTCCACGCGGGGGTTATCGAAGCTATGGCAGCGTTGAATCCACGCCCTATTATTTTCCCTCTCTCCAACCCTGTCAACCTCTCGGAATGTAGCTTCCAAGATGCGGTTCAACACACCGACGGACAGGTCTTGTTTGCTTCTGGTTCACCATTCCCAGAGATGGAGTGGAAAGGAAAGATGCTTTATCCTGGTCAGGGGAATAACATGTACATCTTCCCCGGTCTCGGTCTCGGCGCTATTTTAGCTCGAGCGACGTCGGTCACCGATACGATGGTCGAAGCCTCATCCCTTGGTCTGGCCGAATCATTAACCCCGGATGAACGTAGTGTCGACTTGCTTTACCCTAGAATTGAACGAAGTAAGATCTGAATGGCTATTCTTCTGTTCATTGTTCTAATACCACCCCTCTTTCTTCAGTTCGTGAAATTGGTGCATTTATCGCCAAAGAAGTAATCCGAGCTTCCCAGAATGCTGTATGTTGCGTTTCTTTCTTCTTCGATGTTGATAGTAACCATTTATGTAGGGCGTTGATCGATCCCCTGACCTTCGTTCAATGTCTGATGAAGAGCTCCTGGCGTTCGTCTACTCCAAAATGTGGAGTCCGATGATTTGATTAATGATGTTATCGTGTTGTCTGTTCATGTATCTTCCGTTTTATAGGGTAATATTAATTGCACGTATGTGTTTGTAGAAGGAATCATAATCTGGATGTTTTTGGCTGTCCGGGGAATACTGAGTACTTGAAGCTTAACTAGTGAGTGCGTATATGGCCCGCTGGATTACCGTCATGAAACTTCATAGAAATTTATGTCCCAGAGAAATATGAAGTGTATTCCTAGTTATACAGATTCTTTGTGATACATGTACTCTCAAATGTGTCTCCCTGTTCTTCGTGTTCAAGCTGCACTGGATGCTAATGGGAGGGGTACACCCTGGTCCTGGACCGGAGGAGATGCTCCACTACCAACCATCACCCTAGTTCCCGTACTCGTCACATCATCCACAGTCACAAATATGTACGCTAGAAGATCATCAGAGAATTCGAGAAATCACACCAAATCGACGACGCACCAGGACCCGGAGGATAAACACGGTTATTGGGAGGTGCTCTAATGGTAAGCAATTTCTTATTCCCGGTCAACTGTGCCTCCATAAATACCAGGCGAGAGCTTGCATGGAATGCATGGGTGGAGAATCCCATGTCCATTAGAGCCACTGCAATGGGAGGAAAGAAGTGTTATCATTGTTGGGATATATGCAGTATTTTCATTTGGCACGAACCTTTGAGATTATCGGTATTCAGATCGTTTGGGATATCAATGTCGACGGTGAACGGCTCATTGAATGCAATTTTTTCCGGAATCCGACTAACAGTTGGTCGGGAGCGTGATAGGAATGGGGGATTGAGAAATTGGACCCGGAACTCGCTAGGATGTAACACTTAGCACGATATATTATGGATGAAAGGATGAAAACTAACGTGTTGAATGTAGCGTTTTCAACAACACCAGAATTTGGATTGGAGCCGGCGAGGAATATGGCGCTACAGCGTTCAGTACGTAAGTGGATACTTCGCAGAAGAGAGAAGGACATACCCGCTCGGCGTCAAGGTTACGCCAGAATGGTACATTCGCGCAATATCGGTCGTTGGTAGACCTTCTCTGTTGAATCGACTCCCGAGAGATGCGTCAGGGTCATAAAAGACTGGTGTGAGCCTAAATATCCATGTTAAATCTAGTGTATCCAAGACAGTATTGAGAACTTACACTGGATGATCAGCATTCGAATTGCCTATAGGGTCGCCGACAGACGCAACAGCTGCATAGCCAGTCCCAGCACCATTGGTTATGAGTACTTGACCATTTGGCAACAAGACCATCTCAGGCATCATACGTCCCTCCGGCATCCTTTCTATGATCCATCCCTTCTCAATTCCCTCGGGCGTAAGCGTGATTCTAGTACATTGGTCCGATGCAGGGTCTTGAGATGACAGGTCCTCAGAGGGGGTCGCATCGCTGAAGTTGCTTCCTCCACAGACGAGGACTTCTGGTATGAATTCTGGCGGGGAGAGCGGGAGGAGTGTTGCAGTTCCGTCCATCGGATTTGTGACGTGGACACCATTAGGGATCGTTGGGAGAATAGTTTCTGTTTGCGCTTCAATGTCGTAAAGGATGGACTGATTATTGGCTACGATGAACACTTTGCCGTCAGGCAATGAGAATCCACTGACATTATTGGATATATAAATCAAGAATGCTATATCGGGTTTTGCATACTCACCGAGGGAACAAGTTTGTGGGGACAGTCCTCGCCAAAAATGGTGAGAATCTGGTTTGGCCATTATCTTTTGGAGGGAAAAATTCGAATGAGTTCTCCGGATCCGTGTTGTAGAATGGTGTTTCCTCGTGAGTTCCTCCGATGATCATCTGCAATGAGTGTCGATTATTCTACAAGTCAATCGAAGCTGATGAGAATTTTTTTTACCAGAGAGCCATCGAAGATGCGGATTGCGGATGTGTACCATCTGTTTGCGGCTAAATGCAGCGTAGCAGGATCCTCGAAAAGGGTACAGTTCAATCCCGCGGGATCAGCGCAAGGCTCAAAGATCCTGATTCCCATTCGACCATCAGCATCTGGTGGTACAGTCACTCCCGGTGGGAGCTCTGAAGCTTGACCTCCAACGCTGACCTAAAACACATAAGTCGATTGTCAGTAAAAGAATATCAGATTTACCATTGTGCCATTGCTAAGGAGGGCCCCAGAAGCACAGAAAGTGTCGGTGATAGCGTTAAGAGGAAATCCCGTGTTAGTTTCAAGATTCCAAAGCTCAACCCATGCTTGGTGTCCGTCTATTTGGAGCGGATCACCGAGAACCCTATCAAACATCAAGATGAGTGTTGGAGAAACGAGTATCACTTCTAAGCCAGTGATCCCTGTTGTGCCATTCTGAACGAAAGTCCACTCTCCCTTCGGCGCCAGTGAAACAGCAACCCGAAGTGCAGAGAAATACAGGGTCAAAAGTAGGAATGAGGATGACAGAAACAAAGGCGACCGCATCTTAGAACAATGGTCAACATATCTTAAGGATGGTCCATATTTATATTCCTCATGGTTGCCGATGAAGTAGCTTCCTGTTTTGTTGTCATTTTACCCTGAATGGGGTTCTGAGATTGGAACGAGTTTTTCTCATCCGGCTAGGCGTATCTGGAGTCCGGAAGAATGCCAAGGTCAAGCAAGAGCGTCGAGTGATTGGGCGTTGGGCATAGGCTGCCATATCAGTTTGGTAAATTTGCCAAAGGGGTTTAGAGAAGGATAAAGTATTGCAAAATAGGCTAGAGCCGCGTCTGTGTGAATAGATGTTATACTGCTTTAGTATTCAAGAGCACAGGAGAACCCAAGATTACCTTCGCTTCGGGCAATAATGATTTGCGTGTGTGAAGTTATGTTTCATGTAATGCGTCGAGTCAAATTCTCGCATTTTGTCCAACACTGTAGATTTAAAGTACCCTGGAGTATTTCCCTTCTGGTTTGCAACCGTTTGTCAGCTATTCCGACCTTCTGATACACCCTGAATCATAGTGACAAGCAAAAGTGGTGACCCTCATAGAGAAGTAGGAGAAGCCTAGTACTAGCGAAGCGGAATTCGGCGTTCCACCGAAGTTCGCAGGAATTGAAACTGCAGTCTTCGTTTTGTGTTTTTCTTGTGAAATAATACCGGTTGAGCGAGCGTCAGGTCATAGTCCGAGTCTTTCCACCCACGAAAGATATCCAACATGGGCAAACGAAACATTTGACGTTCAAAAATATAGTTCAAGGTGACCGATTTCAATTTGGTGGTCCTGTTGTGGTCAGGTGCCTGGTGAGCGGGAGAACGAATAAAGTTCTCACGCCTTCTTGCTGGTTCCACCGTGTACTGCGTCCTGGTCTGGTCCTGGTACTTTAAAGGCTCAGTAGTCTCTTGGTGTTCACACTGAAGGATACTTAAATTGTGTTCAGGCCACACCAATAGACTCTGTGAATTGTCTTCGAAAAGCCTTGAGCCTCGAAAGCTTTTGAAAGGCCATCTCCGTTGCATACCTTTGCATACCTATTTTCTCCTATTTCAACACCGCTCCAGACAAGCAGACTGGAGCAGGAGCCAACCCAGATAATGCATATGAAGATCGACATCACTTGTCATGGACAACAAAGGGACATTAATTGGTACTGAACTTCGAGAAACGCGGACGTTTATAATAGCACACATTAGTCGACGTCGGCCCTTGACTTTTGCTTTCGCCCTCTCGTCATCTATGTAAGTGAGAACTTATGCATTTTGAACGTCCAATTCAGCTGACCTTGAAGTTTATCCTGTTCTTATGGGTCTTCCTCAGAAGTCTTCCTATGACAGAATTTTACGGTGCTCTTTTGCCACCGACGAATCGTTAAACGAATTCACTAATACCTAAGTGCCTTCAAGCCGCAAGTAAGGCTTACCACTGAATCGTCTGGCGTAAGACGGAGATGAACTTTATCCGTGCCCCACCAAGAAATAATGAACGAAGTTGCCGCCAACTTCATCTTGACAGACAGAAGTTATGAACATAAGGTTACTTGTATTGAATCAGGTATACTAGAATCCGTTTAACAAAGTACAGTCAATAAAGATTGCACACGATTCACGAATTTTCCTACCCACGCATTTCATTTTTCCTTAGTCCCCCTATTTCTAGAAATTTCGAAGAACGAGATGGTAGGCAGCTTCCATTCCCTCTGAGTATGGATCACTCAAACTTGAACAAGATTAACATATTTTTAATGGCGCATTCAACAGTCTGACAAGTTTGACCGCGAGGGCGGTGGTCATCCGGTCGACCACATATAAAAGCTTCACAAAGCTAGAGCTATACGTACTATCCAGCAGTTCTCTTACATTCGGACCCATCTCCCTGACAATGGCTTCACCTCCAGGATTGTTCTATGCATATGCCAAAAATGTGAGAACTAATCTACGACCTTGTCGTATACCATGCGAATACTGAGATCGCTTTAGATCAGAGATGACTCGAGTTATCGCTACATCATTGCATTTGAGTCGAGGCAGGTTTCGGACGAGTGGTGGCGAGTGGTGACTGCATCGGTTGACAACGGCTACCCACGATTTGCTGGGGTCAAGCGTCTTTCGGCCCAATGGTACACTCACGATCCCGCCGCCAATGCGTTCATACACGAGACTATCAACGATCCAAAATGTGCGCCCCAATTTCTGGGCAAGGTCATGTTCACACTGCTCAATGATCGTGACGCTCGCGCTTTGTCTGTTTCTCCTGTCTTAAACTTCGCTGATCATGTCAGTGGTGGAACGTAAAGATTTTCTGTTGCATTTCAGATGTACTACAGCTAATAATGCATATGTATCCCCTCTCCCCAGGTTCTTCATTCGTTCTACATTGCGGCCTGAATTGTTCTGGTATTACCATCCAGACATTGGTCAAATCCTAGCATCCACGTCCCGCCGCACTCGATTTGATGTCCGCATCGCGGCAAAGGACAAGGCGCTCGGAACTATCATGATTGGCTCCGACAAGGTATCCATTAGCGTCGCTGGACAACAAGATCTCAACGTTGGTGTAGCTACTGGTTCCACGGATTTAGCGATCCAGAAGAATGGACTGTTCCAGTTCGACTTCTCTGACTTCAACGACGGAAACTTTGGTTTGAACTTCTTGCACAAGGCAGCGTCTGGAGATTTTGTCCAAGGCGTGGTTGCCACTGTTACTAGGCAGAATTACGGGGAGAGGTGGGAGTTAGTATTGTAAGTAACAGAGGAGTCAACGTACACAATGACCACTTGGTATCTGAAATTCAACCCTGTTTTTCTGTGAACTTACCTATGCATGAATTACTCACTCAGTCCGTATGTGACGGCGGTATGTACGTAAATAGGGGCCTCCCTCAATTGCACTTTCTTCGAGAATATCATTTCTTGGTCACCAAGCTATATGTAGTCGAACAATTTGAACTTACGTTCAGCGAGACTGTCTTATGACTAGATTTCTTACCTTCGATGACACGAACGTTTCCTTCATTTACAGGCTATCGAAGGTGTTCACATAAGAGACTCGTGGGTTCATAATGTAGGCTTCCATAGTCAATGGGAGGGGAAAGACATAAATTCATACATTACGCAAAGACAGCCACTATCGACACTAAACCACAGTACCAGCATTAGATGCAATACGCGGCCAAAGATCCGCCTTTGGGGAGAATCAGCGCAATGCAAGCGGACTGAAGTATAATTACATACACATTCTTTTGCGACGGGACCTGTTATCGCAGAGCCCTTCATTTCTCCCTTGGGGTTAACAATAACGCCAGCATTGTCCTGAGAGGACAATTTAATGATAGTGAGACGTGGGACTGAATATGCATACCTCGAAGTAGAGGAAAACACCATCTCTCCGTCTCCAGGCCTTTCGTTGACGGATGACAATGGCTGGCATGGCTAACAAACAAGAAAGGAAGATGCGTCAGTCCTCGTCATGAAGTTCAGAGCCCTTCTCCTTCTTGTCATCTTCTACCATTCGACTAAACAAAAGCAAAATCGACAAACTCACTCTTCTTCCTCAATTCCGGCTTTCCCTTTTTCACGGATGCAACAACCATGTCGCCAACACCAGCGTCGGGAAGACGGTTCAGGTGGGCACCAAAACCATAAGGCTCAATGAGGAACAGAGATTTTGCGCCAGAGTTATCGGCACAGTTAATAACTGCGCCAACGGGAAGACCGAGCGTTAGTCTGAATTTTGTACCGGCGGGAGGAGCTGAGAGCCACGATTATGAATGTATGAAGTGTCCATTAACGATCCATTTTCAGATTGAAGAATAGCCGATCGGTAGAGCAATTTGAGGTAGGGAGTATTCAAGTTGGACGGAGAAGGAGCCAGGGGGAGCTATCAGATGGCATCCACGAATGAGTAGAGGTGGCACGTACAGGGTTTGGACATTTTGTGGTTTCTTGAGGTACGCTGGGGTCGAAACTTTTCGGTGGAAGACAACGTCTGCCGGGCGACGGCATTCAACTGTACAGTTATGCGGAAACTGCCGGAAACTAGGTCACCTGATCTTTGAACGTCTGCCTGCCGCGTCGCTGATCATCGTGTGACGCCCGAATGCTTCGCAAATCGCAGTGCCAATGGCGCTCTCCTCGCATCAGTTTCATCATCTGCACTACTCTGGAGCTTGGAGCTGACAGAAGCTGAAGTAAACCTTCGATCCATGCGAGAGATCTTCATAGCTGTTCCGTCCGAATGCATAAATTCACCCGTACGTCCTTCATTTCCCTCTGTAAACGTACTTGAAACGTTCTCCATCTAACAGGTCACACCTACAGCCTAGACAGCTCGACAAACATGCTGCCTCCAGGACCCCGCCGGATTCAAGAAGACCAGAATGGTGACATGTCGGTGGTCACACCGCTCAGAAAGAGTGATTGCGCTGTTCTTCGCGCCGGATGAAGTGTTAACTCGTAGCTTTCAGAAACTCAGGAGGATCAGGATAAAGCTGACGAGCAAGCACGACATAAAGCGTTGAAGGATCTTGTTCAGTCCTGGCAAGATCGCTTGCAGTTAATCACGCTCATTGTAAGTATAATCATCAAATTGTAAGCTCCCGTGCTCTAAAAACTACCGACATGTTATACAGACCACATTTCTCGCCTCGGTTGAGGCAAGTATGCTCCAAGTGACAATGCCCGATGACCCGACCAACTCATCCAAATGGTCGCAAGCAGCCAATGCAGGGTTCATGGCTTCCTTAGTTCTTCACCTCCACGCATCATTTGTCTCTTTCTTCGCTTCCTTTTTCCTCGTTCGATTCAAGGTCCAAGAGGCAAAACGTGAAGAGCGAGAGGTCGAAGCTGCCGACTCTTCTTTACAACATGTACCTACGTCGAAAGGATCTACTATCCTCGAAATGGCTGCCCATAATATCACGCGATCTCCTACGACATCCCCGCGTTCCACTGTTTCTATCGGGAATGGAGCATTTCCGCCGGAGAAAGGGAATGCTTCTACGCCGGAAACTCAAATTCCGTCAATATGGAGTGCCAATCCTCAGTTGGTTCAAACTGGTCCATTTCAGCGCCAGCCCCCGATCAACCTGTTAAGTCGTTGCCATACACTGTGTTTGGTAATTACAGCTTTGGGATTCATTCTGGCGATGGTTGGGGTTTTATGTTACGCATGGGATGGTCAGTCTACCAGTGTCGCCATCATCACCAGTGCGAGTATCTGCCTTTGTTTGCTCTCGTGTATTTGCATTGTCCTGCCTCAGCAAAGCGCACCTAGTTCACGCCTGTTCATGTACCGTTAACGACTCGTCTGGACCTCTATCAATCGCGGAATACTAAAGGGTAGCTAGTATTGCTACAACCACGTCGTACAATATCATTGTATTAATGAGATTTCTTGAAGTTATGTTGTCTGCTGACGGAAGTCGAGCGATAATTTTGTGGAACCTTTATGTTGAGTTTCAACGTTGGATGATATGACTGTTCGTGAGTTAGGGTATTATTCGCGATTTCTCTGTGCGATATGATACAATTGAAGTAAGATGCGAGTAATTTAGAGTAGATAGTAGACAGAGATCTCAAACCACAAATAACACATTACAGATATCGTGGTCACAGTATACCTAGATATTCAATCCTCCCTAGAAACATAATGAGATACGGATGGCATAGGTATCACAGATAACTCACTCTGCAGGCTCCCTCCGTATGAAAGCAAGATCTATTACAGCAGAAAAGGCAGCGAAAGCCAGTCCGCCACCAAGTACAGCTCTTGGGCCAGAATTTCGAGCGAGAATACCTCCAGCCAGGAATCCGGCAGATACCGAGTTGTAAATATCATTTTTTGCGCGATACTGCAGGGTTCATGAGTAAGTGAAACGAAGAGCCACAGGAGAGATCATACTGATTCTATTATGCATTCAATACCTGCATACAGTGCTCCGACTTTCCCAAACCCCTTTCCAGTTGTCCACATCCCCCTGCCCATCTCTTTGAACATCGCGCTCGCCTTTTGGTGGGTCTTCATTCCAGCCTGGGTCCGCTCACGGAGAAGAGGATCTTCGTAGGCGAATGAAGATGACATTAGAGAGAAGAAGGCACCAATGGCCAATCCTGAGAAACAAAGCTGCTAAGGCCAAGCAATGAGAAAACTGAGAGCCATAGATATTCACCTCCCCCACCAGCCAGTACAGTCTTGAACGCACACGTTTCCGACGCCATAGTCATGAACCTTTCAGTTTTCTTCATTTGCTCGTATGCATCGCGCTCTTCGTCGGAAACCCCAGGCGGAAGAGGTTCTTTGCCAGGTATATGTAGTGGCACTAAGCCAGGGAAATTTGGCCCGTTCATGAACGTGAACGCGTGAGCGAAAGCCTGGAAGATTTTGCAGACCAAAATTTCACTTCGGCATGTGTCATACCGATAAGATAATGGAATTTAGCGCCCATTTTGATGTGTCCAAATTCGGCAATCCACCAAGCAAGCCCTGTGTTTTGTCCAGTGCCAATTTGTCCCCCTCGTTCCACTTGACCTTCCTTGACCGCCGTGTACTAATATGAAAGCTCAACTCCACCGATCTCCTCTGTGGGTCCATATTGGCTTAATTCAATTGAGGATTGGCCACATTGTACTGTTTCTTATTGTTCTTCATCTCGAGAACAACAATACACTTACGTCTTCTGTAAAGAACGCTCTGGCGTATTGTCCGAAGTCATCTGCCATAAATAGGCTTGTGTGAATAGCGTATACGCTCTTCTGCTTTCCTACTTCTCTATACATCCCGCTCTCCCCGTCATCAGTCCACTCTCTACTAATCATTAATTATCATCATGCACGCATCCGACCCAACCTTCCCATTGTACCCCATCCTCTCTTTCCTTGCAATCGTTGTCAGCTTCATACCGTTTTCTTGGCACCTCCGAGCTCGTAATGTTGGGACTTGCTCGTACATGTTATCCACAGGATTGTACTCGCTTGTTGAATTCATCAACTCAATCATTTGGGCGGATAATGTGAATAATGTTGCGCCTGTGTGGTGTGATATCTGTGAGTCTTCTCTCTTCAGATATGCATGAAATACTAACCAAGGCTTCTTACAGCTGCACAAGTCATCATTGGTGCAAGTGTTGGGATTACCGCGTCAACCCTCGCTATCAGCCGACAATTATACAACATATCTCTTATGAATGGACACTCGATGACTCCACGAGAGGTCAGTATACACCAATGTTTCTCCGACTTGGTCTCTGATTAGTGAACCTTGTCATCTAGAAACGACGTGACACCATCATCAACGTCGTTATTGCTTTCGGAATTCCTTTGCTTGTTATGGCTTTACGTGCGTCAGCGTAGAATGTTTTTACTTTCAAACTGAAATTCAAACTTATTTAATATAGATTTTGTTGTGCAACCCCGTCGATTCGACATTTTTGAGGAAATTGGGTGTCAACCCGCCACATTCAACACCGTTGCAGCCTATGTATTGTACTTCATGTGGCCAGTCCTCATTGGCTTTTGCTCGTGTGTATATTCAGGTAAGGCGTCCCCATTTCGTTTTCATGTACCAGTACTGACTGTCGGGGTTTACCACCACCAGCGCTCACCCTACGCAACTTCTACAATCATCGTGTAGAATTCGCCAAAGTCGCGAGCACTAATTCCGGCATGTCACCCAGTCGTTACATCCGACTCATGCTTCTTGTCTTCGTCGATATGTTTTGTAACACGCCCATCGGTGTTTTCGCTATCATCGTTTCTGCGCGCGCTGTTGTTTTACCCTTTTCTGCCCTCTCCGAGACGGTGGATTTCACAAGTGTGCAATTGGTCCCGGCGAGCGAATGGAAGGCTGACCGCTTAGGCCGTGCGGCGGTCGAAATCAACCACTGGGTTCCTGTGTTTTGCTCATTCGTGTTCTTCATCTTCTTCGGATTCGCCGAAGAAGCCAAGAAGAACTATCGGAAAGCGTACGAAAGCTTGAAGGAACTCTTTTCTTGTGGAGGGAGCAGGGTGGAAGCAAACAGCACTATCAAGCCAAGGTAAATATTCGCATTATCTACCGTGCCTTCATGACTAATGGCGGTTTCTGCGTATGTAGATCGAAAATGTGGAACATGATTTCCTCCAACCCAAAATCGACTACTTCTGTAACTGCCTCTACGCTCACTCCCTCTACGTTTTCGGCTCATGACAAATACACGCCTGACGAATCATTCCTCTCACAAACCGATACCCTTAACTCGCCATACTCACCATCCTCCCCCCCTTCCTGCACCTCATCCTTAAGACCCTTGCTTCTCCGCTCCGGTGCAACATCCCCTCAACCGTCTTCGCGCCAAACCAGTTTCGCCGACTCCGAACGGCGCGCAGGCTTTTTCGCTGCCCAGTTGAGAGGGAATACGAGTGCAGAGTCTTCACGAAGAGTTCCCCTTGCCGATCCAATGTCCGCTGCTAGCTCAGTTACGCTCGATCCTAGTTCCCTAGAAAACGGATATGGACACGGACATGGACGTCTTGAGTCTGACGGGCTTGAAGAAATACCACTGGATTGGTCGCCCACAAAGGCGTCTTCAACGTACCCGTCCACTCAGCTTCATGCCTTGTAATGTGTGCTATTCTCATGATTTTCACGCTGATCATCTCATCCATTTTGTATCATTATCACCGTCCATGAGATTTGCCCTAACTCCTGCTGTTGCTTTACGATATTCATACGTACCTAATTGGTATTTATCACTATCCTTATATCTTTCCCATTCTTTCTTGCATTGCTACTTTTGATTCTGGATTAATCTTCTGGACTTTGGAAAGCTGTTTACACTTATATTTTTTTTCGAGTTCCCTTGGTGGTACTTTGGCCTGCATCTTTTGTATCTATAACTTTATAGTTTCGTTGCACGTGTATATGAATATACGTACACTGTGCTTGGAGATGTCTCTCTTGATTGCAACTACAGTGACTTACAGTGACTGTCCAACTTTTGCTTGAAATTGGTATATTCTTGACCCATACTCTTTTGTGACATGACTTCGTAAGTCTTCCATACCTTTTCGCATGCACAGTATAAGAAGCTGGAGGCTCAATTGCGGCTTTTTTCGATGTAGATTGAGCAACTCTTCTGTTCCTACAACATTACAGGCCCTGCGACCCTAATACCGAAGTTCAATGTGCGGCTTCCTCAAATGCAGGCTTCCGAGCAAACGGGCTTGGGTACTGACTATGTAGGTTATTGTCTAGAGGTTCATTACCGGTGAAGAGGCTAACTATGATCTGAGGTTAATCATGAGAACTTTCAAGAAGGCCCCAGTCATCCTTCAGAGTCTCTGCCGAAGTGCAAATCTCACACTCTTGACCTCTCAACTAGTATAGCTGGCAAGTCAGATAATCCTGCACCTCAACTGTCTGCTTTCGCCACCGCACGTGTTATTGGCAAAGGAGCCCGCACTCCTTTCGGTGAAATGGGTATCCCTCTTGAACCCGTCGCGCCAACACTCTGGGACAGGAAAGCCATCGCGAATGTCGATCAAGACTCTCCTGAGATCATTGACCGTAAACTGAAATTTTTGCTAAACAGACTTACGATAGAGAAGTTCGACTCCATCTCCGATCAAATTATCGCTTTGGTGAACAAATCAGAGAAAGAGAAGGATGGACGAACGTTGATTCAAGTCATTCGTCTCGTATTCGAGCAAGCAACCGATGGGGAAAATCAATCAGAGATGTATGCTCTTCTTTGTCGAAAAATGATGGAACAGATTAGTGCCAACGTTCAGGATGATAGCATTAGAAATGCGGAAGGGAAGCCCATAGCTGGCGGTAATCTCTTCCGCAAGTACCTGCTCGATAGGTGTCAGGAGGACTTCGAACGTGGCTGGTTCAATAAAGAGGCTACTGCTGCCGCTGCTGCCACGAAGGTGATAGAGGAACAAGCACTGAAAGCTGCCAATACGACAAAAGGGGAGGAAGAGGTTGCCCTATACTCCGACGAATATTACGCTGCTCAGAAGGCGAAACGTCAGGGTCTCGGTCTCATCAAGTTCATTGGTGAACTTTTCAAACTGCAGATGCTTACGGAGCGTATTATGCACGAGTGTGTCAAGAAACTTTTGGGCAACGTGGAGAACCCAGAAGAAGAAGAAATCGAGTCGCTGTGCAAGCTTCTCATCACTGTTGGCCAGATGCTTGATACGCCTAAAGCTCGTGCGCACATGAATGTTTACTTTGACCGCATGAAGCAATTGGCGAAGAGTACCAATGTCAACTCCCGTATGCAATTTATGTTACAGGTATGATAAAACCTCGGTTTCATTCTGGAATAATCTTCTGATGCGTTTTCAGGATGTTATTGAGCTCCGTGAGCGGAAATGGCAGCAGGGGAACGCCGTCGCTGCACCTACTACGATCGCTAAAATTCACGAAGCAGTGAGTGCCCCTGACCTTGACATCAGTTATCTTTATCGTTTACTCAACACATCCGAGGTACTTAGGCTGCGAAGGAGAAGGCTGCGGCAGAGAAAGATGCGTACGCCCGGCAAATGAACACTGGTATGTCTCGCACTGGTTCGCGTCGTGGCGGAGATAGAAACGACCACCAAGCCAAAGTCGGAGATTTGTCCAAGTTCGGACAAATTAGCAAGGGCGCACCAATGACGTTTGGGCCCAGTAGCGTATTTGCGGGCAAGAAAGAGAGCAAGCGCGAGTCACTTTCGAGGACGAACTCCAATGCGAACATGTTCCAAATGCTCCAAAACGTTGAGGCTGCTGAAATATAGCCTGAAAGGAGAATCAATGGTCATAAAACTGATACGAATGACATACCCTGACTGCGCGCATCGGTCAATCCGACTTTGTAACTTACTCCTCCATCAAACTCCATCATACTTTAGCCGGAAAAGGATTCGAGTTCTTCATATTCTAATAACGCTGTATGAATTATTATGCGGTACATACAGCAATGGTATATTGTCACTGGATACCTGGTTACTCACTGTTGTTCAGTGCTTTCTAGAAGCATAGGATGTGTACCACCATGAATCACTCTACGACAGAAAAAACCATACTGTTGATTCCGAGTCAGTAGGATTCAGTGCCTTCAGTGTACAATTGCTAATTTTTCCAAAACTCGGTCCAAGTCCCCGTGTCCATCTTCTGCGACGGTCATTGTTTTGGTGATAGCTATCGCTCTGGTCCTGAATCTTGAATTAGTTAGCCAGCAATATTGTAGGCACATTTAACGGTTCGGTTCGCGGAGGAATGCTGAAATATAAGCGCCCATGAAATGACATAACTTGTTCTGTTTCTCATGCGACCAACCCTCGGCTTGTTCAAAAGAGGAGGACGCTCTGCGTGGAAAGGTGCTCCTATAATATTTCTCAAAACTCAAAACGAATCAACTCTCTTTCAGGACCTTATTTCGTCGCCTTTCCCAACCTAAGGGAAGCTCAAACCTCTAATGTCGCCATAAAAACTCAAGCCAGGTCATGTACCATCCTGCCAAATTTCGTTGGGTACGCTTTCTGCTGTTAACATACCTGATGTTATTCATATCAGATTGTAGAATTCGGTTTCTGGTTCATAACGGGAAGAATTACCTCCCGGTCATGGTTACGGAGGAGATGGTGGGGCATAAGCTGGGGGAATTTGCACACACTAGGAAAGCGTTCTCTGGGTCTGGAAAGTGAGTCTTGTTTTCGATCTTTCACACCATTTCCATTGACTGCTGTTACAGGAAGAAGTAGTAGCATTATCATCACGAATCATAATATCTATAAACTCTTGCCGCCCATGTTTTTCAAATAATCACCCCGTTGTAACTGAGAAGACCATACCTGTGAAAAGTCATAATTGGAATTGCTGTCGTACAATATTAAGCCTCATGGTACGTTGTAACTCTTTTGGATGTTGTGACCAGCGAATAAATAAATATGTCTACAGCTACACGACTACTTGAAAAGTGTGGATTGAGTTCTCGTGCGGCAACCATAGCTGCCATCACCATGCTGGTTGCATGACGCAAACTGGTGCTGATTTGGCTGAAGAAGGGCCAGCGCTGAGAGGTGCTGCTTTCTTCTCTGATGCATGCGTATAGTGTGTCCTAACGGGACATGTGTTTATCAATCTGATTCCCTCTTCCCGCCGAGATCGAAACTCACATTGTTGCAGCAATAGACCACGCCTCGTACCTGAAAGCAACTACTGCTTCTACATCTGCATCTCTATCGGCCCTCCACGCTCGCTGTTCTAGCATGTAAGCGAGATCACTGAATCCCCGGGCGCACTCCTGATGCGCCTGGGGATATGACGAAAGGATTTCTCGGTGGGTGAAGATGGCTTCGAGGTACTCGCCTCCGGTGGTGGGATACGTGTCCAGTTGGGCTTGTATGGCTCGTAGGTACGCACATCCGTAGGACTCGCTTTTTGTGCTGGTGTTGGAGTATTCCGACTTTGCTTTGTCGGACTGCAGAGGCAAATTACTCGGATGAATATGCATGCGATTTTCCGGGACTCACCTGACAACTCGGATCGTCGGACATTGTTACGTCTTCCTGGACGTCTGCTCGCTTTGGAGATTCCACGATGTCGCTCACTTTTTGCTATCTCCAGGAGAATAAACAAGAGTCATCACGAAGACAGATTGTGGCTCACATTAAGCTTTGTTCCTCCTGTTAATGAAAGCGTTTGCAATAACTCGCAGAGGTCCATTGGAAACTGCTGATTTGCTCATTCAGAAATCAAGAAAAACACTTCTAGGATCGATGGTCATCACCTCTTGAGTGATCGTTGTAGTCATTGTAGCTTTAGAATTGAAATTGGAAGCTACTTGATAGGTTGGATTGAAGATATGTTAGTGGTAGAAAGGTAAGTGTCGTTCGATCTTTCGACATGTCCTTGGCCGCTATGTACAGTCCTCATGCTGAACGCATTTGCAAAGAGCCGAAGCCGCGAGGCATGAATTCCCCATTTGATCAGTGATTAGAGAGTCAGTACTTGAGGATTTTAGTTCTACATGTTTATTTACTTTTGACTCAAATACTGGTTTAGCTTTCGAAGAAAGACTCAAGCTGACTTTGGGATGAACATTATTTCGCTTGTACTGTGGCATATGAAAACAACTAATGCACCCGGCCCTATTACACCGATATCATCCCCGTCTTGCACTGTGTTCATCGATCTGCTCAATGAATCCCTCGTAATACTCACATTCATGGATTGGATCCTTACATCAATACAGAGCAAGATGCAAATTTGGAATCCTAGTTGGATCGTTGCCTTCATTCAATGCATCATCCATCCGGATCTCTCTCCCGCTTCTTCCCACCAAGTAATAACTAATATCAATCAATATACGCTAAGGTGCTGATGTATGTGAGGAGCGTCAGAGAGCGCCATATGCTGCATATGCAAAGCTCAACAAAGAATCATGATGAACATCCCAGTTCATCGCCCAGTACTCCACTCAAGCCTTCTGTATTCGCTTCAACTTTATCTCCATTCCTGGTACCTTATGGTGGGATGCTCCCAAAGATCATCGATGAAACTGGCGGTGCTTCCCTGGTCTACTGCTGTCCACAAATCGCTTTGATAGGAACCGGACAAAGCTGAAAATCGTGATGGGTTTTCGCAGACTCTGTCGTAATCTCCCAGTAATCCCGTAAATGATTTCAATTCAAAAAAATTTCGTCTATTTGTTGAGCCCAGTGCCTTAACGTTAACCATAGAATCAAACTCTACCCAGATGATAAGTCAATACGTATATGAAGCACACTTGGTAAACACCCTTTTGCATCACCTCCTGCTCTACGGTCATGCCGAGCTCTCAAATTTCCTTGGACCGAGCATACCTTACTGCAATTTGGCTTGAGACGCTATTCTATGGTGCGTTATTCCTCAAAATTTTTGCGTACCCTGACGACTGATTGAGGAACCACATTTGTCTGTTGCTGCTATCCTACCTAGGGATTAACTTGTTGCTGTTCTTCTCGTACCTCTTCATTGTACGGTACAAGAGAAGAATTTCTCTAAGTAAAATCATCGTTGGCGTTGCGGTCATGATGTTCCTCTTTTCCACCGTCCACGTCTCTTTAGGATTCTATCGGTTGATAGAAGGATTCATCGTTTTGAAAGATCCCATAGTGTTTTTTTCTGATGTTTCCATTCCTGCGAATGTCGCAAAGGTAACGATACACACTGTCAATTCAATCCTTGGGGACAGTATCATGGTGAGTGTCAATGCTAGCAGAAGTATATTTGAGCTGATATACGTGGCTTTGATATATTGCAGGTGTGGAGATGCTATAACGTCTGGGGGCAAAGCTGGTTGCCGTCCATCCTTCCAATCCTTTTGATAATTGCTTCCGCAGGTAATCGAATATTCTCAAGCGGATACGTCTTTACTGAACAACCGGCTCCCAACATAGTTTGCGGTTTTGGCCAAGCGGTCATATTCGCGGAAGCACGGACTACGCATAGCGCGTTTGGATCTAACCTGGAGAGATGGAATGGATCGTTATTCTCTCTATCGCTCGCGACAAACGTCGTTGTTACTTCTTTGATTGCTTCCCGAATCTGGTAAGTCGTTCGTCGCAGCTCTGGTTTGAGCTTTACTCAACAGTCCCCTCAAGGTGGGTAAGCCGCCAAAATAGTTCTCTTCATGATTCGAGCTTCAAATATCGACGAGTCCTACTTCTTGTCATCGAGTCCGGTGCTATTTATTCTTCAGCTCTGGTCATTGAAATCACTCTTTATTTCTTGAACAACAACGCGTTCTACATCATCTATGATCCTATTGCTCAACTTACTGCGAGTGTTCCAATTCCTTTACGCCTCGTCTGCAACTTAAAATTTTCATCCTACACTGCAGGCAATCGTACCTACCATGATCATCGTCATGACGAGTCTTGATCTGACGTCGGCTGCCCTGGATTCCGAAGAACAACGCACGACTCGGCATCGGACTATCGAATCTCGACCTCATTTTGCCGCTGCAGGACGCGGTACGGATACATTCTCCTCGATAGTGTCTTCATTTCCAGACCCCGAAGATCGTGTAAGAGAGCAGGCGACTGATATCTATCTGGGATTGAACCAGAAGGAATCGGCAAAAGTCGCCATATAGTTTTCCGTAGAGTTTTGTTGTACTTGTACAATGATCTTGATCTGTTTGAAGATGTCGCAGCGCACTAGTGAGTGTGATGAGCTTCTTCCTGTTGATTACATTCTGTCATTACAACGCAAACTCCCTGCCCTCGATTGCAGATCTTACCATGAATTAGTTCTGGATGCATTTTCAGTAATTATAAATTCGTTTCCGTATACACGTTTCTAAGATTTCATCGTCATCCGTACCAAATTACTGAAGAACGTTATCCAGATTCCAGAGACTCAGAGGCAAGTTTGCCATTCTTTGCTCCCGTCTGGCGAAAGAATTGGGCGAAGGACTTCCCTTGCTTTGAGGGAATCTTTGAGGGGATCATGGGTCCCACCTTTTCTGCCTCAATGTCGCAATCAGCTACATGTTTCGAGATTCTAACAGCACTTTGTTTCAAGCCGGTAAAGATTGTTGAACAGGTTAGGCAGCAGCAGCGGCAGGGTAATCAAGCACTTAGGCTGGAATGGAATTGTTGGTGACGGCGAAAGGTAAAGAGTCATCTTCCACGATCCGTCCCGTATACATGCTGCGAGCCTATGATACAGGAAATCCTTCATCACCTTTATCAAACCTTTTTGGATATGTTATTGTCCCGATAGCTTGGCCCTTTGTTATTCCTTTCCATGCATCAACCGGCGCCGGTGGTTATGAACAACTTTAGAGAGTAACTGCTTTTTACCCCTCTAGGTCATTTGCGCAACAAAGTTCACCTTTCATCAATGGGAAGAGTACCGAACCTTCTTGATCGGGAAGACATGTCTGGTAGGCTGTGGCCCATTTCAGCATGAGTTTGGTAATCCTTCGGCTGTTACCTGATCTGGAGACTTTTGTGGGGGCAAGGCTTGTCATAAGGAGTCAGAAAGAGATTCGGTCGATGGCTGGAATGAGGTCTCTCGAAGCCTCTTGTAGCTTGATCAATGAGTCATTTCTTGAAACATAAATAGTTGAATTTCATGCATGTGTTGATATTATTCAAGCAGCTGAAGCACTGAGACAGTACTTACAGTAGCTGTTGTAAATTTAGAATAATCTAATCAACGTGGTGAGGTACCTCTTCAATTCACTCCTACATCTGCTCACCGACGTTCAGTGTACGCTCCGCGCAACTCAGAGTCAGATCCCGCACGATCCCGCTATCCTTTCTGTCAGTACAGTTCAGTGAAGTATGACGCAAAAGCGGTTTTCTGCCCTACTCTGACACGATGCCGACACATTAACGAAACAGCCACCCGTTGATTACAGTAGCAGCACTGGGAATAAGCAGTATGATTCAGAAATATGATGAACCCCATGTCATTTGTCATTGGCTAGGTGTCTCCTCGTGCTTTATGGGGCAATTCTTGGAAGCGATTGGGAAATGAACTTAGGATACGTTCGCGACAGACACCTCTTGGTAATGAGAAATGTGGTTTTTTCACGAGGCGAGGTCCAAAAGGATATTTTGAAAACATGCCAAATGGAATGGATCTGATTCTGAGCCATCTGCAGCTGAAAGCAGCGCCGGCACCGTGAACGAGTCAACGGTCGAGGCCGGAGCTTGCCGATGTGCCGGTAATTTCATCACGCGGTGCTGGTTTTTCAGCCCTGCTCTTTTCGTCTTCCTCATCAAGGACAGACATTCAGACCGGATTGCCGCACAGAGCGTCCGTCTTGTTTTCTTTAGAACAAACCCATCTCTTCTCCAGCTGCTTCCTAGCCTGCTGGCAGGTCATTTTTAACGACCAACCCTCTCAAGAAATACCCAGAAATCAGTACCATCTCAACCGATACTCTTTTGTCACAAAAATTCGTGAGTCTTCCGTCCTTTTTTGCAATATGGAAGGCCTAATTTGCGGCTTTTTTGATGTAGAATGAGCAAATCTTCTGTTGCTGCAACATCAAAGATTCCTGCGACCCAGCTACCATCGAAGTCGGCTTGGTCGAAAGGCCCACCACAAACTGCCTCGCCGCGCTCCCAATCTCCTGCACCATCGAATTCTGCCCCAGCGCATGCTACTCACTCTAGACGGCCTAGCACTCTTGGTCAAGGAATTCCTATAAAAGATGGCGTCAGTATACCCCGTAACAACGTGGGTGCAACAAAAACAGGTATGCGTGTCGTCTTTTTTCTCTTGTGTAGAAGGATTAACAATAAAACAGGCTCTGTGGTATCCTTTGGGTCCATAGACGATACCTCGGCACCTATATCCTCCTCACCAGCAGCTACACCCGCTATTAAATCCTCATCTGAAGGCGTAAAGTCTTTCGGTTCGGTTCCAGCTGCCGTTAGTCAGATAAATGGGAAATCTTCTGTCTCATCTTCAACAAAACCGCCGCTGAGCCAAACTTCTTCCTCAACCTCCATTTCAGGTGCATCGACATCATCATCGTCGACCTCTGCACCCACAAAACCGAAAGTCGATGTCCGAAAATTTTTCCAGAGCGCTCCCCAGTCAACTTCGGATTCTTCCTCTCCTTCTATGCGACCGTCGAATCTACCGCCTCAACAGTCCTCAACGTCCAACGCTCCAATGGGTGCGCCATCATATAACACATTTGTGCCCGCTGGTATGCGTGTCCCGCCAAATCCTGTGGCAACTGGTGTACCTAGCACACCAAGATCACCGAATTACCCTAGGCAGCAAATATCGAATGGTAATGGTCCTCGACCTCCTAATGGTACAAATGCTCCACCTGGACCTCCGATGCAACCACCCATGGGAAGTCCTCGCCTCGCTCCTCATCCACATCCTGGTCAACAGCCCAATGTGCAGCCTCCTCAAATGCAGGCTCCTGTGCAAATGGGCTGGGGCCCTTACTATGTAAGTTATTTGCGATTTATACAATTCTCCAGTGTACCGTTAGCTAAACTCACGACAACCAGTATAACATGGCTCCTGGAATGCCTCCCGAACAAGGTGGATATATGTATCCCATGCCCTGGGCATACAATATGCAGCCTCAACAAATGCCTCCACCTCATCCCCAACAACATCCGCATCCCCCCCTTTCACATCATCCCTCATCTCAAGGTCCTCCTCATCCTTCAATGCCAATGTCTCCACGAAATCCTCCCATTCCACTGCAAGGTGGCCCTCCTGGTACACCAACGTCTTCACATGCTTCGGCTGCTCCTCACAGCCCCCATCCTGCACCACTTTCGCATTTATCATCCAACAGCATTAGCGCCGTTTCATCACCGCCTCCTACTCCCTCGTCAGCTACGATGCCAGGTAGTGCTCGGCTCAATAACAACGCCAATCCCTTCGTTCCTCGACCGACTTCGAAGATTGTAATCAAGAGCGCTGACGGCTCTGAGGTCAATCTCGAGAACTTTAAGAAAGGTCCGAGCCATCAATCATCTCCATCAATCGTCACCTCTTTACCCACACCCTCGCCCTCCGGACTGAATTCGCCAAGTAGACGGGCTATCCCGATTGTGGCGCCTGACTCCAAGAAGAAGCGCGAGGAAAAAGAAAGAGAAGAAATGCAAGCAAAGGCTGCAACTTTGGAGAAGGAACGGAAGGCGAAGGAGGAGATAGAGAAGAAGGCGAAGGAGGAAGAGCGTCTCCGAAAGGAAAAGCAGGAAGCTGAGCGAAAGGAGAAAGAGGAAGCTAAACGTAAAACTAAGGAGGAAGCTGAGCGTAAAGCTAAGGAAGAGGCTGACCGTCTAGCTAAGGAGGAGGCCGAACGTATAGCCAAACAGGAAGCTGAGCGCAAAGCAAAGGAGGAGGAAGAGGAGCGACAGAGATTAAAGGCTGAAGAGGAAGAAAAGGCGCGCATAGCTGAGGAGGAACGTCTTCGACAGGAGATACTTGAAGCCGAGAAGCATCGTCAGGAGGAAGAGGAAAAAAAGAAGGAGGAGGAACAAGCGCGTCTTGTGAAGGAAGAGGAAGACGCTGCAGCCAAGGCTAAAGCTGAGCTTGAGGCTGAAGCTAAAGCTGAAGAGGAGGAAGGCGAAGTCATTGAAAAGGACAAGCCTCATACAGACGGTCCAGAAGCGAAAGCTACCGAGATAAAGCCTGATGAGAAGAAGGCCCTTCGGATCGATACTGCTCGTCCTTCAGAGCCTCTACCGAAACGCCGACCAGGTCCTCTTGACCTATCAACTGTAGCTGGTAAGACAAACATTCCTCCGCCTCTACCATCTGCTCTAGCCACAGCGCGTATCATTGAGGACCTTGGCCGTATATCTTACCCTGAAGGCGTCCAAAGTCCCAAAGTTGAGCTCAATGTCAACGCCAAGGATGGCAAGTTTAGGTAAGCGGTGGTCATAAACTCAAAGATTCAGCTACTAAGTTATCATGCAGATACGACAGAGATTTCCTGCTTCAGTTTATGTCCGTTTGCAAGGAAAAACCCGACAATCTCCCTGCTCTTGATGCTATCGGTCTTGAGCCACCTTCTCAACCACCGTTCCCCATTATTCGTACTCAGTCTGGGCGCGGTACCAGACCGGGCAACATAGTGCGTTCGACCTCTGTTGGTCTAGGAGCTGGATTTAAAGGAGCTCCTACTCCTTTCGGTGGAATGGGCAACTTTGGTACAGCTGGATCTGCCAGCAAGCTGTCTAGTGAAGAGAGGTTCCAGCTTGCCAATCCTGGTCGTACTGTGTCGATGAGTGGTGCCGGTACTCCTTTCCGTCCCCAGGGTATACAACGGACTACCAGTTCTGGTGGACCTGGTTCACAGTTACACACTGGCCGCACCAGGAGTAAACGTGGGGATAAACGTCCCGATGCCAATAAGGCTCCGCCTGGGGCACACCACCAACAGTACGGTCATGCGGGTACAACGTATGGACCTGGTGGTATTCCTCTTGAACCTGTCGCTCCATTGCAATTGTCCGAGAACCGATGGGACAGGAAAGCCATCGCGAATGTTGATCAAGACTCTCCTGAGATCGTTGATCGCAAAGTTAAATCTTTGCTGAACAAACTAACGATGGAGAAGTTCGACTCGATCTCCGATCAAATTATCGCTTGGGCGAACAAATCAGAGAAGGAGAAGGATGGACGAACGTTGATTCAAGTCATTCGTCTCGTTTTCGAAAAAGCAACCGATGAGGCAACCTGGTCAGAGATGTATGCTCGCCTTTGTCGAAAAATGATGGAACAGATCAGTGCCAAAGTTCAGGATGATGGCATTAGAAATGCGGAAGGGAAGCCCATTGCAGGCGGTAATCTCTTCCGTAAGTACCTGCTCAACAGGTGCCAGGAGGACTTCGAACGCGGTTGGTTCAATAAAGAGGCTACCGCTGCTGCTGCTGCCACAAAGGCAATAGAGGAACAAGCAATGAAAGCTGCCAATACGACGAAGGAGGAGGAAGAGGTTGCCCTATACTCCGACGAATATTACGCTGCTCAGAAGGCGAAACGTCAGGGTCTCGGTCTCATCAAGTTCATTGGTGAACTTTTCAAACTGCAGATGCTTACGGAGCGTATTATGCACGAGTGTGTCAAGAAACTTTTGGGCAACGTGGAGAACCCAGAAGAAGAAGAAATCGAGTCGCTGTGCAAGCTTCTCATCACTGTTGGCCAGATGCTTGATACGCCTAAAGCTCGTGCACACATGAATGTCTACTTTGACCGCATGAAGGAGTTGACGAAGAGTACCAATGTCAACTCCCGTATGCAATTTATGTTACAGGTATGATAAAACCTCGGTTTCTTTCTGAAATAATCTTCTCATGCATTTTCAGGATGTTATTGAGCTCCGTGAGCGGAAATGGCAGCAGAGGAACGCCGTCGCAGCACCTACTACACTCGCTAAAATTCACGAAGCAGTGAGTGCCCCTGACCTTGACATCAGTTATCTTTATCGTTTACTCAACACATCGGTACTTAGGCTGCGAAGGAGAAGGCTGTCGCAGAGAAAGATGCGTACGCCCGGCAAATGAACACTAGCATGTCCCGCACTGGTTCGCGTCGTGGCGGAGATAGAAACGACCACCAAGCCGGCGCTGATGGCTGGACTGTTACTGGCAATGCTCCTCGTCCTCCCGCCAAAGTCGGAGATTTGTCGAAGTTCGGACAAATCAGCAAGGGCGCACCAATGACGTTTGGGCCCAGTAGCGTATTTGCGGGCAAGAAAGAGAGCAAGCGCGAGTCACTTTCGAGGACAAACTCCAATGCGAACATGTTCCAAATGCTCCAAAACGTCGAGGCTGCTGAAGTTGCTACTAAAACGAGCAGGCCTCCCAGCCGGAAGCCAAGTGTTGATTTGGGATCAGGTGGTGCACCTGAGCCTGCACCCCAACGGAAACGTCTCAACTTGCTACCTCGAACGAAGCCTGTCGATCAGGATTCTGCTCCCCAACAGGAGTCGGATTCTGAAGAGGAGGAGGAGATTACGGACGAACCCGAGCAGGAAATGTCGGAAGATGAAGCCAAGAAGAAGATTTCCGAGGATACCAAGGAATTCTTCGGTGTTCGGAGCCTTGACGAGGCAGAAGTTTACTTTGAAAAACTTCCCTCAATGTACCACCATAGTCTTGTCGACAAACTTGTCACTCTTGCCATCGAGTCGAAGGAAGCTGATGCAAGATTGGTTGGCGATTTCTTCGAACGGGCTTCATCGAAGAAGCTTTGCTCAGCTTCAGCGTTCGAAGAGGGCTTCCTCGGTATTGCGGAATTTTTGGACGACATCGCTATCGATGCTCCAAAAGCTACTGATCTTTTGGCCATAATGATCAAGGGTGCTGACCTCGGGGAAGAGCAACGGACGAATATTGCTTCGAAGTCAGCCGAGAACGGGGACAAGCTTCTCAAGCTCTCATCATAGACTTTCGCTCCTACTTTCATTCACTGCTTGTATCGTTGGTCAACATTAATTCACCTGTTTATTACCTTTGCATCCCTTCATGTGTGTTTTTGTCTTCTTATCTGATTCTACATACCATTCTGTTCTTGTCCTGCAGATTGTTTATATATCATAGTCTACTGAGTAGTGTACTGCATTTGAGTCTATTAACAGAGAGTTAGTCTCTATACTATAGAACTCCAAAAGTTAATTTCGTTGACGGATGAGTCCGTGAGATTATTCCGTCATCATAATATTGCCTTCTCACTTCGGATCTTTGTCTTTCTGTACCACCATTCTGCTTTGTTCCCCAACAGGGGGCCGTTTCCTCGTTGTAATTTAGCCAGTGTCGATGCTACCATCCATCAGGCGACATCTCAATTTTTATCGGATTCATATCTTATTTTTGCAAGTTTTCATGTGCCTGTTAATATCGTTGCTCAATAACTTTGTCTTAGCACCTTCACCCCTTTAATATTCTCTGCTATATTCTATGCAAGTAATGGACGCTACAAGATCAGCTATATCGATGCTTTGTTCAACTGTGTCAGCGCAATGACGGTTTGCGGTCTGGCAACGCTCGATCTGAGTAGTTTAACACCCTGGCAGCAAGTTATATTGTTTATACAGATGTGTCTTGGAAGCCCAGTGCGTATCACACCAATTCCCTCATTTTTGCATACTAATTTATCTTGCTAGGTTGTTGTTTCCTGGGTGATGGTTTACATTCGGAAGTGAGACAAACCCTTCCTACATTCATGGTTCTTCACCTAACCTTAATCTTCGTGTGAATACAGGTACTATTTTGAAAAGAAATTCGAACATCTAATCGAAAGCGTCGCTGCCAGCAAGGAGGTTCCTGCCCCCAGTGTTTCAGAAGAGCGGAGTGCTATTGTTCGTTGGTGCCGCTTGCTCGTCAGCTTGCTCAACAGCAGGAAAAAAGAGCAGCTTCCTATGACGCGGCAGGATAGCAGTGAATCTTTTGGAGAGAAAGGGCGCAAAACTTCGAAGAAGCTTAGGACTGACATGATTAGGCGAATGGACGATGCGCCCAAGCTGGTGAATCCTAGCGGATGGATCAGCGAGGGAGACAGCATACCTATTGCGCGTTTTGCAACTATCAACTCTCATCCTCAACCTTCTTCGCGAGGCCAGTTTCGCCCTTCCGTAATTCCGCCAGACAATCAACCGCCGGTCAAAGGGTTAGTTGACTGATCACTCGATTACATGTATGCGATCTCATTCCCCCAGAATCATGGCCCGCCGGTTGTCAGATCCTGGTACTCCTTCTAGGCCATCGTCACCGCAAGGACACTCCAGTATGTTGTCTTCTTTGCTGTATCTCATGCTGTCTCTCACGTTAAGCGCAGCCTCGCTGCACAGGTTCGATACGGTGGCACCGAAAAGCTCTAAGTTCCCTCGGACTCCCACCGTAGAATTCAGCACTACCCTTCCCCGTCGTCGTGCACGTATAGAGCCACTACACGAGGAAGAAGGTCTTGCACGGCCTACTGTAAGCCCCTTACAGCCCGATGACCGCAGTAAGTTTTCTCAGAGCGTTCACGATGATAGCTCTCATGAAAATCCCAGGATCCCTGCGTCGGATGTCCATACCCTCTCATCCTCTCATGACGTCACACACATATAGTACCTACAAATCTAGTAGAGGCACCAAGCATAGTGGCTTTGGAGGATTTCCGATGCCCCATGAAATATTGCAAAAACTCTTCGACAAATTTTTCCCAAAGCTAAGACACAAACTTACACGGACTATTACTATACCAATTACAACTACCATTGCCTCACAACGTGGGGGCAATATACCCCCTGGTGCCAAGGTGGTGCCGTATATCTCTTTCGAAGCCGTTGTCGGTAGAAATTCTGCTTTTCCATTGCTCTCCGACGAACAATTGGAGGTATGACATAAATCATTTTACTGCAGATATCGAGTTAATAATAGATAGGAACTCGGCGGTGTCGAATATCGCGCACTCAATGCTTTGCTCTGGATTGTTGGCGCTGTAGGCTTTTCATTAATGCTTACAAGACAGTAATTTCTGATTCATTTTACGCCCAGTATCATATTGGCATTCAGCTAGTGTCGTTTGTGGTCATAGCATCTTATATGTCTATATCAAAATGGAACAGCGACTTTCTTCCACCCGCTCTACATCGCCCTGTGTCTTCGACATGGTACGTTTCTCCATGATCGGCTTCGAAGCTGCACTGAAGAACAATGCAGGTTTTCCCTCTACCAAACTGTGTCAGCCTACACAAACACCGGCACCTCATTGGTAGATACTTCTATGATACCCTTCCAGAAAGCGTACCCAGTAATTGTATTTATGGTTATTCTTATATTGGCTGGAAATACTGCGTTTGTAAGTGCATTGCCGTTCCCCATATAAACTGTTGCTGATTTTACTTTCCTGTTCAATTCTTAGCCCATATTGTGAGTGCACAATCGCAAATTTCTTGTCAATATCTGCTTAATCGGGAAATCATCAGCCTACGAGCTGAAATGTGCGATTATCTCTCTACATTCTAGTCAGTGTCACTTAGTATCTACATCATCAGATTCTTTCTGTCCAAAATAGTTCCTCGGACTTCACGCCTCCATGAAACCTTACAATTCCTCTTAGACCATCCCCGACGATGTTTCATCTACCTGTTTCCTTCACATCAGACTTGGTTCCTGCTGATAGTTGTGGTTGCACTCAAGTACGCAAGTCCATCGCGACTTAGAATTAACCTGTAAATAAAATTCCTTTCTAGCGTTACAGATTGGCTTTCCTTCATGGTGTTAGACATTGGAACCCCAGCTATCGATGCTATACCTGTCGGTGTGCGTCTCATCATAGGGGTCCTTCAAGCGGTAGCAGTCAGAGCTGCCGGTTTTGGTACTGTCACACTTTCAGCGCTCGCACCAGCCGTCAAGTGAGTCGTGCCGCTGTCAACCATCGTGTTGCTCAATTCTTCTCAAGGGTCTTATATGTGATCATGATGTACATCAGCGTTTGTAAGTGCTTATTTTAAAGTCTCTTCGGGTGCGACTACCAAGTTCTGTTACTCAAATTCTTGTTGAATAGATCCCATAGCTATGAGGTGAGATTCATTCAATTTGGCAACCATCAACATCGCTGAAATCCAGTAGTGTACGATCGACCAACGTCTACGAAGAGCAATCTCTCGGCGTATATCGAGAATCGATGATTACGGATGAAGATCCTGACTTCCAGTTATCCGGTCCCAGGATGACTGTGTGGAGTAAATATCTTGCTATGCACGCTAGGAAGCAACTTTCTTTCGGTAAGTTCACCAGTTCGTGGTATACTGGGATTCACGCGTTCCGTGTTCAGATATGTGGTGGCTCGGTCTTGCTCTTTTCCTTGTTTGCATCATTGAAGTACGTGAAATTTGTGTGACGCATCTTTGTAACCCTCGCCGATCTATATCCAAAGAGGCCAAACCTTGACGACACCAGCAAGGCGACATGGTTCAACATTTTCAATATCGGTCTGTCTGCTAGCTTCTTTTTCAGGTGACATCTACTGAGTATCCTTGCTTTAGTGTTTGAATTGACATCTGCCTATGGGACGGTTGGTTTGAGTTTAGGGATTCCTACAGTGAGTTACCAAGTTCTTTGTAGATCATCTTTGCTCAAATGTCATAGGCCAACTATTCCTTTTCTGGCGCATTCCGACCACTGTCCAAATTGATCGTCTGTTTGGTCATGCTTCGTGGCCGCCACCGTGGCTTGCCCGTTGCAATCGACCGAGCTGTCATGTTACCCTCTGAGTATCAGCGGCACGACGAGATAAGTGCAGAGACAACTGGCCAGTATATCAACCGGAGTAGTCGTGTATTTAGTGAAGAGTTCGCCAACAACCCGGATGAGATAAATGAAGATCAGCCTTAAATTTCCAGGCTGCAGCAATACCGATATCATACTCGACTTCTACATACATGTCCATTGGCCATAGATGATGATTAATAACATTCTAGATCATAACGCGTCGATATCGACGGTAAGGTTTGAAGACCATGCTCTATCTGCGAAAGCTCGTAAAAATGTGTAGCCCTTGGCGGTTTCTTCATCGGTGAGTGCACCAACGGAAGGCCGAAGTACTTCGGCCGATGATATTAAGATACACATTGATTTTGCTCGGCTGATTGCCACATTCAGTCTTCGACGCTCAAGCAAGAAATGCAAGTCAGCTATATGCGACTGAGGGAGAGAAAAAAGGCATATGACGAATGCTGCTTCTGAACCTGAAGATAAAATGAGTACCGACTCAAAATTCGTTGACTACACGCACCTTGCAAGCGTTCCACGGTATCCACGGTCACTGTGGACTTAATTGTGTTTTTTCCTTTCCCTCCTTCTATGGTCATATTGTCAAATATTTTAGAGAGTTATTGAGGTATCGAAGTGTCCTACAGACAATGCCGCTTTGACAGCTTGCCTCTGGATGCGATGTGGTGTTGCTACAAATATATCTTCCCCTGGTAAATATTCCTGTATTGTTGCAACAAGCGCAGATGCTACTGCTGCCTCAGCTTTGACGTGTAATTCATACCCGACATTTTCACGATGCTTCCTGCTGACAGTGTGTAACTGTATCAAGGCAAGAGACAAAGGGTGAGGGACGACATCCATGGCTGAGTGAAAGTCATTTGAATGTGAGTTTACTATATGATTGGTGATGAGGGGAGGGGAAAGTAAGCGTTGAGGTCGCTTCAGCATGACATTCGATAACCCAAGAAGGAAATCATGAACAGCATTTAGAATCTGAACATATTCATTGGTGGCTTGAGGATTTTCCATTCGGGATATTGAGCTGAGGGCAACAGCGATCCGTCGAGCTTGAACCTTCTGTGGTCTAAAAGCTTTCGAATAGATTGTTGATACGAATTCTCCCAGATCTGGATTAAGCCTGTAACGATGCATAATTAGCAAGCTGCAAGCACTGGTATATAGTCCTCCCTACCTAAAGTTTTCAGTTAGTTGCACGATTGTACCCTGCGAAGACATTTCCGAAACGTCGTCAGGTAATGGAGAGGAAGGTCTAGTATCACTGATTTCAGTCCGAGTTGGACGGGAAACGAACATCAGGGAGTCAAGAATTGATCCAAACAAAGGTCCACTTTTGAGCTGGGGATACTTGACTGCCAAGATTGGAGACAGCTGCTCTGAATCGCCGGCAATGATAATGCGGCTTGAAGGTCGCAGGGAGCGAAGAACTAGAGCTGCAGAGCTCAAGGCCAACTGTCCAGCCTCATCGATGACGATGCAGTCCACCAAAATCGAATGTCGTTTTGAGAAATTGTACAACTGCCGTGGATATCATTTGGCAAGTGGCTTTTGACCTGAATTATATTACCTCACCTGATATATTGTCCCTGCGTAAAGCGAAAATGCTGTAGATCCCGAGGGAGCGGCATGATCATTTCCATTCGTGACATGCTCGATGGAAACTTTGTCCAGCCATTCTGTTGGAAGAGAGTCGATAGATTTATAGGATTGAGTCAAATGCTTCAGTTTTTTCAGCACCGCGTCGATAGCTGCGTGTGTTACGGCAGTGACAAAGACTACCTTTGGCGGCAATATATCGAGGTCAGTCTGACTACGCGTATTACTGGCATACAAGCTGAAAAGTCTGAGCAATGACAATGCTATAGTGTGAGTTTTCCCTGTCCCTGAATGAGAAGAATATATGGATTTCTGTTCTACGCGCAAGTTGCAGAAATTCATACCTGGTGGTCCCCAAATAACAGATAATCGATTTGATAAGATATGCCGAGCGGCACGATTCTGCGAGACTTTTAGTACCAAGGGCTTTGCAGCTTCTACATCCAGACCATCCAACATGCGGAATAAGCTCTGCATATCGCCGGCCGCCTTCTCGAGCATCTTCCGCGTATTGGGGCTGACAGTCTCCTGATTGAACGATTTCGGATTCCGTATGATCTGGATGTAGGGAACCGAAGCATTTTCAAGCTCATGCTGAACGTCAAGCTCAAACAGCGCACTAAGGATTTTGCTAATGTTGAAATCAATCAAGCGAGGAGATATACGGTAAGTGCAACCCTCTGAGAATTTGAATGTCGCGGCTCCCCAGGTCTGTATTGTGACTTTTGTTCGTAATCCCTCGACAGAAATATCTCGTATGTCTGCGAGGAGAAGCTCTTTCTGAACAATAGTATTCTGTGACTGCCACCGCGATTTCGTGTAATGATTCAATGGGAAGACCAAGCCAGACACAGCAAGATCGTCAAATAGCGCTTCAACAGGTATATGAGCGTCTGATTCGAAATCGTCACAATCTCGATCTTCAACCAGAAGATAGTCAAAAAAGGTCCTGTCTTTGTCAGACGCAGTCATATCTAGGTTTCCAGACAAGAGAATAAATGAATGTTCCAATCGCTTCGAGCCCTGCTGCGTAGAATGGTATTGAAGAATAGGCGCCTCGGGACAACCATCTATGCGAGATTGCCACAGTTCAGACAAACGCGTAAGTATCTCGAACTAAAGATGATTATAAGTGGGCTGTCAGGAAAACAAACAAGCGAACGTATTTACCTGTTGCATATAGAAGAGTTTTCGTAGATGTTCTTCTCTGCAGATATCCATAAAAGTAGATGTCAGAGGCTTCGCCTCGTTGATGAGCAGGAAATCATTGGCGCTAGAAACGCGCGAGCGTAAATTGTTCAGGACGGCGTAGATAGATTTGTTCCTCTGTTCTAACAAATCCGAAGGCGAATTACCATTCGCGAACATGGTGTATATTTCCTCATCACTCGGACACTGTGTCTCCCGCAACCTTGAAGAAGAAAGGAGAACTGAAGCGCATTCCGCAAGGTTCCAGAATCCAGGAATAGGTAAAGCCAGAGATTTTTCAATTTCCCTTTTCAATACTACGATACGTGGCAGTTGACCGAGCTCGTCTCGTCTCTGCTCCTGTGCGGCTTTCCGATAATCATCGTTCTGGAGTCTTTGTATTTGTTCTTTGACCCGCTGCTTCAATTCCTCAAGAGTTCCCTCTGTTGACTCTGTCGGATTCATCCTTTCCAAAATGACCTGAAAATCATGTTTCCTTCGTCGACCTTTGATAAGGAATTCGAGGAGCACTCCGGAAAGGAGTATAGGTTGAAACGTTGTTTGTAAAAGTGACGCCCCTTGGGAGAGTGCACCAATACAGACGCGGATATCTTGTGTCGGATAAGACGAGTTGAGAGCTGCATCGATGAAGTGGGTTTGCAGGGCAGAGTGTTCTGCGGAGGAAAATACGTAGAATTGCGTGCGAGGAGGCTTTTGTAGGGAACAGTTGAGAGTGAGAATCGAATCGATGATGTATGCGAGGGACGGGATTAGGTCGGTACGATCACCGTGTACAGTACGAGGGATTTTTCCTCTTAGTGGAACAGAAGTGAAAGTGGATATGGAAAACGATACGATACTCGAGGCACCGCTTGGCGCAGAGGGATCTAAAAGTAATGAGAGTACCGCCGCGATATCCTCAGTCTTTGGACAAGTGAAGTTTCTACGCGGGATTATCTGAAAGGAAGATAGTCAATGGAATGGATACATATGTATAGGCCACAAGGATCTACCTGAATCTTGTCAGTTCTCGCAGCTTGAAGTATAGGACTTGCAGCAGTTGCCTTTGACGCCTTCCTGGTTCTAGGAGGCAGAGCAAGGATACGTTTTGCTTTGCGCAGGGTGACTGGATATGAACTACCTATTCTTTGCATTCCTTTACGATCTTCAAGTAGAAGTGCTAGATCTTCAATATCGGTTTCCCCTCGAGGATGAGAAACCCCCGTATCTTGCCATATTTGCAATAGATTACGCAAAAGCTTCGCCTCAGGTATAGAGATGTTACTCATGCTCCCAATCTCTCCCTCTTCAACGGCTTTCTGTTGACAATCTTTGGAAAAAGGACATCCATGACAAAGTGCATTATAATGCCAGAATACATCTTTTCGTGGGATAGATAGGATTGCGGGTAGGCGACGGAACAAGAAGTCGTCTAATGGGAAGGAAAGTAACGAGATCTCGACTGTTTTGAGATCATCGAAAGAGGGAGGATTAGTATCGAAGCCATCTTCGGGAGGTAGCCAGACAGCTGCAGCGTTGGTCGCCCGAAAGAAGGAGTGGGGAAGGAGATAGTTTAGACATAGAGTATAAAAGTATATCTGAACATGATGAGAAGTCTGGGGACTTGTGTCAGTACACGACTCTTCTGTAGATCCAAATCATTTTCATACCTTCACCGCTCTGGATGCTTTAGCGTCAATGACCTTCCACATCACACCGTCCTCTAAACGCGTGATTTCTACAAGGTCTGGTTTTGCGAGTCCAAATTTAACCGGCTCCAAGCCTGCTTTCCGATAGATCTCATCGAAATGCTCCTGTGGAGGTACGAAAGAGATACCGGCGACGAAGAAATGATTTCGTTCGTCAGCAAGAATGTTCTCAACGAAATCTTCGCCTTTCAAAGGGTACGATGGGACCGTCAAGAGAAGATTCTCCTCGTCAAGCCATGATAATAGATGGGCTTCCCAGTCTAGACCTCGCTTGAACTGGGCTCCATCCAGTGTCGTTGACGTTGACTCGTAGACCAGATGATGAAGAGGAATTCGAGGATCTTCAATCCCGTTATAAGTATTGTAGATGAAAAGGTCACAGTTGTAATGGTGATAACCCGCAAGGTTGGTGGCGGAAAGTGATCCTTTTCCGTTCATTTGGAGAGAGTGAGGGCTGTTGGAGATAGTAGAGAAAGTTTATGCTTTATAAACTGCGATGATAACTGAGAACAAGGAGCAAAAAGATAATAACATCTGGTCGTCATTGTTGCGTTGGTATAAATGCTCCGCACTGCGCAGAATGAGTACACCGTGTGAACATGAGCAACGATGAGTCGGCGTGCACCTTTTCACACGGTATGAGTAAAAATCCCGCTACCTTGGACTTTCCTCAATTATCGCCACAGAGGTATTTACCTGCTATTTCTTTCCCACCTCTCCTCCTGGTAAATCTTCACCGCATACGCATCCAAATTCCTCGTGACTTCGTCTAATACACGAAGGCGCGACACCAGCTCTAGTTATATAGGACAATTGCTAATACCCGGATAAATTCCTCTGATCATACTAGGTAGTCGACTAGACACCTACCATCACAACCTGCAATGTAGTTTTGTTTCCTGGAACCTTTTCGATAGCGCTGCGTTATGATGATGGAAGATACGCCCGGTAGTGATTCCACCTTCCCCTTCTACTTGCTTGGAATATTGTCCGACCAAACGCCTCACCAGTGTTAACTCTGCCGCGCCTACAAGGCCAACCATAGCGATCTGAGGTACAGGGCGAACGGTGAGGTTCATCCTATATAGGATTTTGCTTCGGTTTCATCGTGCAAAGTTTTGATGAGTTATGTGTGCAAACAGAAAACCTTCAACCTGGACCAAAGCTCCAAGGAACCTCGGGTATCCATCTGCGCCTCTGTTGGAATCTCTACAGCACCCCCTCGACGTAAGATGATAACCAGCCAAATCTTATTCAACTTGAACCTCCCCACTTCATTCTCCATCTACATTCAATCTTTTTCTTCGAAGTCGCGTATTTCGATTTCTGATCATCCCGTGTATGTAGACCCTCTCCCTTGTATCGTCTCCAACATAGGATCTTTTTGCTTTATCTGGGCTTGATCCATCTTGGACAGATATATTGATATAATTGGTGTGTTCAGAGGTTGTGATGATTATGTATACTACACTGCAACTTCGACATATCTTGGACTGGTTCCGGTTATGTTATGACTAGATAATCCGAAACTTGCATTCTTGTTTTCTCGCAGCTTGTCGAACTTGTTCTCTAGACGCGGGGTACCAGCAGCGAATTCCTTCTTTACATGTAGTATTATATCTTCATCTGGAGCCATGGTGGAACGGATGGAAGAATGGATTCCACGGACAGTTAAGGCTCAGTCGGCAGAGAAACTCCTATTGCTAGAGAGTGGATTGAAGCGAAGAAGCAGCTCCCAAGAGTAGATTTCTGGATTGCTGAGGTGTGACTGGGTTTACTGGAAGAAGATTCATTGGCAATGGTAGCGATACAAGTAAATGCGAATTATATGGTACATAGTACAATCTGTGGATAAACCTCAGTTAGCCAAATTGAAACTGACACAAATGACACTTACGAGTATCCCAGAACTAACAAAGCGAGCAACGATTGAACCGATCAAGGATGAAGCACGCAGAAAACCAAAGGAACATCATCTACGAAGACCTATGAACGATCTCGGTCCAAAGGCTGGAAACGCGCATAATGCTACGAGCTATCAGCGAGAAAATTGATCGCATAAGGATATGTACGCACCTGTTTTGTTTGAACCTCTACAATATCTTGTGTTGATTCCGGTAGATCTTCAGTGAAGTGACCTGAACGCGCCAATGATCAGAAGAGCCCGATGAGTGGAATTGGGTTGGCACTCGCCTGGGGAACCAGAGAACAACGAGAGTGCTGGTATCACAGTATTTGGTGGGATGACAGTATTGTCTGCTATCTTTGCACAGTCTTTGATAATTGTGAATTTTCCCTGGTAAATAGTCTCGGTCAACAAACAAAACACTCATGAAAGCACTACCCACGATAATGCAATTCTTCCCGATTTCTACATAGTTTCCAATCGTCGCTGCCTCAACCACGCTTGCTGCCCCAATATGCACATAATCACCGACTTTCATTGGATAATAGTTAAACGCTCCGCGATAAGTTTTATACGGTGGACGCATGACGCATCCTTCACCTACGACGCAATATCTGCCTAGAGAAATGACCACAGCATGGCCGGGACCTGAGCGACGCAAGTCACCGCGGATGATAGCACCGCTAGAGATAATGGTCTTGCCGCCGAGAATAATGTTTTGGGGTCCAGCGATTGTGGCGCGTCGGGAAACTTTGTTGCCTGTATCCTGCGAAGAGAAATAAAAGGTCGGAGACTGTTCAGAATCTATATGATCAGCCGTACAGTCTCAATGAATTCAGCTCGAGAGTAGTATATTGGTGGTTCCATCGTAACACGTCGTGAGTCGTGACGGTTGATGAGAAAGAAATTTCTGGGCAAAGCTGTTTGGCACATGTTTCGCTCTGCCATTTGCCGACTGCCACTCAGAAGCAAACCTCTCGGTCTTGGTTTAACCGCTCCATTATTATTATCATGGCCAATATATCACAGTAACCACCATTGTTGGCCGGCCAGAAGAACTTTTTCTGTGGTCCATCAGAAACACAATTCATCTACTTCTACAACTCAAACCTCCACTGAATTTGGCAAAGACTCGGAATCCCTTGATCCAATCGACCCAAATTTAGTTTACAACGCTCCGCTCACGTCCACCTTCCGACGCTTGAAAATATTCTCTCTCGCTTCATTCTCACTATCATGCTCCCTAGCACCGCTCATCTTCATTATTGAATCCCAGCTACCGTTCTTCGCAAGAACTTGTCTGGCTGGACTGGCTGTAGGAACAAGTGGTGTTAGCACTGGGCTCATTGGTTCGCATCTCTACTCGGTCCAAGCTCTGTATTCTACTGACTCGGAACGTTGGGTGACTGTACATCAGCTTGGGTTGGCAGACCATACGTTACAACCCTTCGTCGAATAGATTCTAACGATGGCGGTGCAATGGGTCTCGAGTTCACCACTGCAAATTGGAGGCTTCAAACTAGGATAACGCGGGTTAGTCTCCATGATACAGGCGTTGTTTTGTGATCTACATGAATCTTTACAGGTCTACGACACATCTTTCTTGACAAACACTGATCGTCCATTCGCAAAATGGCAACTGGATGACGAATTGGTGCTCCCCTCATCTACGACGCCGAGTTCAACCCCTTATGCTAGGCCGAACTCTGAAGAGACTGTTGCCGAAACATTCGACAGGTATGGAAACGTACTCGGGAGCTGGGTTGTCACTTGGGGGTCCCAGAAATCCGAGTCAGGCAAAGAGGAGAACATTGTTGGGAAGTGCCGTGCGGTTGGACATGTCATAAAGTAAGTCGAGCTTAAGTCGTTTTCACTATCTGACTCAATTCTCATTTGTGAATTAGACACTTTCAAGTTCACGAGGAGCTATTCGAGGTACAATCCTAATCCCAATCTATGGATACATGTTTTTCATATATATATCGAATATAAGTCTGATATACTGCTACCCATCTCTTCTTTTTTGGGTTGAATCAATCACGACAAGGTTGTAAGAAGATACCCCTCGATGGCATGCTACCTCGGTCAATCTTTCGAGTTGGTCCTTTTACTTGACTCTCTGAGTCTCTTTAAACGATCTATTTTCAGTGGTACATAATACGATGGGCTTGCCACCTGAAGACGGACTTTTTTTTTCATCCCACTAGTCCATCAAGTCAAATAAATACTTCATCGATAAAAAAGAAAATTCTCATCAAGACTGCAAAAGACGTAGCTACGCCTCCCCGCAGGCCCTTCGCGCTTGGCCCCAACACAGACCCGGATCGTACACCTCCGTTTTGCTTCCAGACTGTCTCATCGTGGTCATATGTCTTTGACTGAAGTTCGTGGTCAAACAGTACCACTTTTATAATCAGCATGTAAACAGTCTCTGCACTTCTTATCCCTGACTATATTCCAATCTCCTCCGTATCTTTCATCGAAGGAAATCCAATAAAGCAGAAGAAATAGTCGCATTCACCCATCAAGATCTTAGCAGGAAGTTAGTTGAAAGAGTTTTGGTCGTTGAATCGGCCGCTAATATTGGCTAGTACGACTTGACGTTAGCAGTAAACAATCTTGAGCTTGACTCTCCACCAGCATGTTAGTAAGTTCTAAATTTCCCGACACAAAAAGATACCTTCCTTCCCTCGGTTAAATCCACTAAGCCATAGTCAGGATGGAATGATTGATAAACTGTTATTCGCCGGCTTCGTCGTCGATTAGTAACGCCTACAGCGATAGTAATCCGTAAGTAGTCATCAATTTTTGAACGGCTTCCGCAATGCGTATACAGGCGTATACGCACTTCTGGACCTGGAATGATAATTAGTCAGAACGACGACAACGCCATTATTATAAATGCAGCGGTATAAACTGTGTTTTCCGGATTAAAATTCTAACCACAATCATGTCCCTCGGTAGTCTCACCAGCACCTACCATCGCGATACATACCCTGCTATTTCCCCGTCCAATGACTATCTCAGTCAGGCCGGCAAGACAGTGCTCATCACAGGAGGCGGGGGCGGAATAGGTTTCGAAACCGCGCGGTCTTTCGCTAAAGCCAAGGCTTCCAGAATCATTATTATGGGTCGCAGGAGCTCCGTCTTGGACGTTGCAGCAGCCAAGCTCCGAGAAGAGTTCAATAACTCAACGACTGAATTTATCGCTCACCAGGGAGACATCAGTGATGACTCGTCCGTGACATCCCTATGGGATTCTCTGCATTCCCGAAATATTTTTGTCCACGTATTGGTCCTCAATGCGGCCGAGTTCTACCCATCGGGACCCGATACGTTCAAAATGGACAAGCGAGAGCTCATGAAAGCCTTCGATGTCAACGTGGGGGGAAATTTCTCCATGTCGGTGAAGTTCGTAAGCCAGCCGCTACGTCCGGTAGGCCAACAACTCAATCTGGTCAATGTCTCGACGGCGGCCATTCAGACCTACCGAGTGCCGAACCAGAATCCATACTCGACCTCCAAAGCGGCGTTCACTGCGCTTGTTGGAAGAATCGCTGACGAACACCCCGTTGAGGACGTGCAGATAATTTCCTTTCATCCAGGGGTGCTATACTCGGAAAGCGCCTCTGCATCCTTTGACAAAAATGCTATCAATTGGGATGAAAGTGAGTATCACCTCCCTGCAGTACTGATTCTAAATTTGAAGCTTACATTCGCTATAGTGGCTTTACCAGCAGACTATGCCGTCTGGGCAGCATCCCCAGAGGCGTCCTGGCTTCATGGTCGTTTTGTTTGGGCACATTGGGATGTGGATGAATTGAAAGCGGACAAGAACATCTTGAAACGATTAGAAGAGGAAAAGGGCTTTTTGAAAGTTGCAATCCAAGGATTGCCCGAAGTCTCCTTGGATGGATACTTTATAAAGAATTAGGCTTATCTGGTCGGTAGACTGTGTAACAACAATCATGGGTTTCATGTACGATATCACTGAAAAATGAACTAGTCTGTGTTCGTCCTCTAATTATCGCTAATCAACAATATTCATATCTGGATACAGACGTCACCTCTAGAAGCCAGAGAATCGATCGTTCCCCTTCATATTTTGGCCTTTAGCGGCAGCTTCAATACCGCATGCTGCATGACTTCGTCTACGTTCCGGATATTAGCGTCAAATAAACAGGATAGCTTCAACTCCGTACAGTTTGTGTTAAACAGCGAATCACTCGGCACAGCGACAACATGCGAGCTCAGATTCGACGCGTCAACCATTTCGCGTACAACGTCTTTGATAGTTGGAGCTCCCAGTAATCGCATGTTCATCTCGAATTCATCCTAACAAAAGGTATAGGAGAAAGAGGTTGGGTCAGGGAATTAAACAGTGGTAGCATCCCTGAATGAAGGAGCACACGCACATGAAGAATCTGCAGAGCTCTGTCAACTCCATCGGGACCATACGCGGAATAGGCATATAGGAACGGGCGTCCGATACCCACTGGTGAAAAGACACAGACAAGCGTGATTTTCTTTTTCGTAGGACCCGGATTCATTTATACTCACCAGCGGAGGCACCTAACGCGATAGCCTTCAAAACATCTGTTGCTCTCCTCACTCCACCATCTACAAACAGCTGGAATTTTTCATTCGGGAAAGTCAGACCCCGTTTTTCCTTCAGATGCTTGACGCATTCGGCAAGAATCTCAATGCCGGAGCGAGCGAAATCCAGTTGACGACCACCATGATTTGAGAGGACCACGCCTGCTAACCCCTGGTCGTAAGCTTCTAAGGCATCCTATAAATCATCAATCACGAGACATTTTAACACAAGGTTTAGTAACAATTATTATGATAGACATACTTCCCAGCATTGTACGCCCTTGAGGATAAGAGGCACTGCAAAATGTATTGAGTGATGGGAAAGCAGGATCAAAAGGCTCAACGAACTTTTCGTTATACTCTTGAACCAATCGAGATCACTCCATTTCAATCCCGGATCGATGAAAGACTATGTAAGAACAATCCAGCCTGAGAATAGCAGAGATAGCGTAAGCCATTGGGATCTCCTCACACTGATAGCTCTTGCAGCTCCCTGAGAGCGATCTACATTGTCCTTTCCGGTTTTCGAGACCTCAGCAGGATCCTCGGCTTCAAATTTTTGTCGCATATCCTGAAAGTCGAAAGGCTTTGTTATTTACGTCGGTGGTTAGTGGATAGGCTCACCTTCTCTCGTCGACCTAACTGTGGCGCATCCACAGTTATAAAAAGGGCTTTGATGCCTCTCGTCTCCGCATGCTGAACAATTCGTTTGGTGATAGCCCGGTCCTTGTTTACGTACCTGCAATCGACCATTTGTTCAACGGAGCGTATTACCACAAAAGAAAGGATGAACGCACAGCTGGAAGAATTGGACTTGTTCGGGTTGAGCACCGTCGACCAATTCATCAAAAGAGCAAGAAGCCAAGGTAGGAATCTATCTTCCATATGTATGAGCCCTTAGGAAGTGCGATGAAAAGGTCTTTCACCATTTGGATAATACCGTGTTGAGCGGCCGCTCTGGTGAGGATCAGTTCACCGTCTGGGTGACCGAGTTTCCCTAGCGCAGTAGCAGTCTAGAGTCGAAAGAGGGTCGCGGAAAAACCGTGATATTAGTCCGAGAATGCGGGGATTAGGATATGCATTTCGTACAATATAGATTGGCATCGAAGTTTTATGGCCTAAAATTGTTGAAGAAAAGTCGACATTGGTAACATCGCGCATTATTCGAGGTCGGAACCATATTCTGAAGAAAGAAATTTAGCAGGAGCATGCAATATCGAAACGAAAGTGTCCACCTGTGATAAGCAGCATGATTCTCTCTGATGGTAATTTCATCGTCAGCAGCAGATGAATAATAGGCCCAAGCTTTGACGGGCATAACTTCTTTTGCGATAGACTGATAAGAGTATAGCTCATGATGTGAACAAATCTCCCAAAGAGGAGAAGGGAGTAAACCTCACCTCAAAGTCATGCAGATTGAGTATTTCGCTCAACGAGGGACGTCGTTCTATTCTTTCAAAGCGCTCTTTCTCCTCATCCGTTATCTGAATCTCGACCTTCTCTACGGTGTCCGGCTGTACGGGTCCAAGACTATATGACGCGAACTTGAGCTCGAGTCTCCGACACATTATGCAGAACGTACTGCTTCTCCGGAGGTAGATTCGAAGTAATGGCGTCTGGTGGATGTATGGGATCATATTCCTGCCTGCATATGTTTGTGTAAAACCAAATCAAAACACAGGGAGAACTAAAACTCACGTTGCGTCCTTGCCCGCGTATTTCAGTATAATTCGACTTCCACCTAATGCCGTTAGAACCGTTGACAAACCAGACATAGAACATTTCTACCAGGATGATCTTCAAAGTACAGTGAGTATTGAAATCGCTTTCTGAGACGCGAATGCTGATTTACCATTCAGGAATTCAGTGACATCGTACACTTTGCCTGAATTGTTGGTCAGAGATTGGACGACAATCGTATACTGGAGCTTGTTTTACCGTGTACAATAATCCAGCAGCTTTCGCGGCCATTGTGCTGTGCTACTTCCTTGCCAGAAAGCATTATAGATTATGGTCGAGGACAAAAGGAGAATCGAGGTTATGGTGTGGGTAAACATGACGAGCGGAGCGGGACGCTAGTCCGCTTTTCCGCCCCGCCCTTGTGATCAATCCTTTGGATGTTTGTTTGTAATTGTACATCCCTTTTTGTCAACTTCTTGACATCCTTCTGCCATGTCAGTCGCGCAACTCGCTGGTTTTTTTTCGGTCGTTAGAGGAAATATTCACAAGGCTTCCTCTTCTGTCATTACTCCTTCAGATGAACAGGTTCTCGTCGCGCTCGCAACAAACCGCGCCCAGCAGCCTAAACTAGGTCGAGCTAAAATCCTCGTCCAAATTCAGAGTCAAAATGGCTGGATGCTTCCGAAACACGTTTGAAGCTCATGCAGTCACAGACAACTGACCAGAACTGACCCGTCGAATGTCAGAGGTCACAAAACGTCGCAAACGACCTCCAGCGAAAAGGAGGATACTTTGGCCTCGATCCAGTATCTTGATGATGCCGCAGCGGTACCAGGACGAGGGCATCCGGTGCTTCAAGTTTTATGGGCATGGAGAGTACCAGTATGGTGTCCCCCCGAACTTTGATATAGGGATGATCCCTTTTCCACCTCCCCACCTCACAAAAGCACATGAGGAAAGCGCGCTTCAAGGTATATTCAGAACGAAGATGCTAAGAAAACAATCCCGTCGATGAGAATGGAGAGCCAATTTGGAGAGAGGATATGTACATTCATTGGCCAATTTATATTGATTGTTATTAAGTGCGACAAAGAGAGAGGTTTGAAAGAATTCAGGCGCGTGCAGTTAATGTATGTTATCTCTACATTTTGTCTCTTTCGATCTCAAACTCCACCAGAAAAAAGCATGATTGTTGAAAATACGAAGACCTAGTTATACACCTTGCCTACCGGATTTTTGCATCTATGAGTAGTCGGATGAAATTGAAAAAGTTACCGTTGACTAGTCAATGTCACTTCATTGGCCTCAGCCTTCGCATCATGAAGGATCATTGGTAGGTATCTAATAGCAGGTTGAGAATAGGAAGAAGATGAAGATATGATAAGAAATATCGTTATGTGCACCTTCAAACTACGGAGGAGACTGTTCACATCACATTGAATAAATCATGGCTGCGCTCGGAGTTTATATAGCTTTCAGTGACCTGAATCTACACCAAATGCAAGTAATCATGGGACTATGTAGAACAGACAATGAATATGGTTTGGACTGCGTGGATGGTGAACAGGTAGTGACAATCCAGGAAGCAAGTTAAATCTGATGTCTTATCGAGCTTTACATATGGTGAGCAGGTGAGCAGTTCAAATTCATGAGCTGATCACACGGGACGCAAAAGCCATGGCAGTTCAAATGAACTGCCATTAAGGCATCCACTGTGGCATCTAGTTGTGACCAGTGACTGTCACGGACTGGCAGGGATCAGCGTCAGCATGTGGTGTTTCACCGTATTTTTATTTTTGTTGACTCTTTCTCAATATTGCATGTAAGTACACATTCCCTATGTGATTTAGTAAAGTAATATTCTTACAAATCATAAATATTATCTCTTCATTTCAAAGAACTTCAACTTTTCATCTCCAAGACCTGTATTGTTGGCTAGTGCAGCTTGAAGCACCTAATATTTTTACTCTCCTTACTTTGGCTGCTAGAGAGCATTGTTGGGCCCCAGTCAATGATATTGTACAAAGAAGACTGTTGATAACAAGTAATAGATAGTATATAAATGACTTGTTATAAGAAGTGCTCTTAATAATTATGCAGTTGTAATAACAACAGTTCATGCTTCATTTGGATCAGTAATAAGGACTGTTAATTATAATGAGATAAGGAATTGAATTGTCGCGACAAGGCAGGAAGCGGGAGGCGGGAGGTCCAGATATGCCTAGGAGCGACAGTGGCAGAGCGAAGAGGCACAGAAACAAGCACAAAGCACAGATGAAAGAAATAATGATCTCGAACAACAGTGGGATAGCGTCAAAGGCCAATCACACCAGCAATCAAAAGGGAATCTAGTTGCCCAATGACCAAGTTAGATAGGTAGTATCTAAAAGGATACAAGTACTTGCCTAGTTGCCCAATGACCAAGAGGTCGAGATGGGGAACTAGGGCCTGTCTACTGTCCTTTATATACTACTCTTGTCTACTGAGTAAGCGATTGTAAATAACGATGCGATATAGAACAAGAGTGAGGAATCAATATATACGAGTAATAATGAGTCGATAATGAACCATAATGAACTAATCGATGAATAAGGATGAGTTGTATGGAAGCGTACGGAAACAAATGGAACTAATGGGATGATCGTGTGATGAAGTACAATAAACATGTGAAAACAGATTGATGGGAACACACCGCGCTGATGGCGCATCAAAGGGCGCATCATGAGACTTCATGACATTACCCCCTTCCTTAGAGTCGATGTCCCAGCGACTAGTTGTTTACCTCGGTGAAGTTGACCATTGGCTGCCATGGTAGTGAGTGAAAGATCGTTGCCGAAATCTTCCTTGGTGCATTTGGATGTGCTGCATAAAATTCGTTAATGGCTTCGTCACTGGATCCTACCACATTTTCCTCATTTTCCCAGGTGTCATGGCCCTCGTCGTAGCCTTTCCACCGGACTAAATACTGCAGCTTTTTCCACCGTCCATGTATTCTGCTGTCCAGGATCCTGTCCACATCGTAAAATTCTTCACCATCAATGACCTCTGGCTCCGGCGGAGCTGGCAGTATTCCGTTGACTTCGTTTCCTTTCCATGGTGCCAAGCGCTTGACATTAATGTTGTCATGGATCTTCATCCATGTAGGAAGTGCAAGCCGGTAAGTGTGTGTCCCTGTCTTCTCAATAACTTCGAAAGGTCCTAGTCGGCGGCTTCCCAGCTTCTCACTTTTGCGTCGAATTTTTAGGTTATTGACTGAGAGCCATACGGGCTGTCCAACTTCAAAGCTAGGTTGGTTAGGGTGTTCCGCGATTGTATCTGCGATCCGTTGTTTGCTCATACGTAGTGCGGCTTCTGCATCTTCCCGAGCATAGCGGAGTGCATCTAGCCGATCTGTGATTGAAGGGTATTCCTTCCAGGATCCTATGGGGATGGAGAATTCTGGGGTATAACCGTAGAGCACTTCAAATGGTGCTTTGTCGTGGGCAAAATGTACTCGAGAGTTAATAACGAATTCGGCAGTAGGAAGAAGACGGTCCCAGTCATCCTGACGTCGGCTAACATACATCCGGATGTATCTTTCGATTTCTTGGTTAGCTCGTTCAGTCTGGCCATTTGTTTCAGGGTGGTATGACGTTGTCAGGGCAGATTCAATACCCAACCGTTTTAGCAAGGCCTTCATGATGTCGGCAGCAAATTGTGGTCCTCGATCAGAGATAAATCGTCTGGGCAGTCCATGAAGTCGGAAGATTTCTTTATAATAGAAGTCGGCAACTCCTTCGGCAGTCAGTTCGGTTGTAGTGGGGAAGCAGTGAATCATTTTGGAGTAATGGTCTGTGAAGGTGATTGCCGCATTGTGTCCATCTTGTGTCATCGGGAGTTCTCCAATGAGGTCCACGCCGATGTCCTGCCATGGTCCTCCTGGTACAGGCAGAGGCTCTAGAGATGATTGTGGCTGCGGCCTTACACGTCTTCGTTGACAGTTGTCACATCCTTCCACATACTTATCAACAAATGATCGAACCGTAGGCCACCAAAACTGTCGGCTAACTAACTCTAGGGTGCGGTGCTTTCCTGGGTGACCAGCTGTGAGTGCGTCATGACACTGTGCTACGACATCCCGGCGTAGTTGAGGATCAGGTGGGACATACACCCGGCCTTTGTAATAGACAATTCCTTCCTTCTCTTCCCATTCGGCTAGACCATTCACAAGTTTGTGGGGTCCATGTGTCTTCAATTTACGTAGTCCTTCAAGAACCTCCGATTCTCGCTCGCTTGCCTTCCGAATGCGCTCCTCAAGGGGGTTTTGGAACAAGACGGCTGTAGCAGCTCGGAGGAAGTGTTCTGGCCGTAAAACTATTTGTTGTTGGTTGTCATCAGCATCCATAACCTCGAGTTGAGAGACTCGGGAGAGAGCGTCAGCTTGTGCATTTGCTTTACCAGCCCTATGTGTAAGAGTAAAGTCAAACCGTGAGAGCCACAGGGCCCATCTTGCTTGTCGCCGGCTTAGATCCTGTGCAGTTCGCCAGTATTCCAGGTTTCGATGGTCGGTCACAATTTCAAAGGGGTTTGGGAGTCCTTCTAGGAAGTGTCGCCAGTCTTTCAGGGCTTCGATGATGGCTAACATCTCTCGGTCGTAGATTTCATAGTTCCGCTCTGCAGGGTCCATGGAAGCAGATCGGAATGCCACGGGATGCCAAAGTCCATCTCTTTGCTGTTGTAATAGCGCCCCTCCAGTTGCGAACCCAGAAGCATCCACTTCGATACGTGTCGGTTTGTCGGGATCCCAGAGGACTAGAATGGGTGCTGTGGTAAAAGCTTCTTTTAACGCCTCAAATGCTACCTGCTCATTGGTACCCCAAGACCATCCCACCCCCTTCTTGGTGAGGTCATTCAGTGCTCGCGCCTTTTTAGCGAATCCATCAATGAAGCGTCTGTAGAAGTTAGCAAAGCCTAGGAATCCTCGGACATCTCGGAGGCAGGTTGGGGCTGGCCAGTTCTTAACCGCCTCAACTTTGACAGGATCCATACGAACCTCTCCCTCGCTGATGATTAGGCCCAGGTATTCAATAGAGGTTTGTTCAAATTCGCACTTCTCAGGGCGGAGGTAGAGGTCATTCTTGGCTAATCGTTCCAAAACTTCATGAACTATTTTCCGGTGTTCCTGTAGGGATGCGGAAAAGATGAGGATATCATCCAGATACACAGCTACTTTTCCTGCCGCGATAAGATCAGCAAAAATGGAGTTCATAAGGGCCTGGAACGTAGCTGGCGAGTTGGTGAGGCCGAAGAACATGACCAGTGGTTCAAAGAGTCCCCGGTTAGTGGAGAAAGCTGCTTTCCACTCATGGCCTTCCTTGATCCGGACGTTATTGTAACCCCATCGTACGTCAAACTTGGTGAAGTATTTGGCTTGTCGTAGACAATTGATGATGTCAGCGACCAGAGGGAGAGGATAACGATTCTTGACAGTGTATTCATTCAGACGTCGATAGTCCTGTATGAATCGTAGTTTGCCATCCTTTTTCTTTACAAAGAAGACAGGTGAGGAAAGTGGTGATTTGGATGGTCGGATATATCCTTTCCGGAGATTGTCTTCCAGGAATCGATCTAGTTCTTTTTGCTCATTTACTGACATGGGGTAGATTTTGGTGCGTAGAGTTTCGGGGGCGTCGGGTTTCAGGTCAATAGCGTGATCCCAGGGTTTGTGTTCAGGTAGTCGTTCGGATTCTTTCTCGGAAAATACTTTCGCATGACGCCGATATGGCTCAGGCACCATCTCTTCGAATGTTTTCTGGGGCTTATCTTTATTTGCTGCTTCGGCAAGCTGTTGGGAATAGGTGTACCCGGCAGCACACCATAGCTCTTCTGTTACCTCTTGGATAAACCCAGCACGGAGCCAAGCACGACGTCGTTTGCGATTTCCAGTCAAGCGATACAGTGGACTTCCTGATTCCTCAAAGACTAGCTCATCTTCCAAGGACGTGCCAGTTTCAGCTGTCTCTGGACCTAGCTCAGTTTTTGGAACAATGTGAGGAAGGCCATTTGATTCTGCTCTATTAGGTTCTAGGATTTGTTCTGTATTTCCTCCGACATTGGGTTCTTTGGGCTCTGGGATCTCCTCGATAGCTACATGATGCTGAATCTTTGGCTTTGCAGGAATCTGGATCTGCCCATCACGCCAGTTGATGTCAGGGTTGACCTTACATAACCAAGGGAGCCCTAAAATTACGTCTTCAGATCCAATGTTTGTAACTAGGAATTCTAAGATCTGGGGTTGATTTTGGTCCACCCTGGCCAGAAGTCGAGCAGAATGAGTGATCCGCCCTGCTAAATTAGTGGTTCCATCAATATTGTAGAGTTCAATGGGGCGGGGTAGGGATCGAACGTAGATATGATGCTTGTTAACAAATTTTTGGTGTAGAAAGAGACCAGTGGCACCGGAATCAATCATAGCTGCACTTGTTGTACTCCGGAATCGTCCTTTAAGCTCTATGGGCACACGGAAATGGGATATATCATTGAATTCTAGTGCGCTAATAGTACAGGAGGTGATAGAGGCATATACAGACGATGGAGATCTTGAGTACGACTTGGGGAACGACGCTGCAGCGGTGGCGGGTTCCCAATTTAAAAATTCTTGTGTAATTCGGCAATTTGCCCAGCAAGAACTTGCTGGTTGGCTGCAAGTTCCTTTAGTAGCGCGGCAAGATCTGGTGTAGCAGCAATGATGGTACCCGGAGCGGCAGACTGAGTTGTATCCGGAATGCTGGTGGCACTAATGGTAGTAGCCTTCCTCCCAGGGAGTCCTAAGAACTTACGACGGCACACAGCCTCTACATGGCCATTGAGGCCACAGTGTCGACAGATGTCCCGCTCATGGTGGCCATCGGCCTTGCGATGTTCCTTAGATCCACATCCATAGCATCGTCCTATCATGAAGCGACGAAAGGCATCAGGAGATCGAGTGGTGGTGGCATCAATGTCCATAGCATTTGGGTCTCGAGTAGGCGCAGTGAATGGGGTCGCAACAGTGGTGGGTCTAAAGTTGGTCAGGATTCCATCATCGACCAGTTTCTTTCCTTGCTCCCACGCTCGAGTAATTTGTCGGTTGTCTACGTCGATGGCTGCTTCAATCAGTTCCTGAAGGGAGCCAGTGGGGCGGGTTGTGAATACAAGACCATCTTTTACTCGATCTGCAAGGTGATCGTAGAACCGGTCTCGCAAGTCTTTGTCTGAGTAGCCAGTGCGGTCTGCGTACTGTTGGAAGGTAGAGGCATAGGTTCCCACCGTGGTCCTATTCTGGTAGAGCCGTTTAAGGAGCTGCTTGGCATCGGCCGAGGCATCTGTGGTCTCAAAACGTGTTTTGAAAGCTGTAACAAATTCTTCCCATGTATCGTATGGGAAAGGTACTCCTGAGCCAGTTATACTTGATCTATTAATTGTTTCGGAGATAGGAGTGGCCCAGATAGCTGCATCCCCCTCAAGGTATGTAATGGCGGATGTGATTTTCTTTTTACGATCCATGGAGAGAGCAGGGATAGAGTTGGCCCACAGCTCAAAGGCAGCTAGGAAGCGCCGGGCATCTTCTCCTCGCTTTCCATTGTAGTTCTGTGGCTTGCCAACACTTTTGGTAGTGCTGAGGCCACTTACTAGCTCAGAGACCACGTCTTGGAGCTTAGCCTGGTTTTTTGTAAGCTCTGTAATAGCGTCTCGAACGTCCTGTGCTGAGGACATGTCTTCTTCAGGGATTGATTGTATTTCAATATCGGGGTCGGCTGTGGTCTCAGTGACAGCAGGAGCTAATGGTTCCGCAGATGCTAGCGGAGGTGCAGGAGTGGAAGTAGTAGGAGTACTGATTCGTCCTACCCTGGCAGGTGGTGCTGGTCTGTGGATGGGTTGGTAACGGTCGGTCGGACTTGCGTCAAATGTGTTCTCGTATCGATTAGGGCACGGTTGTCTGGAGCAGGGTTCCCACTCTTCTTCTTCAGCGTCCCAGTAGCAAGTGGTGTTAGTTACAGTATCAAGCGCGTGAAAGTGGTTGGAGCAATCAACGTTGACTCCGAAGGTAGACGTGGTGGGTGCCTTGTAGGATCAGCTCACCAAGCTGATGGTACAAGTAGAAGATCTCGACCTAATGTCGCGACAAGGCAGGAAGCGGGAGGCGGGAGGTCCAGATATGCCTAGGAGCGACAGTGGCAGAGCGAAGAGGCACAGAAACAAGCACAAAGCACAGATGAAAGAAATAATGATCTCGAACAACAGTGGGATAGCGTCAAAGGCCAATCACACCAGCAATCAAAAGGGAATCTAGTTGCCCAATGACCAAGTTAGATAGGTAGTATCTAAAAGGATACAAGTACTTGCCTAGTTGCCCAATGACCAAGAGGTCGAGATGGGGAACTAGGGCCTGTCTACTGTCCTTTATATACTACTCTTGTCTACTGAGTAAGCGATTGTAAATAACGATGCGATATAGAACAAGAGTGAGGAATCAATATATACGAGTAATAATGAGTCGATAATGAACCATAATGAACTAATCGATGAATAAGGATGAGTTGTATGGAAGCGTACGGAAACAAATGGAACTAATGGGATGATCGTGTGATGAAGTACAATAAACATGTGAAAACAGATTGATGGGAACACACCGCGCTGATGGCGCATCAAAGGGCGCATCATGAGACTTCATGACATGAATCCATGAGTGCTAAAAGAACAAAAACTCACCTGCACACTCCAGCTGCACCAAACTCATTCATTGTATGGAATATATTGAGTCACATACTATGATTACATTTTGTTGTGCAGCAATTTCATTATTTATTGATGTCTAACTGTAGCAGCCTTAGTAAGTTAAGTAAATTAATGGTGTTTTTAGCTTCAAACAAAACTAAAAAAAGGAGATGCAGAAAAAAAAGAAATGTTTTGCAAATGATTAGAAATTTTGCCAATCCAGGACTCTATAATAACTTTAGAGTCAATGATAGTGCTGTCCAGCTGAGCAAGTATCCAAATAGTCCATCAAGAAGTGCATTTATTGCATGAGATTGTTGCTTACCAGCCTCTACTTACAGATAATGTACATTTTGCCATTGCTTTGAGACCTTTCAAAATATTGCAGAAATAGTTGATAAGTGTAAAACTGTTTATACAGTTGCTCAGCTTATGTAACATTTGCATATTGTCAGCAAACCACCTCTGAGTAACAGAAAAATATGCATACCTGAACAGATAAATTATGCCTTACAAACAACTTCTACAAATATTCCAGCTAACAGAAAAAATCATGAATTAAATTTGATAGGTTCATCTTACAATCAACTCTATTATTTGAAGCATGTAGTGTGAGATAATGTTCATGTATGTGGGATATGTCTACCAGCCTGTATAAACCGGTTTTGTGGCTTAGTTGTAAAACAATTCTAACCTCAACCTTATGATGGTCTTCTTATACTGCATACATAAAGAGGATTGTTGGAGTAAACAAATGACTTGCAGAATTTTGGGACATAGCTTATATATTCAGCTTGGAATTTACATTGTTGTTTTCTGTTATTTATCAAGGTTCACGATTGAACGGACCGCTGCGCTTGCAACATAACCGGTCACGACCGGATGCCAACTGTGATGCCTTACAGCGTGTTCGGAAAATGATGACAATCGCGAAACTTTTATCAACCCATAAAATAAAATAAAATCAAAAGGTACGCGTCGGCTACCGAAGAAAATTTGCCCAAACAAGAAAGCACTTAATGTTGTCCTGATTGCTATTGAAAACTATCCCATATCTAATGGCTATATACAAGTAGAGGTTGTTCCTAGAGCTCCAGAAATAATCCCTAGGATGAGCTGAAGTAGTTCCAGACACCCCACACCCCTCCTGGACCTTTGTGCTATCATTGTAGATGCCCTGCTGCATCTTTCCCTGGCTGATCAGGTAAAAATCTCATACAAATGTGCGGTATCCGACGCATAAGCTCGAGTACCTTTTTATTTTATTTTATTTTTTTGAGGAAAAAAAAAATCGCGTCTGTCATCATTTTCCGAACACGCTGTAATGGCAGTTCATTTGAACTGCCATGGCTTTTGCGTCCCGTGTCAGGTTATGCGGATTATCGAGATTCCTTCAGTATATCGAGGCAATCAATGGCATGGGTGAATTGCTTCGGAAACAAATACATTTCAGGTGATTGTGTTTCAAAGCCAGACAATTCCTATTTGTTTAAAAACGCCTCCAAAGAAAGCTCCCGTGATCCTTGGACTGCTACTCGTAGGAAACCTTTTTCCGAGTCCAGTCTCTTCAAAAAGTCCTTGTCCGCTTTGAGTTCATCGACGTCCCAATGTGCCCACAAAAAGCGGCCATGAAGCCAGGACGCCTCCGGGGACGCTGCCCAGACAGCATAGTCAGCTGGTAATTCCACTAATGTTTGTTAGCAATAGAGAAGACGCTGCTACATTTGATCACTTACTTTTATCCCATTTGAGAATATTTTCATCTACAACCTTCGCAACGCCTTCTGAGTAAAGAGCGCCTGGATTGTAGGATATGATCTGAATGTCTTCAACGGGGTGTTCATCAGCAATTCTTCCAATGAGCGCAGTGAATGCTGATTTATTCGCCGCGTATGGGGTCTGATTCGGGGCTGGAATCATGTGAATACTACCCGTGGAGACATTTATCAGGTTGAGTTGCTGACCCGCGGGGCGCAAGGGCTGGTTTACAAAGTTGACAGTCATGAGGAAATTACCGCCGACATTGACATTAAACCCTTCCATGAGCTCTCGTTTATCCATTTTCAGCGTATCAGGCCCAAGTGGGTAAAAATGAGCAGCGTTGAGGACCAAAACGCGTATAAATATGTTCTGAGAATTCAGAAAATCCCAGAGGGAGGAGATAGAAGCGTCGTCTCCGATGTCTCCTTGGCGAGCGATGAATTCAGTGGTTGTGCCTTTGAACTCTTCTCGCAACTTAATTGCTGCAGCATCTAAAACGGCACCTCTACGTCCCACAATAACGATTTTAGAGGCGCTCGCTTTTGCAAAAGACCGAGCGATTTCGAAGCCTATTCCGCCACCACCCCCTGTGATAAGAACTGCCCTACCAGCTTGGCTGAGAGAGGGTTTGATAGGAGATATTGCTGGATATGTATCGTGATGATGGGTACGGGTGACATTGAGACTGTCGAGGGACATCGCTGTGGGAATCTTGATTCCTCATGGTCCTTATCCTTAAATCATCTTTGACGCTCGTAGTGACCTGTGATTAACGAGTATTCAAAATTATTTGGCCTTTCGGTCTGTTTACAGTCAACCGTTGGATGAAGTTGGTTACATAGTTGGACAATATCTTCATTTATACATCTGCGGTAACTGGTTGTTGCGTCTTTGGAGATCAAGGCCAGGAGATATATAAATCGTAAATGGTATTGTAAGTCCTTTGACTATTCCGAGTCATGTCCTAGCTCTGATATCGATTTTCCGTCGGATTGCTAAATAGACGTCAAATGCATTCGAGAGGCCAGTGCGGTAGCCACGTCGGTAAGGAATCTGCACAACGGAGGTCAACAGATGTTTGTTTATTGAAAAAGAGACCCACCGAATATGAGTCGCAAACTATTTTTGCAAATGTTTCGAAACTAAATGAAGGGTTAGAGAGGCGAAGGGTGTAATAAGTGTCAAGTGTTTGAAGAGATATTGCAAGAGAAGGGATCTCAGGAGAGGTACCAATGTAACCTGCGTATACCAGAGCTACAGCAGCCTTTGTATGTTCATCCCTTTGTATGGCAGCTTCTTTTTCTAGAGTAAGTAGGTTAACAACGTCTATGTTGAAACTGAAGTTTTCATCGAAGGTGTCTGGCAGGTCCTTTTTGTATTTCCATTTAACGTACGCATCAGCCAGCTCATCCATGAGAGACGCCCAGGCAGCGTTGAGGTTGTGAATCCGGTTTCTCCACGTCCGCCCGTCTTTATATTTCCGCCGACCATGCCATCTAATAGAAAATGTAATGATTAACATACTGCATAGCTTCGGAGAAGCACAGAATACGCACCTGCAAAGTTGATCAGCATCTCGTATATCGACCGTGATACCCTCCGCAACCTCAGTTTGGTCCTCATAAGGGACATCGTTGTCTTTGCTTCCATTGTCCCCCATCCCTAAGTCAAAGCCACTGTCAACATCCATTGGTTGAGGATTTTTGCCTTGGGTGTTGCTTTGAGAAGGACCAGAAAGCTCTTCTAAAGCTTTCTGAAACTCCCGGAATAAGCCTGAAATTAATGACATTCAAACATGCAGCATGTAAGATAGAGTTCATAAGCTTACCTTCGCTTGCCTGAGACCTTCGTAGAGTCGCTTGTTCTCGCTTGCGGGCAACCGCAGCAGCGCCCATCTTTTGAGTTTCAGTGAGGAATGATGCGAACCTGCCAGCTCCAACTGTAGACCGTACAATGCGTGGGACACGAGCTCGACGTTTGTAGGTCGACATGATAGCGTTGCTGCGTCAGCTTTGAGTCTATAGAGGAAGTTGTTTACCAGGTAGGTAAAAAGAAGTGGCATGTAAGGGGCGCGGCGTGCCGGTAGAGCAATATACGGACAGCAATGGCAGATGAAGTTCTCTGACTGCAGTGAAGAAAGGGAGGCGTAATTTTGTAGCTGAAAATGTGGAGGTTTGAGAGATGGAAAGATTAGCGCCAGAATGCATGAAGGCGCTAGTTCACATATTCACTTAAACAGACTTAAACTTAATAACTCACCCCCGTATGACACTGAGTGCAAAGTTGAGTGTATGCGAAGAATGACATTCATGCAACTGTATTTCGAGGGCTACAACTTGTTATGACCCTGCTTGTTTAACAATGCATCTATAGAAATGTCCTTCAACCCTTGGACCGCAACCCGTAAGAAACCTTTTTCTTGTTTCAGTCTCTTCGAAAATTCCTTGTCTGCTTTCAGTTCATCGACATCCCAATGCGCCCACAAAAAGCGTCCATGTAGCCAGGATGCCTCCGGAGATGCTGCCCAGACAGCGTAGTCTGCAGGCAATGCCACTAGCATCCATTAATAACAAGAAAAGCACTTGTATACGATTGATGTCACTCACTTTCATCCCACTTGAGAAGATTTTGATCCACATATTTTGCAGCACCTTCCGAATACAGAGCACCTGGATGATAAGATATGATCTGAATGTCCTCAACTGGACGTTCATCCGCAATTCTTCCAATGAGCGCAGTGAATGCTGATTTGGTGGTCGTGTATGGGGTTTGATTCGGAGCTGGAATCATATGTACACCAGCAGTTGAGACATTGATCAAATTGAGCTGCTGGCCCACAGGACGTAGTGGCTGGTTCACAAACTTGACCGTCATGAGGAAATTACCACCGACGTTCACGTCGAAACCTTCCATTAGCTCACGTTTATCCATTTTCAGTGTATCAAGCCCCCAGGGAGTAACGTGAGCGGCATTAAGCACCAATACACGTATGAATATACCCTGAGAGTTCAGGAAATCCCAAAGGGAGGAGATGGAATCATCATTTCCGATATCACCTTGGTGAGCGATGAACTCAGGAGGAGCCGGGGTCGAGTCTTTGAACTCCTCGCGCAGCTTTACTGCCGCAGCATCCAAAACAGCAGATCTGCGTCCCACGATGATGATCTTTGAGGCTCCCGCTTTAGCAAACGACCGAGCGATTTCGAAGCCTATTCCGCCACCTCCCCCCGTGATAAGAACTGCCCTACCATTCTGGCTGAGAGAAGGTTTAGACGGGGAAATGGCTGGATAAGTGTCGCGGTGATAAGTACTGGTAACGTTGAGACTGTCGAGGGACATTGTTGTGGGAACTCAGTATTCAGCCTTGATCCAAGGAACACATTTTATATCTAGCGAGAGCCAATCTCAATGGGTCCACCGTGACTGCTTACCGACCATGGAATCACCCGAGATGGCCGGTAAACTGTCATTCCATTGATGAATTTTGCCTTGCTGTAAAATGTATAGCACAAAGAACCTCGGTACAATTTTGGTAAGTGAGGGCATAATCAGTCATGACTAGCGCTCCGAATGCCATCTATAATCAGCGTGTCTCCTCCTGATTTCGACAGAATTGGAGTCACCATTCTTCACTTACATTAAGCCAAAGGGTAGGATACAAAACGATACGGCTATACAAATACGCTAGCTCTTGCAAGCTAATGAATGTCTAATCGAAGTATGAGTCGAAAGAGACACCACCCAAACCTTGAACTGCAACCTTCAGAAAACCCTTTTCTTGTTCTAACTGCATGCAGAAATCCTTATCAGCTTTGAGCTCATCAACGTCCCAGTGTGCCCATACAAATCGGCCATGTAGCCAAGATGCTTCCGGAGATGCCGCCCAAACAGAGAAGTCCGCAGGTAATGCCACTGCAAAAGAGATGACATCGTGGTTCCAGCGGTGAAAAAATCAGCAACACTTACTTTCATCACATCTGGGTAAATTCTGACCGAAATAACTGACGACGCCCTCCGTATGCAGAAGTCCAGGATGAAAGGATATTATTTGGACGTCCTCGGCAGATCGTTCATCAGCGATTCGTCCAAGAAGAGCGGTAAACGCGGCTTTAGATGTTGTGTACGGATTCTGTGCTGGTGCAGGATGCCTCTGAATCCCAGCCGTAGAGACGAAGACAAGGTTGAGCTGCTGCCCTGCAGGACGTAGAGGTTGTTTGACAAACCTAGACGACATGAGGAAATTACCGCCGACGTTGACGTCGAAGGTTTGCATGAGCTCCTGTTTGTCCATGCTCAACGTATCCGGTCCAAATGGGGTGACATGAGCCGCATTGAGCACCAATACATGGACAAAAATGTTTTGGGAGTTCAAGTAATCCCAAAGGGCAATGATCGAAGAGTCATCGCCAATATCGCCCTGTCGAGTAATGAATTCGGTACCAGATGACTGGAATTCGTCTCGGAGCTTCTCCACCGCAGCATTCAACGAAGAGATTTTGCGGCTCAAAATGATGATTCTGGCGGCAGAAGCCTTGGCGAAAGAGCGCGCAATTTCGAAGCCTATCCCACTAGCACCTCCGGTTATGAGCACCGTCTTGCCAACCTGGCTGAGCGAAGGTTTGGTCGAAGAAATTGTAGGATATGTGTCACGATGATGCGTCTTGGTTAGAGACATCGCCGAAAAATTGAGGGCTCTTGACATCTCCTGCATGTATCTGTGTTTTCGTCTTTCAAGAAGACGCTTAAGTATAGGTGAAGGATCCGGAGAAGGCTCTTCGTGGGTTGACTCTGCCAGTATTGCTAATAGACTGAGTAATCCATTTCATGTGAGTGTAGCTCCGTGGTGGATCCGTTAGGCCTAGCAGCCGAGGGCTTACATGAAAGATGCTGAAAGAGCAAACCGCAACGTCGTAACCCTAGATTAGAGTCAAGATATGGCTTCATCGATATTATTGTCAGTGCTGTTGGCTTTTGGGTGTCGAATGGATGTGGTCTGACTTCATAAAAATCCAAAGCAAGTCAAGTGCTTATCTCCGTTCTATTGACCAAATTTTCACAGACCCTTTCACGTTTGAATTGGGTCGGATGCCAGGAACTGACTTGGTCGTTCTCAGGTTATTCTCTTCTGAACCTTCCTCGCGCGTTAATGGCTCGAAGAAGATGGAAATGCACTTTCACTGCTCCTTCCACCAGTGCAGATAACTCCCACTGTGCATCAGGTCATCTCGAGAGACAATGGTCGCGATAATATTCAGAGCAGAATCCGAATCAACGCCAACGGCCAGCTCCACTCCAACTTCTTCTTCCATTACTTCGGCTTCTACTAGTACAAGCTCTGCTTTATCGACAGGAACAGACCCTGATCCTGCAACGAATGCACTCACCAAGGTGAGTGCGCGACAAATCATTTAAACATTACCTTCCTTAAATATTTATATCGTTACAGAACGTGTTAGAATGGATATTTCTAGCCCTGGTCGTTATATTCGTGAGCAGCGTCGTACATCGTCGGTGAGCTTTTCAACTCGGATCTAGCAGATTCGTTACTGATATTTTTCTATAGACTTCACGCTCTGAAACGAAATGGGTTACCAATCAAGTCGTTCTTCTCTGCCCGCAATGTTCGGCGTGCCCCAAGCACCAATCCTCGACCAAGTCGACCTTTCCCATCGACTTTCAGCAGCTCATTATCCGCTTACGATCTAGCAAACGTCCCGACTGCGTATAATCCATTCGCTACCATCTATTCATCAACGACACCCAGTAATCGAACGCGAAACCAGACACGGGCGGCGGATATCGATTCGGGCGGTAGACGGATAGGAGAAGGTCCAAGCGACTATCATAATGGATTCGGCGACAGAAAGGACACACTGCCGGCCTACGATAAGCATGGTAGTCCTCCAGGTTACATCGCCTCTTTGCCTGTGCTTCCGTCATTGGGTTCAGCAGGAGAAGACAGGCGAAATATGGAGACGGGAGAAGCCGCGCCAAATTATAGTTTCCACGAGATCCGCGATACTTCTTGAATCAGTTTGGATAGGTCATGATTTTTTCCCTCGTTGCGTCCTTCGAATATGTGGTCTGTATTGACAGTGCACAAACTCTGTTAACATGCTGGGCACTTGAATAACAATCTTCCAACAGGAAATATGAAGGGAGTTGGTAGCAAGAAGTGTTTTATCTCACAAAATTTCGACCAGGTAAGATGTTTTGCTACAATTCGGTATGTATCTAGGACGCAAAGAATATAATCGCGAAAATGTTTTCATTGTGCAGATACTTTTCTTAAATGAAGATATAGGAGACAACAACTACTACAATTTATTTGTAACCTTAGCATTTTTAAAGCCCGTTTAGACAAGGCAATGTTGGGTATGATTCGATATTCATTGTTGTCTTTAGTTAGCGCAAACCTGTTCGCCGACGTCTACGCGGATGTTCATAACTTCGTAGTTTAACAACGTCATTTTGACAGTGGTTTTAGGGCGGCCCATCCACCTGCTAGTCCCAACATCTTAGCTTATGAGGAGACTGGATAGAAGGGGTTAATAAGAAGCTCTCGAATGACGCGGTATTAAACTCACTGAGGGGCTAGGAGTGTACATTGGCAGTTGTATCATGTAGTGAGTAACTGATCGTATGAATTCCGAGCCGAAGATGATGTTTATCGTATTCCTGAGGAATACTGGAGAGTAATGTCGTGCGCATGATATGAACGCCTTATTTTAGGGATTAGTATGACTTCCAGGAAACTATTCCAGCTAACCACTCACAAGAATGCCACAGATCGATTACGTGAAACTTTTTCCTCTTCCAGCAGCCCACAACCGGTCGACTACCGCCTTCCCTTTTCAAACCAACACAGCGCCGTTACTTCCAATGGATGTTGGAATGACAATCGACTGAGTTTGTGATAGAGTTCCGACTGGAAGCGAGAGAGTAGAAGACGACTGTATCGCGGTTTCAGTTGCGGGGGTCGACGCGGGAATGCTGGTGGTGAAGGTGCTGGTGGCAGTGGCACTAGTGGTAGAAATAGTATAGGACTCGGTGGCAATTTCGGTGTTATTTTCGGTGTCGCTGCCGTTACCACTACCATTGGCAAGGTGGGGTGAGTTAGGAGGTGGCATCGATCCTTGGAAATGGCGAGTGGGTTCTCGCTCAACAAGGCGTACAGGAAGTGCATTTGTGACAGTGGCAAGCGCAGCACTGGCAATGAGGATAGCGGAGAACTTCATGATGAGTAAGAGTATATGCACGCAAAAAGTTGTAAAGTTAATCGCAAGGATGTGGTAGTGGGTTAAGTTATGATTTGGATTTCGTTGTGGATCCAGGAGGTTTATATAGTACGCCAAATAAAATAAAGGGGGAATAGGAGTAATTGCGAGCGAAGCGAAGCAATACTGGCCATAGGGTGAAAAATTTCGTCAATTCTATATTCGCAAATCCCACGAGGTCACAGCCACCGCCATTTTTGGTACATAATCCGCTGTAAATCCCTCGTCATCGAATTCAGTCGCGACTGTCCTTCCATTACCTTGTACATTCTTACTTGCTCAGTATATCATCCTTGTGTAATCATTATAGTGTCTTGAAAACTGTTTTATGGAGGTGCGCCAGCACCGACACCCCTCGAAACTAGAATTTCGAAGCGAGCACCACATGTGAGACGTACTTGGAACGGAGGGGGCCGAAGGCCCCCTCCGAGCCGGACGAAGGAGGCTCACATGCGAATGCATGTTAATAGTCTTGACTCACTTGACTCAACTCAGTCCTTTAGGCAGCGGGGCAGCAACTCAGATACGTAGTAGCGTTTTTTTGCAAGAGTCCCTCAAAGCATATCTCGCGGAGAACACCGCGAGTAAATCAACTGTTCAACTTTGCATTAGAGTGATGACAACGCCCGGGGATAGGTATTGGAAATCAGGTGACCGTGTGTTGAAGAATAGGAGCTTGTACGAATGTACTGAGCCAGAATTTAGAACATGTACTGAGGAAGAAAAGACCAGCCTACTGATACATTTGCGTATTTTTGCAAGGCCATCGTATGGGAAGGAACTCGGAGGTAATGACAAGAAAGGGACAGGACAGGAACGGCAATGGTTAAATTGATCATTGAAGAGAAATGTCTGCATATGTTTCTGGAGGAACGATTATGCAAATTGTAACTACGAAACACGTAAATAGAGACCCTACTTGTTCAAGAATGCCTCCACAGAAATCTCCTTCAAACCCTGCACCGCAACTCTCAAGAAACCCTTTTCTTCTTCCATTCTCTTCAAGAACTCCTTATTTGTTTTCAATTCATCAACATCCCAGTGCGCCCATACGAAGCGACCATGTAACCAGGACGCCTCCGGGGACGCCGCCCAGACAGCATAGTCTGCTGGTAATGCCACTGAAGCGTGTTAGTAATGAAGAAAGGCATTACTCAAATAAACATTGCTTACTTTTATCCCAGTTGACTAAATCTTCATCTGCAACCTTGGCAACCCCTTCCGAATAAAGCATTCCTGGATGGTAGATTATGATCTGGATATCCTCGACGGGGTGTTCATCAGCAATTCTTCCAAAAAGCGCAGTGGAAGCCGATTTTGTTGTCGAGTATGGGGTCTGATTCGGTGCAGGAATTACATGAATCATAAGCGTCGAGACATTGATCAGATTGAGCTGCTGACCCGAGGGGCGCAAGAGTTGGTTGACAAACTTGACCGTCATAAGAAAATTACCACCGATATTGACGTCGAAACCTTCCATGATCACTCGCTTATCCATTTTCAGCGTGTCAAGTCCCCATGGGGAGACATGAGCAGCATTGAGCACCAATACGCGTACAAATATATTCTGAGAGTTTAGAAAATCCCAGAGGGAGGATATAGAAGCGTCGTCTCCAATATCTCCTTGTCGAGCAATGAATTCAGTCGTTGAGTCTCTGAATTCCTCTCGCAATGTAGCTGCCGCAGCGTCCAAGACCGCATTCCTGCGGCCTACAATGATGATCTTGGAAGCACCTGCTTTAGCAAACGACCGAGCGATTTCAAAGCCTATCCCGCCACTACCTCCTGTGATGAGAACTGCCCGACCAGTTTGGCTGAGAGACGGCTTGGTCGGGGAGATGGCTGGGTATGTATCGTGGTGATGAGTTTTGGTGAGGCTGAGACTGTCGAGGGACATTGTTATAAAAGTAAGATTTCCATTAAGAGAAGACCTCGTAGAGTCTTATACTGTACGTACCTGACAAGAACATCGAAAGTATCGATAAACGAGTTGAATTGTCCGAGATAACCGGTAAATTCTTACTCTACGGATGAATTAAACCTTGTTGCATGGAAAACTAACGGTGAAACTCGGCAAAGAGATATGTTTTTAGTGTATGTTGGTAGAAATGACGATGGACCTCGGCAGAGACCTTGAATGAGTCGGGCATGACTTGCTATATCTCACATAGATACGATGTATATGAGAACAAGAATTTGAAGAACTGTTGGAGGCGATTTCGTTATGTAAGACATATATGCACCGGGCGCTTTTTAACCGCCGGGTCAACGTATGAACCTTGGGCCTCAGCGCTTACCTCAAATTCTTAACTTTCATATCGCGAAATGTTGAGATCCTGGCTGGAGCCTGATATTCTCCGTCTAATATTTTCGGACCCAAAGAGTGGGAATTCAAATGTGTTATTTTGCGTTTACATACATAGAGACATTCTACAGAATTGGAGTGGTTTGGGTGAGGTTCGGTGACTTGATCGTCTCTGCATCGAATTTTAATATGTAATGATTAATCCACATTCTCGGGGCCAGACCACGATTCGTGAAATAAACTCTGCTCGCGATAGATTGGCCTACTTGGTGGGTCGCGCGACCCAACCATTTTAGTCGACAGTTCCGAAGAACGTTACTTGGGATGTGTAGGAAAGGTGTGCGTTACACTCGCCAGGCGTATAATGATTTTTGACTGAGTTTCCGAAATTCGAAAAACTTGTGGATATTATTCGGTCGCCTTCGCGAAGACGTTAGTAGTTATTCATTGCCTATCATAAATGAGTCATAAAACTCACCACTGGTGTATATTTGACAGGGAATCTATTCCGCCAGCCCGCTGCGGCTAACCACCCTCTGTGCCCATCTACGCCAACGCAGTTGCGTCACTTCCAATCGACGTCGGAACGACAATCGAATAGGTTGTTGTTATTGTTTCAACAGGAAGCGGAGGCTTTGTAGACGACTGCAGGGTTGTTTCAGCTGCAGTGGTCGTGGTAGAGGTGCTAGCAGCGGTGATGGTATCGGTTTCAGGGTAATTTTCGTTGTCGCTACCATCACCGGTGCCGTTGTAATGGGCTAGGTGGGGCGAATTAGGAGGTGGCATCGATCCTTGGAAACGATGAGCGGGGTTCCGTTCAGCAAGACGTGTGGGTAGTGCGCTTGTGACAGTGGCAAGCAAAGCACTGGTGATGAAGATAGCGATGAACTTCATGATGAATAAGACGCAGAATGGATAAGGTGTTAACTGGAAGGATCAAGTTGTGGGTTAAGTTGTAATTTACGTCCAAGTGAGGAATCGAAGGCTTTATATACCCAAGAATAAAGGGGAAATAGGAGCAATAATTCAGACTCACTTGTCTCGACTCGGTCATCAGTGCATCAGTGACTCTGGTATGACGACTTCTTGTATATGTGCACCCTGGAGAATGGAAGAAATGGGAGCGCATCATTTTGAAGATCCATAAATGCAATCAGGAAGAAAATGTTAAAGTCGTGAGTACATCGTGAGAATAAAATCGACGTTCAACTGTCTTTAGCTATAACTATCACGTTCGGCGCTCAACTTAGCTTATGGCCGCTTTTACCAAAGCTATGACAAGCAGGCGGTGAAGAGTATATTTTCGTAAACAGTCGCAAGAGTTTACAGAAGTATGGTACGCGTCATAAAACATCAAAAATACTCTAATTGAGTGAGACATAAATTGGGTCGAGTGTCTAAGACATTAACTCTACGTATGTTTTACCGTTACCGACGTGGAACTGTCCGTTACACTTGTAAGCACTTTGTCATTCTGCTCAATGTTGACTTTTATTCCAGTGTTAGGGGTCACTGTCTTCGAAGATGTAGATGCAGACGCCCCTGAGAACGTAACGGTCCCAAAATTCGCGAATGTAACGAGACTGCCGTTTTGCTCGTAATCTTCAACGATCCATTCAGCATTTTGGCCTTTCAGCGCGGCCTATGAATTGTTAGCTGATGTAAGGTTCGCATTTTATTTATGTATGTGGATGTTTCTTACCGATGAACTTGGGGCAGTGAGAGATTGGCTGACGCTTTTACCGGTACTTTTGTTCGTGAGGGTGACTGTGCCAGTAGTTGAACTCGTCGAGTGAACTGTTATTGATATTGTATTGCCAGCGGAGATGGCAAGATTGGAGAAGTCATAAGCATAGTTCGGATACCTGCGAAGGGGCGTAAGTACAAATCTCTACAAAATTGGCACTAGCACGGTACTAACCATTCGTACCACGAGTCATACGATACTTGTCCACCGCTGATCTTAAAATCGACCCCGGCCTGTAAAATCGATTGTGACGCTGTGTCACCATCGATCCCCACCCACGCTGACGCAGCTCCGTCACTACCTGTCGGCGACGGAACGACGAATGTGCCTGTGACTGTGGTAAAGTTTTGACCGGAAGGTGGAGATTCGATGATAACACCAGCCCAATTCGTGCTGTATTCGTCGTGGAGGGAGGTGCTGGTAGTGCCGGCATGAAGCTCAACCCCGGAGTCGGTGTTGTTACCGGTACCATTGTGAGAAGAGCCGGAGAATGGTCTCGAACTTCGGGATCTCCGAGTTGCCTCGCGCTCTGCAAGCCTCGAAGGACGTGCTAATGCGGTGGAGGTCAAAACAGCTCCGGTGAGCAGAAGAGTCGAAAATTTCATTGTATAGGGTAGATGGGTAAAGTTTTCCGTTCAATGAGGAAAAGTTGAATGAGTTGAATTGATGCATTTCGAAGTTTAGGCCCAATGAATTTATACTGGATCAAAGGAGAGCTAGGGGGGAGTAAAAGGGTAGACTGAGACGAAACTAATAACAGCAGCCGCATATGACATAGGCTTGACTCACTTGTCTTATACTATTTTCAGAGCAGAGCCTGGTGCCGTCACGGTAGTAGTCTCTTTTTGGGCTGCTCGTATAAGTTCCTCTTGATAGTATAGGAGCATGGAAGGAATTTTCCAATTAAGGCCGTCTCTAGTTGGTGTCATTATGATTAATGATAAGAACGGAAGCGAGTCCCAAACAGAATATTATGATTATTAGGTTTACATCGTCTCAGAACTGCGTAATTATTGTATGAACACGACATTGCCCGCGACATAGGGGGGGGGGGGGGGGCTGCTCCACTAAATCAGGTCCTTCTTAGGGTGCAATTGAATGACTCCACGCAATGTAAGTTGTGGACTTCAGTGCGTAATCTCATATCTGCAACTCTTTAAGTGTTCATTCAATATTATATTCTGGTATTATGTTCGGGCTCTGCTATACAAAGTGCGATTCACAACATTTTCGGAACTTTTGGTGGGAATCTATGCAGGTTTAAAACATGCATGTATTCGCTAAGCGTCACCGATACTCGAGAGTGCTGGTTTCTGAGCAACGACTCCTAGAAGTTCGTTTGTGTCATTGTGAACTGATATCTTCGCATCTAAATAGGGGTTAGTTCGAATTTCTCCGATAGGGGTCAGAAAGAAACTTACCGTTTGAAACTGAGCGTGCGCAATTAGCAGCGGCTGAGGATGCTTTACTTGAGAGATTGGCGGGTGATCAAAAACCTCATGAGAGTGGGTTCGAATGATGATGTTTGGATTAACCGATGCCTCTCAGTTTTTGAATGTGTACGCATTAATGTAATATCTGTGAATTGTTAGCAAATTTTCTTGAGGATTGGAATGCGTGATCTGGACACTAACCACTGACGCCTCGGAATACGCAAAACCTCTCCCTACTTCCGCCAGTCAACTGCGGCAGCCCATCGCCTTTCCACTATGAAGGCGAACTTGGGGCGATACTTCCAGTGGGAATCGGAACGACGATCGACTGAATCTGTGTCAGAGTTTCGACTGGAAGCGGGAGATCCGATGATGACTCCATCGCTGTAGAGGTCGAAGTGGGGGTGCTCGAGGTGGAGGTACTGCTGAAGGTGAAAGTATAAGACGCAGTATCGTTTTCGGGTTCGTCTTCATAGTCGCCGCCATTACCGGTACCATTGTAATGGGCCAGATGGGGTGAATTGGGAGGAGGCCTCGATCCTCCGAATTGGCGGGTGGGTTGACGTTCAGCGATACGAGTAGGAAGCGCATTTGTAGCGGCGGAAAGCAAGGCACCAGTTATAGAGAGTATAGCGTAGAACTTCATGATGGTTAAGAGTATAGGCACGCAACAAGGTTTAATGTTGATCGCAATGATGAAGTAGTGGGTTAAGATTGAATTTGAGTGCTGGTGAGAATTTGAGGGCGTCTTATATCCATAATAAAGGGGGGTAGTAATAACCCTGATTTACTTGTCTCAACAGCAGCAAGTTGGATATGTAGCACCGGCTTCTAGGAGAATGGTCCTGGGAATCGGTAAGGATATAAGGGTATGATAGAAGGTCGGAACGAACTTGAAGGCGAAGTATCAAGTTATAGGCGGGGATGGTCGTAAAATCAAGACATAGATAGTATGGCTTCAAAATTCCAAACTTGCTCCCAACGTTCCAAATTTCAATTCCTACGCTTCATCATCATCATGCCCATCTTTCTCGGAGAGCTCCTGTGTTTTTCACTTTGTGAACATCGAAGCAAGGATAAATGAAGCCTCCATTGAAGGAAAAACGAAGTGGTCTAAATTGACACGGCCCGGAAACGTATCCACGTGGGGAAATTGGATATCCCGGCCATGTCAGATCTGGACGGCTACTTGGACTTGGTCATGAGCGGCCGATTGTTTTTGCGGTTCTCGGACTCTGACCACTACCACCTTTATCTACCTTCAAATCTTCGTAGCTTAACTCGTTGTCGACAACCGCACAGGCGCCGGCACAATGAGCCTAACGCGTAGTGTCGGCCTGCGCGTAGGTCCGATTGTATTAGGGACCCTGGTGAAGCATTACTTGGAGAAGATTAGAAGAGATTTTGTGCAGGATAACGGGAGCAAAGGGAAGGAGAAGGACGAACTGGTGCAGTTGCGGCAAGATGAGTTAATATACGATGAAATTTTTACGGTTGTAAAGGTTAGTCTATCCAATTCAAGGGCTTGAGCAACATCTCATATCTCACCGGCTGGCTCAGGCCTTCTTGGAAGCAGCGACTCTGTGAGTTTACTTCTCTAGATTTGTGTCTTTATCTATGAATTCTGGGTCAGTCACCCCGTAGAAGACATCCAGTCCTTTTCTAATACAAGAACACCGTCTCCGCCTTGGGTACACGTTGTTCGTGTCCGCGTACCGATGTCATCTTGTGACGAGGCTGCCAAATATCTAATAACAGCACTTGGTGGCCAAGAACTTGCTGTGAAACTGGTCGGAGGCGTTAAATGGTGGCAGGTTAGAAGCCTTGACGGGTGAGTCTTATCAGTAAAGAGCAACTTACGCTTGAACGTGCATCTCACGAAATCATTAGTGTAGATGCTCAGTGGATCACCGCCAAAAAAGACTGGCAAGAAGCTAAACGTAGATATAAAGATAGAGGGAATACTCAACGCGATGAAAAGCATGAACCTATGTTGGATCAAAGTGAAAGCGCCACCTATAACCAAGATATGGATACGATGAGATGTATCCTATACGCTCATGGAGGTAAATGACTTCATTTCGGTTTTGTGTTCTGTCTCTGATCATATACACATCCACTGCAGGTGGATATTATTTCGGAAGCGTAGATCAGGAAAGGTGTGTAACTGGTCATTAACTGACTTGAACTGGTGTCTAATATGTGATCGTAGGTATAGCATCCAGCGATATGCTAGGAAAATCAACGGAAGAGTTTTTGGTACGACCTTGACTAGGTATAACAAAATTTCACTATAACATTGTGTTGAACAGCTATGAATTATCGTTTGGCACCTCAATATCCATTTCCCTGCGCAATACAGGACCTCGTTGCATCATGTCAATCCTTCCATTCTTCTACCATCGTAGAGCGAAGAGCTGACGTTGACGTTCACAGACCTTTATTTGATTCGACCTCCTCCAGGAGCCTCCCATTTGCCCGTGAAGCCATCACACATTGTTGTTGCGGGCGATTCTGCAGGCGGTGGCCTCATACTTGCTCTCCTACAAGTTCTCCGAGATGCCTCCCTTCCTCTTCCAGCCGGGGGTATTCTCGTATCCCCTTGGTGTGACCTCACACATTCCTTTCCCAGCATCCACACGAACACGGCTACGGACGTGATGCCGCCGTACGGTTTTTCGTTACACAAACCTAGCACTCTTTGGCCTCCTCCAGATGAGGAACTAGCTGGCCGAGTACGAACCGGACTGAAGCAAAGATTTCGAGCAGTCTTCAAAGGCGAAGGAGACCCCAACGCTAGTGTTTTGACCTTTGGGACTAGCACATCGGAAACTCACTCCAACGCCCCCGTTAATGGTGCCAATACCGATCCTCCAAGCTCTGGCGAGGTACCGAATGGCATGCCAATTAACGTAGGCGCAACTACCCCTCTTCCACTGCCAAATTCTTCGTACGATCATGCGAACCCATTTGATTCAAACAAATCGGCTTACGATTCAATCATTTTACAAGCTCAAAATGGCGAAATTCTAAGTATACAGCAGCAGATTCAGCTCTATACGACAAATGCGTTGTTGGGACATCCACTAGTTAGTCCGGCGCTAGGGTATCTGGGCGGGCTGCCGCCGTTGATGTTTGTAATCAGTGACAAAGAGGTCTTGAGAGATGAGGGGATATATGTGTGAGTGGATTTTAGTATATCCCGGAATTTTGTTGAAATATATATATAGTGCGCACAAAGCTGTTTATCCTGAGCAGTTTCCTATCAGAGATACCACGAGAGCGCTCTATCCGGCTCTGTATGGTATCGAGGAAAGATTTAAAGGAAAACCAACGCCTGTGCATCTACAGTTGTATGACGGTATGTATTCGCCTTCTGTTTAAGCTTGTCCCCCACTCAACTGAAAGTCAATTCCTTTCCAATGAGTAGACACCGCCCATGTTCTTCCAGTATTATTCTCATTCACCACTCCTGCAAAATACTGTTTCCGCGCTATGGCTATTTTCTGCAAATACGTTACAGGGATGCCACTCTTTCCCAACAACTCAGATGATGCCCCAAACACACCACAGAAGCGAGCGAGCGAGTCTTCCCCAACAGGCCTCTTGTCCTCTCTGTCCTCATCCATTACCTCAGCGCTGGTCGGATCCGGAGCTGAGACGGGTGGCGCTTCACCACCATTGTCTCCTCGATCAATCAAGTCGTTCACTATCAGTGGAAGCGGAATTGTTTCAAAGAGCGCACTATCAATACGAAGGAAGTCGCGGAAATCAACTGGTTCCGATTATCCGATTCCCGATCTCAAGAGGTCAGCGTCGGAGTACCAAGGTGAATTCGGTCGGAATGAGATGAAGTCCAGATCAATGTTCGCTCTTCGGTCGAGGAAGAGTGGTTCGGACATTCGGAGGTTGAATGACGACGCAAAGATGGACCAAAATTTGGACTTGAGTCGTGATAGAGAAACGAAGAAGGCACCAAACGAAGGTGGGGTCAACACTCCCCCGAAGTGGAAACATACAAAGGTCCCGCCGGTTCCCTCACTCTCTCTTCACCCTCATCTTGAATTCTCATCCCCGAAGTCCCCACGTTCTATACCTCTTCCGTCTTCCCCTTTACCTTCAATAGACACGTCTTTTTCTGTTCTGGAGTTGGACATGGCTTTTGCAAATGCAGGATCATTTGCTGTGGGCTCTTCGGATAGCAGTCCACTGGTGCCAGAGCACGGTCAGGACAACATGATCGATGTATCACATTTGACCTCGTCACCGACCACGTCGATGATGCCTTCACCGCGGCTTATACCACTGCCCGCTTCATCTTCTGGTATGCCTTCTTCATCAACGACCGTATCACAGGTTCACAGTGACCACCTGGAAGGGATCGAGGGTTTACCTGTATCAATGTCTTCAGAAGCAACCATGTCTCAGCTACGAGAATCACCGCTGTCGTTACGGATTCCATTGCCGCCTTCGCCGTTGCCATCGTACTCGAAGGACTCCATGGCATCACTATCTTCGTCTGGTTCCACTAGTACACATATAGCTCTTGCAGAGACTCATCGTACAAAACAGGCCCGTAAGGAAACCCTACCAAATAAAGAGAGGTGTGCAGGAGATCCAATCGTGTACTCAGAGACATCCGTGAGTGCTTTTTTGTACCGACTTCTGCATCACTTTCAATATTTTTATTTCCTTCTATTCTTCCCAATCACAGGAATTTCCTTCCCTCTTCGACTCGCTCATGATTCGCGAACGAGTATCGACCCGAGGTGTCATTCGCCCGCTCGAGCCGTTTTCCGATCTCCCCGCGTTCTCAATCCCTCCGCAACTGATCGGCGAGATCTCTGAACGCGCTGTGAGAAGGTATATCGCTGGGCGTACGTTCTTTGAACATAAGTTTTCAGGGACGAGAAAAGCTATAGAGCAGAGACGGAGGAAGCATTTACAGAAAGCTAGGAAAGATACGACTAGGAATATGAGTGCGTTGAAAGGGAGTGTTGAGAGGGAAAGTAAGAAAATGAAGCAAGAAGAAGAACCATGGAGTGGCGAAGAGGAAGAGGATCATCATCATGGTCCCCGATCCCCAAACTCACCATATCTCTCCAACAATAATTCATCTCCATTCAACATCGAAACTGCCCTCCTCGCGTCCTCCGGCTGGTCTTGGTCATGGGCTTTAGATAACAACGAGCATCCACCCCCGAGTAGTCTCGTTGCGCGGCGGGACACACATGAGGCACTGATGCTTGCGCGGGTAGCAGATCAGGGTGTGCTGCAGGATGAACAAGGAGGAGGAGTGAGTGCGGCGATGAGTGGAAACAACCTCTGGAGTGTGGTTGTTGGTTTTTTAACGCCTGCTGGGAATGGGAACGGGAGTGGCTTTCGGACTGGCGGAGAAGAACACAACCGACGAGAGAGAGACCCAGAATTGAGCCCGGACCGCCGGAAGGAAAAACCAAATGCGCAGTCGTCGCCTCCGAGTCAGGCGGTGTCAGAAGATACTGAAGCTCCTTCTACATCAACAAGAAACCTTACACCATCGAAATTTTCCTCATCCCCCATATCTTCTCCGCCGTCAAAGATTCGTCTATTAGGGAAGAAACCAAGTGTGAATGCGCTTCGCGCTCGACTTGCTTCAATGGGTACTTCGCGTGGGAAATCTCCTCCTCCCCCTCCACCTGCTGCTATTACAGTTGCATCCTCGTCAAACACGTAGATCTCGTAGAATGCTGGGAATAATAGGTTTACAGACCTTCAACATACATATAGAACATGCGTAATAATTGCTATCCATAAAACCAATGCAAAAATCGGGTATAAAGGAATGAATACAGTAGAAAACATTCTTTACAATAAAATCACACTTATGTGTATTTTGTACGCCCCTTCGGTTCTAGACTTAGTAGATTGAAGGTATTTTGGTAACTCTCGCCAGTGAGTAGTAATATCTTGCTTTCAATGATCGGATTTTAGAGTCGGAATTCTGTACTTACTGTTGGAGGAGTATAGGAAAAATTTCAGAGTAGGAAGTTCTGCCGTTTTCTTTCCTATCCATATCGGGGTGGCACAGCATTCATGAAATTATCATCTACTTCTTTCTCAACCAATCATATCATCCGAAAACAGAGAACATTACTTGGTCGAAGTTGACTCTCTGGTCACACATGAACAAGAATTCTCTCTGAATTATCATGACAAAGAAACCCTTCAATAACCGACCGAAATATATTGAAAGGCGGACGTTCGCCATGTACATCTAGTCGAAACCTGGTTTGAAGCTCAAACTTGATAAACGACCTCTCATCGATGCCATGGAGTTCCTATCAATAATCATACCTATATCTTCGTATGAGACTTGAAATAATCCATTCATATCGTCTTTTTTAAATCCCTCCTCCCGCTGGAACGAGATGCACAACGATGTCGACTTGGTGTTCGTCGACCCCAAGTCGCTGTTGTTACAAGCAAACTGTGCCACTGTCGCCTGTTATTATACAAAGCCAGCAGAAGCCAGTCCATTCTCGCTCCGACGAAAATCCTATAAGACGCCGAATTCCTCAAGCTCAAGTCATATATGGCCTTTGACCGATGTTGTAGAGTGCTAGTGAAACTACCGAGAGACATGGTTGTGGTGAGGACCCAGTAGTACCCCTGAATGGTTTTTATCTGACCAGGATTACGATCAAGCGTTACTAATTATCCGAAAGAAATCCTTCTGTGTCGGGATATTCGTAGAGCTTACTAACATGACTAGATAGAGAAGCTGACATGTCTTTAGTCAGTGAATGGACCCACCGAGCCATGTGCATCGTCCTCCAAGGTATATAAAATATGCTCTGTTTGATTGAGGCGTTTTCCCCACCGGGCAACAATGTCCCTCGACAGTTTCAATGTCACCCGTACTTTTCATCGCGACACATATCCAGCCATCTCACCAACGAAGGCCTCTCTTAGCCAAGCTGGTAAGGCAGTTCTTATTACAGGCGGTGGGGGCGGGATAGGCTTCGAAATCGCTCGGTCGTTTGCTAAAGCAGGCGCCTCCAAGATCATTATCGTAGGCCGCAGAACCGCTGTATTGGACGCTGCGGCAGTAAAGCTGCGCGAGGAGTTTAAAAACTCGACCCCGACTCCTGAATTCATCGCTCACCAAGGAGACATCGGAGACGACGCGTCTATCTCCTCCATTTGGAAATTCCTAAACTCTCAGAACATATTTGTGCGTGTGCTGGTGCTCAATGCCGCTCATTTTTACCCATTGGGGCCTGATACGTTGAAAATGGATAAACGAGAGATCATGGAGGGTTTCAATACCAACGTTGGCGGTAATTTCCTCATGACGGTCAATTTTGTCAATCAACCCCTGCGCCCTAAGGGCCAGCAACTTAATCTGGTCAATGTGTCTACGTCCACTATCCACATAATTCCTGGTCCGAATTCAACTCCATACGCTGCAAGCAAAGCGGCCTTCACTGCGCTTACCGGAAGAATAGCGGATGAACACCCCGTTGAAGAAATTCAGATCATATCGTTCCATCCAGGCATTATTTATTCAGAAGGTACGGCAAAGTTTGCGGATAAAAATCTCAAGTGGGATGAGAGTAAGTGTCATCAATTGCAATCGTTAAGGTGTTGTTCCCGTCGCTAACACACACGTCAGTGGCATTACCAGCAGACTATGCTGTCTGGGCAGCGTCTCCAGAGGCGTCCTGGCTTCATGGTCGCTTTGTTTGGGCGCACTGGGACGTGGATGAATTGAAAGCCGACAAGGAGTTTTCGAAGAGACTGGAACAAGAGAAAGGTTTCTTACGGGTTGCGGTCCAAGGGTTGAAGGACATCTCCGTGGATGCCTTCTTAAACAAGCAGGGTTCATAACAAGCTGTAGTCCCCAATATACAAATTGCATGAATAACTTTCTTCGCATATACTCAACTTGGCACTCAGTGCAGGGTGGACGTATATGTGAGTCCGGTACATGTCGAGATTCATAAACCAACGTACGACTTTGGATAAGCATACTCTGAATGACTGCTGGGGACCGAAGACAAGTCACTAAATCATTGTCAAGATTTTACTTTCGGTACACCGGGGGTTTTTTCCCCAGAGCTTATATAAATAAGATCAGAATAAGATCTATGTACTAAAATTCGTCTCCTTCGGGGTGACACTAGGACCCCTGATTATACACTATGATCCCAGACGGTGGTTCGGACAAGACACCCCCCCAAATTTGGTCTCTAGCCATAGGAAAATTCGGACAAAAGATCACCATAGGCGGCAGCCAGAATGAAAAATTCGGACAAAACACCCTAAAATTTACCATAAATTGCACAAGAAAATTCAATGAACCAAATTTACAACCAGTTGCACTCTGCCGACGTCGGAAAATTTGGGCGCTTATACCATGGCCGGAGGTACGGTGCCCGACTGGGCTCAGGCCGAATTTTCCATCAGCGAGTCTAGATTTTATGTCACAAGCAGTAAGCGATATTAAGCGCTTAATATTCGGACCTTTGTTCCGGTTCACACGTGTTTGGTTAACGCGTTCAACGTCGTTCTCCCAGTCCGCTCCCCAGTACATCCATCTTTCCGTGCTGCAAACGTACAACTTCTTTGAATATACCTATCAATAAATGTCTTATAACTTTGCTTTGACCTTTCTCCGCTTTGCTATTCCTTTATTTCCTCAAAGTACATTATAATAGCTACTATTTAGTGAGGGGTAGTCAGTGGCGAGAAATTCTCGCTACAATACTACATATATTGTTAGAGAGAACGAAGAATACAGTACCCCAGAAGAAGAACAAATTTAGAGACACAGTGAGTGGGGAGAACGAATTCTCACTACAATGCTGTATAAATCTCAAAGATATTGTTAAAAATGTTATGCAGGATAGTGCAGGATCCTACCAGAGGAACGAAATTAATGCATGGTGTTGAGTGGCGAGAAATTCACGCCACAATGCTAAACTACTAAGGGAAAACTTCGAAAAAGCGTTCCAGTGAGGCGGCAATGAACTATGACAAAATCAAGGAAATTGCACTCGCTTGTTTGCAGTCTGGGCACACTCGCCTCCTGTGTACATGCTCCAAATTCCCCATTTTGTATTTTATTCAAGATCGTGTCACTCAAGAGTGGTCTGTGCGCAAAAATTTATGCGAGGAGGTATAAAAGGAGTCACCAAGTAGTGCTGGAATACATCTCCTTCCTTTCCATTCTTCCTATGCCCTTCTGTCCTAATTGCTCGAAGGAATACACCGGACTTGAGGAAAATGCTATCTGTGCAAAGTGTCGGAAGCTCGCACAACCAGGGATGACAATGACAGAGAAGAAAGCTATACAGGTACTTGTAGTTACTTCGTTTACCTGACAAATTCAACTAACTATATTTTTATGTAGAGTTTTCCAGCTTGCCAACATTGTAGTGTATATTATGAGAACCTTGCAGATATTCACTGTGGTCCTTGTGCAAAGAAGTTGAAGAAGCGTCCAAGAGAAAGTGATACAGATAATGACCAAACTGGAAATAATTCACAAGGTCTTTCTTTTCACTTAATTGTCACTCGAGAATCAAATATTGATCATGCATGTCAGCTTCCGTATCAGCTATCCATCATCGTGCTGCTGCTTGGAGTGGATCAGCATCTGAGAAGCGATTGAACCAGCATACTACTGCTACAAAACAGAATAAAAATCTACAAAGAGGGACCGCAATCATCGAAGCAAGAGCTAATCAGCGTAAACTTAGTGGTGCTCAAGTTCTTGCTGTAGAAATTTCACTTTCGTTGCTGTATCCAAATCACAAACAGTCCAAGGCATGACTTCTGGTTTTTATTTTCTACATTTTCATTATGCTTAGCACTTTTGCAGGTCAATTTGCGCCCATATGGCGACAAGTATGCATCAAGTCTCACTGTCGAAACGGTCTTTACAAAACTCCTCAGCCTTATGAAAGAGGGATTTGCTACCTCAGCACATGCCGGTATTGTTCAAAAGTATGCACATAATGCATATCTCGATTGGACTCCGTGTGTTTCATTTTCTCTGATTGTTATAGCTATTTTGATTAAGGCATACACAGATCCCACATCTCTTATACATCTGTCTCTGGCAAGCACAAGAACTCACTTGCACCTGCACAGCTTAAGTGGTCAGAAAGTCTTGAACATCTATTTATGGAGATGAATAGCAGTGGGAAGCTAAGCAAGAGTGACTTTTCTGACCGCAAGTTCGGAATCGAATGTTGTGTTCGTGTTATTCACCCTGTATGTGAAATTTCAAATTTGTCAACAAACTAAATTTTGATTCCCAAGTTCTAAAATAGGATGAACAATATGATGTTGATAGTGATATGTCATCCCGAGTATCACCGACAAAATCTCGCAAACGGATGAAGTTAAGTACACCTATTTCTGAAGGTAATTATAATAATCTATGGCATCAGCATTTTTGAACAATATTCTAGGCTCCCAGGCATCTCGAACTTCATTGAGGCCTCAAAGCACCTATACAAGTAGCTGGAGCCGACGTCCTTCATCCATTTCTCCAATTATCATTGAATATGAATCACATTCATTCAAGAAGTTGACGTGTCATTTGTCCAAATGGGGAGACACAATGTTCATTCAAAGTATGGAAGAGTGTACCATTGACGTCCCAAGGAACTGGCGCCGTTTTGCCAAAGGTGGTGTTCCCAAAGGTGGGTATCGAGGGAAAGGCTCCTTCAAATATTGCATTGAGGTGAGTAGCCACCAATTTTTTTTCTCAGCCTGCTGATATTCAATACTCCAAAATCATAGGCCCGGTACAATGCCAAACCAGTGGCATTATTGCAATGCATTCCTGAGCTTGGCAGCACTACTGAATCCAACAGAAATTTGCTGCTGAAAGAATTTGAAATCCTCATCCAAGCATCTGGTTTTGCAGAGAGTTTCAATGAGCGGGCCAAGCTGGCTGGTGTGAGTATACCAGGTTCAGGTATTGACTTTCTAACACCATATACATCCAATTTCTAACTCGCAGCCACATCCCACAGGTCTTAAATTCAATATCACAGATGCATTTGTGGGCACAACTATATTGCCTATTCCTTCGGGAGGTCTACCTATGGAAGAAAGCATTGAAAATGATGACCGTAGTCTTTTGTATAACACCTTCTTAGTTGTCCCGCTGCTTACAATTTCGGGGTTATACCAAGAGAAGAAATTCTCTGGGAACTCCATGATTGGCTGCAATGATGATGACTTTGCAGGGAAACTGATAGATGCATTTGCACATCATGTCCTTGAGCATACCAAAGGGGAATATATGCTGGCAGATCTTCAGGGTAAGGATACTGTGACTTTTTTGATAGACATTTTGCTGACTGGTAAAGAGTACAGGTGTTGTTGGTCCTGATAGTTCAGTCACATTGTTTGACCCTCAAGCTCACACGTACTCCATGTTCATTTCTGATATTCAACCTGTCACTAATGGAAAATCCTATATAGCAAATATCAAGACTCTGGTGACTGGGACCGTGGCATTGAAGAAATCCAAAAGTTTTGTCAAAAACATCATTGCAATGACATTTGCACTCAGATTCAACTCTGTGATTTGTCAAAGTTATGTTAGCTCTTCATAATTTATATCATTCTTTTGATATCTCCTTGCCCAGCATTCTATTCTTGTGCATGACTTTCTGATACTTACTCAATTCACTTTAATTCAAGAGTTACTCTCTCTATTACTTTATTATCAGTTGGGTTTCAACACAACTCCCATATAATTTTCAACTAAATATGTGGTAGCATGTCTTGAAATATATGCCATACATTCTGCATTGTCATCTGAGGAGCACCAAGTTCACCATTGAATACTTGTTGTGCCTTTGCTGCATATGCCACAGACACAAATCTGACCAGTTCCTCACCACCAATATCCTCCATGAGCCTTCCAATAATCTCTCTGTCAACAGGAAGCAAACCACTAACTGCTCCATACTTCTCATGAAGTGAAAATGCCACATTTGGAGACAATCCACTTGGTAACCATTTACCTCTGTCCTTCCGTGAACGGTGATTGTTGAATTTGTCACGCAAATCATCAAGCTCAGATTGGATCAATTTTGACCACAACCACCTGGCAAGATTGCTGTAGATTGTGAAAGGAGGTCAACAGACAACAATATTAATGACTTACTAGTGCTCTGGAATTGCTGCATTGTAGACAGTATTTCCGGCATCCCAAAAAATCTTGACATTGTCACCCCATTCTAACCGCAATCGGAGCCACCCATGTTCAATAGTTATATTGTGGATACTTTGGAGGAAGCGGTGAGCAGCCACCTGCTCAACCGGAATATCACCAGCAAATGCCTCTCTGTACATAAAGACATAGTATCAGAAAAATTAATGGACAGCTCAATATAGCAAATTTGCATACCGAAGTGCATTTGCAAAACCATAAACCATCACTAATTCACTCCCACAGTCAGTTGTTGTTTGTACTGGAATGCCTATCATATATATTCATTGTCAGAGAAAAATCATTGTCAATAATCAGACATACCTCCATACTCATATACAAGCTTAAGATATAGATAAGCAATAGTGTCTTTGAGGCGGTTATTGGGAACAACCCAAATTCCAAGCCATTTGCCTGACCACACATCCCGAACAGCCCAGATTGGGAACCCAATACCAGTTAACTTATCATGACCATCACCGCTCCATTCCTGGTGAGGCCCAACACAGACAAGCACACTTCGATGGATTTTTTTCGCAGTTGGTTCACGATTTGCAAATCCTTCCGGATGTTGATCCCGCATTGTTGCCTCGATGAAATCTCTATAGTAAGGTATGAGCTTGTCAGAATCTGCATGAGATATTGACATAAAAATACTAAACCGGGTAAGATGCACTCCTGCTACCCTTGCAATATTTTCCTTTACAGTCTTCGGCCCTCGTTTTGCATTTGGATCCTTACTCATTTCATCAAACACTAACTGCCGTTTGTCGAGTTCTGCCATTTTTGCTGTTGTCACCTGACTTGCAGTAATGTTCCAATACTTCTTGTGTCGGGTTACAGACGATGCACTATGACTTGTTGGTCCTGGGTTCATTCAAGATATAGAATGTCATATGATTTACCTGAGGATGATACCATAGTCGGCCTTCAGTAACTCAGAAATTGTTTGCTTATTGGTAATGTTCCGTCGATGATACTCAAGCAGAGCTTGATGGACACTCTCATCACCAATCTTAGCTGATATTGTAGAAACTGTAAGTTATACAACCAAATAAATAAATATTTCTGCTTACGACGGTTCTGGTACTGATTTCTACCTGTCCAGTTGTTGTTGTCATTAGTTCGGGGTTGACTGGAAGACTCTGGAATGTTGTCCTCGGATTCGGGCTGTGAAGCAATCAACTGAGAGGCTACCTCTGCCTCTGATTCGGACATTGGACTACTGGAGCAAGAGGGAAAAGGGTACGAGGCACCTATTGGCATGCATGTCGATGTTTTATATCTTGAATCCATGCCTTTTTCGTGTGTTTTCCGCATGTACACATGCTATCACTGAAAAGATCATTACTACACGACTTATACATGTAATGAAGATCTGATTCTCATTTTGTAGAAGCTCAAGTCAAAGTTATAAGACATTTATTGATAGGTATATTCAAAGAAGTTGTACGTTTGCAGCACGGAAAGATGGATGTACTGGGGAGCGGACTGGGAGAACGACGTTGAACGCGTTAACCAAACACGTGTGAACCGGAACAAAGGTCCGAATATTAAGCGCTTAATATCGCTTACTGCTTGTGACATAAAATCTAGACTCGCTGATGGAAAATTCGGCCTGAGCCCAGTCGGGCACCGTAGGAGGGAAATTCGGACAAAAGTCCCTCCCAAAATTCTACTTTTGGTTCGGACAAAATCCCTCAGGATCAGGCAATATTTTCATATGGGATCATAGGGTATAATCAGGGGTCCTGTGACACTGGGGTGCGAAAAAATTGGAAAGATTTATTAAAATTCGGCTATCAAATTTCAAACTTCATAAACCCTGGAAATCTGAATATTCCCCCTTTTTTTTAGACAGGCAGGTTCCTCTCTCAACGCTGAACGTATCAACTAGTACTGCACCCTCTCGCGGAATTGTTCAAGCCGCTGCTGTTTTTATACCCCGACGATTGATCATGAAGCTTTTTTCCTCCTCCTCCTCTGGCACAATCACCACTGGCCGCTGTCCCAGCAGAGTCTGCCGTCGCGAGTCCCAATTCCACTTTAACCTCCCGCTCCTCCTCCTCCTTCTCGGCATTCTATCCACAGCCGTCGTACCCGTAGAGGCTATCGCCAAAGACAAGAATAAAGCATGTCCGAAGTGGGTTTTGCACAAGGCTGGTACTCCATGTAAGGTGGAGCAAGAGAACGGGGAGGTTTTGGAAGGGTGTAAGTTGTTATTTTACAACTATAACCATGTAATCTCGCTCCCTGCAGAGCCGAAACAGCTTTTTTGGGGCCCGTTTCTTGTCATTTCATTATTGTACTTACCCTTTTATTCTGGTTAACATAGTATGCAAGACGAGGGGAGGGTTACATGTAAAGAATATTTATTATTGCGATACGACTGGGTCTGGAACGACGTGAAGTCTTTGGAATGTTTTTTTCGTTCACGAGTGAGTTATTTCTATATACTCATCCTATCTCATCTAACTGGAAGGATAAGTAGATCAAGTTTTAGTCTCATTAGGCGTAATTTCGCAGGGTAGTATGCTTGGAGAGAGACCCGAGAGAAGAGGTGGGGAAGAAGGGTGTGCGTGGATTTCTGTTGTAGCATCAAAGATATATATATCTATGCATTAGCTTCGCTCGGCCTCATCTAGGGAGAGATCGAGTGGGTGTTGAAGAATGAGAGTACTATATGCAGTATCGGTTGAATTGGTTCTACATCGGCAAGTGAACATTTATCGATCCAAATGCAAGATGACTACAGCTTTGCCCCTTCGTTCACTCCTTCTACATCCTCACCAGAATCAACTACGACCTTTCTCGCAAGGTCACCAAAAAGGTCTACGGAGGTAGAATATTGAGCTGCATTTGCTGAAGATGCTTGACGACGAGCTACGCGCGCGGCGATGCCTTGTGAGATGATACTTGTCTATAGGCGAAGGTTGAGATGAATGTAGAGATACATATTATGGGAGGAGCGAGACTGACTCTGAACAGCATCCAACTTTTTACAAACACGATATCTTTCAATGGATATTCGAGGTTCATGCATCTGCAATACTCTTTTTCCAACAAGTCTATTTGGACCGGAGCGCAGTTTTCCTCGCTCGTTCCAATATTAGTTGGTAAACCTTTGAACGCTCTAACGTTCTGTCGGAAAACGCCATCGGTGGGAAGATACTCTGGTTTAATACTCCACGGCTGAGTGAGATTGGCAAAATCTGCCAACGGACTTCCCAGTGTCGACAATTCCCAATCCAGAATCCCAATGACGACGTTCTGTGTTGGATGAAAAACTAAATTATCGAGTTTATAATCCCCATGAACGATCCTTCTTCCTATCCTGGACTCATCGGGTAAATGCGTCTGGAACCAACGTAACATTGATTCGTAAAAGGGAATCTGATGAACCTGCTCGTTTGTATCGATATCCCGCGTAGCACCTTGCACTTCTGCGATTTTGCTAAACGCACGGAGTTGGCGGGGGAAATAAGCTCCCGGAGGTCCATACTCACCTAACCCAATATCAGCTGGGTCGATAGACGAAAGAGCCGCAAGAGCGCGTATGGCGGCTATCCAACATTCTTCTCGGTCTTTCGGGCTAGGTAGTCCCAGTAACCTGGCGTCTTCAAAGATACGTCCGTCAAGGAATTGCATGACATAGAATGATGTGCCAATGACAGAGGTGTCGGTGCACAAAAGATACGGCTCTGGAACTGGAACACGTGAGTTTGAGGAAGTAGTTGGACGGAGATTGTATTGGTGTAAAGCGTGTAACACGGTGTATTCCCGCTCGACTTGGTGTGCCGTTTTAGAAAGAAGGGCGCCCGAGGGTTTTTTGCGCAGAACATAGCGTGTATTGTTAGCGTCTGTGAGGAAATACGTCGGATTTGATTGGCCAAACTGTGAAACGATGAGCAATCGAATTATTACTTGGTGGATGAAGTGTACACGCACTTTAAACTGCTTAACACCAAGTGGTAGCCTTACACCCTTCAAAGTCCTCTCTAGATACTTTTCTAGCGCGTCAACGTCGATAGAGGCTCGAATTTCTCCGTATCCGCTTCCACTTGTGCTCGCTTGAGGTTGATTATTCGAGTCATCTGAGGACATGGTGGTCAGATAGAGCGAGGGCTAGGGAAAGGGATGATCAAGTAAACACCCGGTTCCGGGACTGAATTTCCCGAGCGCTAATGTTAATGATAAGCAATAATTTCCACAGTCGATGTTGTTGTGCTTGCATTCCGATTGTGTATCACGGTCAAAAATAAGATTCCATGCAATCGTATTCTCGGGCCTAAAAGATATACTCTACTTGTTCATGAATGCCTCCACAGAGATTTCCTTCAACCCGTAAGAAGCCTTTCTCTTGTTCCAGTCTCTTCGACAATTCCTTGTCTGTTTTTAGTTCATCCACACAAAGTGTCCATGAAGCCAGGATGCCTCTTGGGACGCCGTCCAGACAGCGTAGTCTGGTAATGCCACTGACATATGTTAGCAAAGGGAATTTCCTCATGACGGTCAACTTCGTGAAACAGCCCCTTGGAGGACATATCCTATCATCCAGAGCGGACTTTATTCGGAAGGTGTTGCAATTTTTCAAGTGGGATGAGAGCAGTTCGAAGCCTATCCCGCCCCCACTACCTGTGACAGCTTGGCTGAAAGAAGTGGGAGGTGTATGGTGATGATTATTCACACTTCAACCCGGTTCTGGGTTTGAATATTGGTCTTCCTTCTCATCCTTTCATACCCTGTCGACGGTGTTGTCAAAGGTTTAACCAGGGTTCAACACGAAATTTCATGGAATTGGGCAAAGGCGAATTTTGCACTGGTACATGGTATGCTGATTCCAATATTCCTGCAAGTGCTCCGTCGTAACACTACGAATAATGACGGGGCTCAGGTGCAGTCAGGTAAACTTAAAGCTGTTAACAAGGGACTGTCGATATCAAGGGTGCCTACAAGTAGGTGCGCGCAATCCACGAATCCCTCACTGTGATTATTTTACTTTTGAAAGGACATGTTCACGTTGAACCATATTTAATCCTCTAAAGCTCTAACGCTTAGGTTTGACTTCGGTCAGTATCAGCATTCCAACAAACGGAGTACTAGTTCCCTCCTGTGGCCTAATCAGCAATTTTTCAAGGTCACTCAACAAAGTCTAGCCTTTTTTTTATGGTTACCCCGTACGATCGATCATCAGCGGCTGCGTGAGGCTTTCCATCGCATCCATATAAATGGTCCATAGGATCAAGAGACGGAGAGTGGCCGGAGGGAGCGGAACAAAGGAACAATATTGTAACTAGACGTATAGGCACAGATAGGCACTAAGCTATGTATAGCTCCATGGATAATGGAATCGCCAACGCATTTTGGTTGCTTACAATCAGACTTACATAGCCCTTCAAAGCTCCAGTACCTGGGTTCGAGAAAATTCTGGTGCTGAGAACGTTTAAACTAAACGATGATGCAGGGTGAGGAGTGGCAAGGAGTGGCAGGGAGTGGCAGAGAGTGGCTAAGGCCTGCTAAAGCTAGGAATGATCGTGACCTGGTATTGTTCTGGTATCAAGTATTATGTAATTCATCAACTCTATCAAGGCTATTATTGGCTCAGATCAGCTCAGATCCTTAGGATGATTCGTGTCAAGGTGCCCATCCGAGTCAAGGGAGGTCAAGGGCTGTCAGGGGCTGTTAGGGGAGCGAAAAAGGGTATAGAAGGATCATGGAATTGTAGAACATTTTCCCTCAGGCTGGCCCTCTTACCCACATCGACGACGACAACTCACATCGTAACTTTTCTTACTTTGACACATACACCACCACCAATAACTTTGACGACGATACTATGAGGTTCCTCACTCTCGCCGGCTTCTTCCTCCTGCTTGTAGCCGGAACCATGACGTCCGCCGACGCCGCCCCAGCGGCTCAGCAAGCTTGCGGGCCCACACGCCCGATTGGTAGTCCATGCTCGATCAAGCTTGATGGGCAGCATTATGTCCCTGGAAGTCAGTCATTTAGTTTTGTCTTCCTTCACCGCAGATGTCCCAGAATATTGATATATGTTATTCTGCTTCCTCTCTTCATTATTCTATGTTATGCCTGATAGCTTGTCAGAGAAAGTCAGGGTTCTCATTTTACCGCCGCACGACGTGTATGCCCAACTCGATATCCACTGGCGCTGGTGCAGGGTATGGAACGTATGGGTGAGTGTACGAACTTGCTTCAAGTTCTCCAGTTGCTTTCGTTGTCGGTTTCACTGATATGTATCAATCTCTTTTTCGCGTCGGAAGAACAAGCTAAGCTCCAGAGTAATTTCAACTGCAGAGCAGTGTGGTGTATGTTTCTTCACGCTTTTGCGCACCGTTGCTCCTTCTTCGAGACATTTACGATTTAGAGAGCTGAAATTCTGTTTTATGCGACTAGTTCTTGTGTGTTGTTAAATTGTATTTGGTTCCTCAAAATGTTGATAGATTCGACTTTTTGTGTGCTCTTAAGCCTAGCGTTAGGCCAACTCGGAAGACGACACACTGCACAAAAGGAATACTGTGGTCATTAACAGTGAGAGGGAGGATCTATATCACGGGTCAATGAGACAAAACTGAAGCACGTTAGAGCTCTCACTAGAAAAATTCAGGCGAAGATGAGATTCCAATGTCTTGGAAAAGTACGCGCACATACTGTTTGAAAATCTTGAAACTTGAGTCCTTTGCAAAAATGTTTCGTCGTATTCCCGACCTTGGCGAAGAAAAGGACGCGGAAAGAGTCGGGGAGAGCGCTTTGTTAGGCATTTGGAGCGAAGAGTTGAAGGTAGTGGTGGTGGTAGTGTTGAAGGAGGAGCCGAATAAACCCATGTCTGTATTCACGCATCCATTTCCCAGTTCAAGTTTTCCAGAGTTCTTCTTGAACAGCCTTGGCCTTGATTTCAATACGGTTCGTCGACAGACTTGCCACTTCAATATTTATTTCCAGGACGTTTCAGGATCCACAACTCCGATTTTGAATTTGTTGACCATACCCGGTGAACACTTCGGGATGAACATCAACTCGAATGCACTGTGATCGCAAGTGGCATATGTGAAATTCAAGAATTACCAAGCCTTCAGGAATTTGCGAAGTACCTTCAAACATTTCCCCCCTCCTCCTTTACTCACTTTACTCACAAAATAGTTCCTCCTGCATGTAAGCGCTCTTAATCTAACCTGTGCGTGCGTGTGCACATTGAGACTCCGGTCCCCGTTTTCGAATGGAGCGGCGCGTTCATGTCTCTATGCCCTTCCCGCATACACTCACAAACCTCCGAATCCTGACGTCCTCCAGTCAGAGTTCTGTCAGAGTTTTGAATGCTCAATGGAATGATCTATTTATTCACTTATGCTGATCTCGGACAAAGTAGACCAAGGCAAAGTTAAAGCCCTCACCGCGGCTTATACCACTGGAACATAGCGTGTATTGTTAGCGTCTGTGAGAAAATACGTTGGATTTGATTGGCCAAACTGTGAAACGATAAGTTATCGAATGATTACTTGGTGGATGAAGTGTACGCGCACTTTAAACTGCTGAACACCAAGTGGTAGCCTTACACCCTTCAAAGTCCTCTCTAGATACTTCTCTAGCGCGTCAACGTCAATAGAGGCTCGATATTTCATGCCATCTCGACATCCCCATGCGTTCTCTCCTTTGGTACACCCCTCACGACAGAATTGACTAGTTCACGTCGGACCTCGGCACTGATTTGTGGGTGTGATGTTGCTCGTATAACATCAAGTAAGGCATCCTTCTGGTCAGGAGTCAGATCGGAGGCGTATCTAAGACAATGAATTTAATGAAAAGGTTCACATATGTAGATAGATAGATATTCACCGTTGCACGAAAGCGAGTAGACTCTGATGCCAAAGCACTGGAAGATGCTCGGATTCGTGACGACTGCGTGGTTTGTAGGTGTTGGAAAGCCGGATGAAATGAAAAACGAGGGCGTCGACAACTTTGAAAGGGAGTTCGAACTTTTTGTCGATCAGAACCCGAATGAAAAGGGAGTTGGGACCTGTGATAGTTGTAGATGAGAGAGAAGAAAACGAACAAGTATGATTTAAGCACCTGTATAATCCATTTCCGCGATGTGCAACAACGCGGCAGAGGCATGGAGAACAGGTATTTTCACTTTAGCCAGGATGGATGCCATGATAGCAGCTTCCCTTAAGGTACACCCTTGCTGAAATAGTATGAGCTGTAGATACTTCTCATAACGCGAGCACGTACGTTGAGCATGGGGAAGAGAATACCCTTAAAGAACGCGCTGGGCTTATACAGAGCCCTCTTCAAAGCCTCGTAATATTGGACATTCAGTTTCTTATTCTCTCGGATATCTTCGCGTACTGCTTCTAAAAGAACTACACTGAGGAAAAGTTGGGCCTGAGCTGGCTTCGTGGTTGAGATAAATATCCGAGTCGCAGCACGGCATGCATGAGGCGACCAGTTTTCAGGTTCGGTGAGTGCGAGGATACGTGCCCATGCGGGAAAAGTAGGGATAACTTTGAACGGTTTGGGAAGAGATCCTGACTTATACTTGCTGAGGTATAGGCCTAATCTGAAATTAGATTAGCTGCACGACATCAGGAATGAGCTGCGCATATGTACTTTGTGTACATTTCAACCACCATCGGGTCAAGTCCTAATGCTGGATCCGGTTTTGAAGGGTCTATGGGGCTCGAATAAAAGGGAACGTAGTGCATGAGAAGCGATATCCCTTCACCTTTCTGTTGCACTTTCTGAATGGCACCGACATTTTCATCGAGCTTTGAGAATATAATGTCGGCCAGAGTTCTTCGTTCACCAATGTCATGAGGTAGCAATGCATCTAGGGTTTCCATGTCGTCTGGATCGATTTCCTAAGGAAGCATTATCCATACTGCTCATGAATAAAACGGAATTCATAACTCACAAATATCTCTTCCATTTCTTCTCTCATATCGCTGTCGCTTCCGTCGTCCTCATCCTCATCATCGTCTACAGCGTTTACAATTTTAGCCATCCGTTCCTGCGGCGCATCTTCTACAATTTCTTCGTCCAACGCATCCAACTCGTCTTGCTGGGTTTTTGCCAATTCGAAAATGCGTCTCGAGGTTTTCGAGTCAAGTGCAACCTTGAACAAAGGAATGAAATTATGAGATGATAGGCGAAGCCTCAAAATTGAAATCTCGACTTCTACGTTTTCATCGTCTTCTGGAAACTTTTTAGATGGTTTTTGGCGCCTTCCAGGCTCAGATATACGACCATATCTCGCTTCACGTTCATCGTCGTCCAGCTGAGCGAGTAATGGATTGTGGCGAGATTTTATTGGGAATTTCGTAGTACGAGGCATGACGAAATTGAAGCTTGAAGTTTGTCACGGCATCTCGTCTACCAGTATCTACGAATTTTTCTCACGATAAAACCGGTACTCGAATATTCATCAAAGATAGCAGGGGACACAAATCTTGCTTGAGGTGTTCTGGTAAGTCACGTGCAAATTGCACCTCTCTGCAGTGAAGCTCAATACATAACAGATACATATATTATCGAAGCTGTTGTAAAATAATACAGCCTGACTACAAGGAGTTGAATTGAAATGAACATACATAAACAATAAAAACAGACAACTGTATGTGGCCTTCGGTCTTTGGCCAACCCGGTGGTCCTAGCCACCTTGGAAGGCCCCGCTTTTGTATTTGGTGCACTTGAATGCTGTTTACCATTGGCATTAACTGACTCTGCTCGCAAGCAGAAAGTCATCAATGTACAATCACATATATCAGCTACACATACCTTTCGACAGATGTTCCTCCTCCCCAAATGTGAAAGAAGCAACCTTCGCAACTGTGGCTGTTGTACCTGCCGTAGGCTTCAACCCATTACCGAGGAACTCAGAGCCCTGTTGCATGGCCGAATCAGTGGGGATAGTGTGGAACAGGTTCAACATCAAGTAGCTGGAAACAGGTCAAGCAGAGTAAAGGGGTGGTTGCGGGTGCAGCACAAAGTAAAGGCTAACAGTGCAACGTCGCACATGGAATCTGAGACAAAACAGAGGAAAAAACTCTGTGTGTAAACAATATGTTGAAATGTCAGTCAGCAACTTGTGATAAGGACATGGAAGTGGCAAAATAAGATAAGTATTCACTCCACCAAGCTCACTGGGAATGAAAAGAGCATTGACGGGTGCTATTAACTAATGAATGAGGTTTTGCCTGGAGCGCAGCCCCGCTTGGGTGGGAAAACACACAAAACGCGGTTTGGCTGAGCCTGGAGCGTCTTTGTCAGAAGACTGGACACTTGAGTGAAAGAGGGAAGGGAGGGTAAGATCACAAAACGAGCTTGAGTGAGTTTCGACGATGAGAGCATAGTTCAAAAGCAATAAGCACCCACTCTCATTGCCACATCTTATCTTATCCTCTGAGAAGACAGCTCTGCTGCCTTCTCTTAGAGTAAGAACAGGGCAGTAGAAAAGCTGGATTTGTTATTTGATGTGAGTATGGGCAGCCCCACCAAAGTTTCTGTGTGCTGACTAAGTGGGCGCTTAGTCTTTGGTTCCAAAATCATTTGTGCTGAACCTTTGCCTCCACATTCATTCACTTCATGAGGGATCGGAATTCATTAGAGTACTAATTATGCATCTAGTGTATATAAAAATGCCCTGAGTCAATATGAATCCATTGTTTTCCTTGTCATTATCAGCATTGGAAGTATTTCCGGGAGGGTCTTAGTCAGGATCATGCTTAGACTGCCTTGCAAGTCTAGCAGCAGCAGTTCTCCTGATGATCCTTTTTCGAAGAACATTTGTGCTTTCCTGGACCTTATGTCGTGACGAGGCAGGAAGCGGGAGGCGGGAGGTCTGGATATGCCTAGGAGCAACGGTGGCAGAGCGAAGAGGCACAGAAACAAGCACAAAGCACAGATGAAAGAAATAATGATTTCAAACAACAGTGGGATAGCGTCAGAGGCCAATCACACCAGTAATCAAAAGGGAATCTAGTTGCCCAATGACCAAGTTAGATAGGTAGTATCTAAAAGGATACAAGTACTTGCCTAGTTGCCCAATGACTAAGAGGTCGAGATGGGGAACTAGGGTCTGTCTACTGTCCTTTATATACTACTCTTGTCTAATGAGTAAGCGATTGGAAATAACGATGCGATATAGAACAAGAGTGAGGAATCAATATATACGAGTAATAATGAGTCGATAATGAACCATAATAAACTAATCGATGAATAAGGATGAGTTGTATGGAAGCGTATGGAAACAAATGGAACTAATGGGATGATTGTGTGATAAAGTACAATAAACATGTGAAAAGAGATTGATGGGAACACACCGCTGATGGTGCATCGAAGGGCGCATCATGAGACTTCATGACACCTTACACTAGGACAATGGTCAGCCACATTAGGCATACACAGGTTTTTGTATCTTGGGTAACATGTCAAAGCAATAGGGATGCGACAAGAAGACTTTGCTTAGTAGAAATACAGATTATATAAGATTAAACTCATTCTGGGGGGGGGAGGCTCAGAATGGTGGTTCACGCTATGGGATCTTTCTAAAAACCATCAGGATTAGTGTATCTCACATAGATGATTCATATTAACAGAAAACATTCAGACATTTTGGGTATCTTTGAGATGATACATGTAAGAATATCTAGTATTCATTGGAAATTATGAGATGTTTTCTGTCAACATCAATGTAATCTACAATCTAAACCATCTGAGCATCATGAATTAGGGTATTGTGTATTCTAATATCTCAAACAACAGTGCAAAAGATTTGCTTAACAGGTGCCATGCCGATCTATGCAAAAATTTTGTTCTCACAGCCCAAGTGGCAGGGAGTTGCCCATACTTATTTGATATGAAGGTGGTTGGTGGTGTTCAGCAGGTACAAAGGTGGCTTGCGCCCTGGCATGAATATCTGTCAACTGATTTCAGCCATACGTCATAGACTAAACTTGTTAAGATCATGTACACCGTGTAACCGTGCCAAAGCCACAAGGTGCCTAAGTGCGGAAGACGAATGGGACAGTAGTGAAGTTATTAACAACACTGCCGTTACGCCGTTAGTCCCCGGAGATCGAGAGTAGAGAAGGGAGGAACTGAGGAGCAGCCAAGTCAGAGCGGACCAGAGAACGTTCAAGTCCTAAGGTCGAGTGGAACGTACTTCAAGGCGTTGAGCCTGAAGACTTAGAGAAGAGTTAAGTTGGGAAGGGAGATCTAAGTTGATAATTAAACTGAGGAACTACAGTAGCGTACAGGCAGTATTTATATCTACGGAACGGCGCAGTGGAGCGGAGCGCCAGACTAACTACTAGGAGCTATACGAGTAGTACCTGCAGGGTAAAGTAAAAGACAATAAGGAGGAACTAGAACGAAAGGGTATGTGTAGCAAGAAAGAACAATAAGAGTGAGATTACAATAAAGAGCAGATCTTCAGAGTACCGAGCGGCAGAATGGAGGCCCGCGGCATGGACTTGACAGAACTTGTGGTAGATACATAAAGGAGGCAGAGTGGGAACAGGACAAGGAACAGCTGGAGTTGTTATTTGAACAGGAAGTGAATACCTGCTGACCTACCTGAGCATGCTGCACACAACAGTGGAGGGACACTGGTATGGTGACAAGACCGTGCCTACAGGTCAATAACTATAGAGGTTCTGAGGTCGGATATGGGCCGGATATGGCCCGGGATAACTCCGAGGTCCGGAGCTGAGTATTGGCCTGTAGTGCACACTGGGAGTGGGACATCGGTGAAGCTATTAGCAACACCCTTCACATACTGTTGTGTCCCCGGGAATATAATGGCAAGGATATAATGTCAAGATGAGCAGCCTAGATGGGTTCCTATGATCCGGGAGTCCGGAAGCAAAGGGTAAAGAAGATATTAAAGACTGGGATAAGATGGTACACTTGATTTCAAGCTTGACTACAACGTACAAAGTATTCTAGCTTATATACATCCCAAATACAGTCAGAAGACCTCGATGAAAGCTCGGAACAATAAATAAATACAATGATGGTCACAAGGTTATTAATCCGAAGTCCGGCCAGGAAGTGTATGGGTGAATTGCATGCATATGACATATGGTAGACATGTGGTTAAACAGGACAAAAATGACAGGTTAGAATTAGAAACAAGCGCCGAAACCATGGGTAAAATTTCCGCAGCACTAATAATATCAAGTAACAAATGACCTTTGCAAGCAAGGTGAGATCAGTCCTTTGCCACCCGTCTTTACCAAGCGCCCGTGCATTTTTTTCACACATTAAGCGCTTTCAGATCTTTACAATTCTGTATTTTCTATACCGTTCATAAGGAATCCCTTTTCGTCAGTCACTACTGTCTCTACAACATGGTTTATGATTTAAACGTCAATATACTTGCTCCATATTCCATGCTTGTTTCTCCATGTTTGGTCATCTATTCCAATGATCTCCAGCTCCGGACATAAAGCTTTAAAGTCTTCAATGTTCTGATCATGAAGTGACTGTGATTAATGGGGCTCTCAAATGGGCCGTCAGCTGTTACGAATAATGCCCAAAGTGGTGAGTTAAAATCCAGCATTTCCTCCAAGTTCTTTAATACTTCTTCCTTCTGTAACTTAGTACTGTATCATTTTCAAATTTGTTGTAAAATACTCACTGTTTCATTCACATCATTGCAGAACTGTACTTCCAGCTTACATAGATGCTTCCTTACTGAGAGTAGCTTGCACAACATGTTTGTATCTGCAATAAACACATTCACCTTCAGGTTGATAACGTCATTGACTTGAATCATTACTTCATCCACTTCATCTGCTAACAAGCCTTCATTTGTTAACATTAATGTCTTCAGCCTCGGGAGTCCACAATTTATTTTCAGTAACTGAGTTGGGCCCTCATATTTCAATAGCGTGTCGGAAAATGGGTGTTTCAGTGTATTGTCCTCCCTGAATGGTGACAACATACCTTCCACATGCAACTCTGTTAAATGTTCGAACATCCCTAGAACCGCAATAAACCTTTGTTCCACAAATGTCGGTCACTGAGCACTGTTACCAATCTGCAAGAGGCGTCCGACCACCCCTCCCATCCTTCCCTTTCTTCACATCCCTCATTACCCCACACAATGACCAGTGCTTGCAGCAAATTGCATGCTATAAACATTTTTCCTTCTCCATTACCTGCAGACCATGTGGTGTTGGTGTAAGACCTGGGTCAGAATAGGTCTTAGGGTAGGTTTTGGTATATGAAGGTTTATGTTGTAGCGTGCTAGGAGCAGGCTGGAGCTCGAAGGGAGCTACGGGAACCACGACCGAGGACGGGAATGACCTAGTAGTGGCTGGAAGACGGGATGATGACCCTTGAGGGTGTTCCTAGGAGGTCCAGGGAGGTCCCTAAGGCATAGGGAGGTTAAGTAAGAGTGCGGGACCATACGATATTGCGTAGTAGGAGTTGTACTCACGCGAACATCAATATAGGATCGAGTAGGTTGTAGATGTGAATGGGTCTCAAGAGTGTAAGCTCCCGAGAAGGTATATGCCAGGGAGGGTAGGTCCCTGGGAACTGGGCTTAAGGATGGGCATCCTCGAGTGTGGGAGGTGGTAACAATGTGAGGGGTAGCTTCGACATTACTTAGATAGAGGTCCCGAAGCTTACGAAGTAGCTAGGGAGCTCTGGGAGGTTTGGGGAAGGGTAGCTCACCAAAGCGTTTAGGCGTTGGGGAGCTTTAGTAATGTTCGAGGGAGCTCGGAGACTCACTCGGATGGCTTGGACTTGAAGTAAAAGTGTATATTTGATTGTATAGACGATCAGAGAGACAGTAGACAAGAGTAAAGAGAAACAGAGGTAGAGAAACAGAGAGTAAAGAGAAATCTGTATGGTTAGCAGGTACAAAGGGACAGGGACTGGACCTATGCAAAAGGGTGTGTGTTCAAAATATACCAAGCTGGGGCTTGGGGACGTGTCAGAGCTACTTAAATAGGTACGGGAAGTGGACAAGGGAACATCAGGGGATCTAGTGAACATGAGGCGGTAATCGAGATTGATACTTAATGGAGTTTCTGTAGGGGGTCCTGTATGCGCGCCGGGGAATGTACGTGTGTTGGGGAAGTCATCAGGTGCTCGGGTAACGGATCTGTCTTGGGGGTTTACGACATGCGGGAGCTCCTGGTTGGTGCTGAGACGGATCTGGTGGCGGTCGGGGTATGATAGTGTGTCGGTGAAGGACGTTTGGGTAGGTATATGGTGATACTTGTGTGGGGAAGGTGCAGGATGGAGGTGCATGATGGTACTTGGGGAGGTGACTTGGGAGGTGTAGGGGAAGTGCAGGAGGTGGATAGAGTGGTGACAACGTGTGGCGGGTACTGGGGTTGGTCTGGTTGTAGGCAGGGCATGACAGTTGGCCAGCCGCAGGTGTTCAATATTAAGTCTTCCCAAATCCACGTCCGGTCCTGTGTTGATGATGTCAACCCGTTCCAGTGACAATGTATGCAAGTCTGTTACCTTCGTAATTAATGTGAGTAACTCTGCCCCCATGACTCTGTTGGTTATGATCAGTTTCTCAATATTCACTATGCATGTGACATAGTGCGAGAACTTCAACGACTTCAAAATATTGAGCACCCCCTGCCAATTTGCATTGTTGTCTTCGCTCCTTTGACCTGCCATGCCCAGGTGTACCATTTTTATTAGTGGGTACACTCTTCCACCTGCATCAGCCCATGCTTCACCTGCATCGGTCAATGATTGAACATCTTGGAACTGTTGTGATTGGAATCTGAGGCATTCGTAAGCAGGTGCTTGCAACGTTGTACTGACTTGTGCGAGTGCTTTTAATGAGAAGCCTCCAAATCTGTAAATGCATAGCCATATCTCAATGGGAATTTGATTTAACATGGCCTGTTGGTTTTGTAAAAATGTTCTATGATGATCTCTTCACGTTCCCTGTGCTGCGCAGTTTTTCTCTTGAAGAACCAAGTTATCAGTACATTCATGTCTCCTGATTTTTGCAATGCCATCCGAACCTCGAATCTTTGCATCTCCAGTATAATGTATTCAACTTAAATCCCATTCCTGACCTAAACCTAGAAAAATCACCGGAACAACTTCATCATTTTGAAGGATCGTTAGCAAATGTAAATTGTCATGAAGTCTCATGATGCACCCTTTGATGCGCCATCAGCGCGGTGTGTTCCCATCAATCTGTTTTCACATGTTTATTGTACTTCATCACACGATCATCCCATTAGTTCCATTTGTTTCCGTACGCTTCCATACAACTCATCCTTATTCATCGATTAGTTCATTATGGTTCATTATCGACTCATTATTACTCGTATATATTGATTCCTCACTCTTGTTCTATATCGCATCGTTATTTACAATCGCTTACTCAGTAGACAAGAGTAGTATATAAAGGACAGTAGACAGGCCCTAGTTCCCCATCTCGACCTCTTGGTCATTGGGCAACTAGGCAAGTACTTGTATCCTTTTAGATACTACCTATCTAACTTGGTCATTGGGCAACTAGATTCCCTTTTGATTGCTGGTGTGATTGGCCTTTGACGCTATCCCACTGTTGTTCGAGATCATTATTTCTTTCATCTGTGCTTTGTGCTTGTTTCTGTGCCTCTTTGCTCTGCCACTGTCGCTCCTAGGCATATCTGGACCTCCCGCCTCCCGCTTCCTGCCTCGTCGCGACATAAATGCATTCATTGAACACTGGAAAAACAACCTCATTTCACTCACTATTGTGGGTGGACCAAGCAGCGGGCATTCAGTGCATTGTTTTGCAGATAATATGCTGAAATTAGAACTACAGGAGGAAGGTGGTTACATTGGTAGCATTATCCATTGTTATCTTGAAAACTGCACAACCATCAAGGACCTGGCCATTGACTTTAGGAGCTCGATTACTATTCCAGTACGTCACCCATTCCTCCGCTAAGGAATGAGCTGAATTCACCAATAGGACGTCTGGAACAAAGATATTTTGTGCTGCTTGGTATTACTGAACCTTACACTGCTTGTAATATGAATTGCAAGGGACGATGAACATTACAAGAGGGCTGTTTTCACTGATGCAATTCGCACTCCCTGTTAAGATCATGTACACCGTATAACCATGCCAGAGGCCACAGGGTGTCTAAGGGCAGAGGGTTGAATGGGACAGTAGTGAAGTTATTAACAACACCGCCGTTACGCTGCTAGTCCCCGGAGATTGAGAGTAGAGAAGAAGAAAACCAGAAGCAGCCAAGTCGGAGCAGCGGTAATGCCAATGACAATGATATGACCCATTTTTATTTGAGTCTATAATGCAGTAATTATGCATTTTCAACTGTAAAGTACTATCAGTGATACTGAGATTGGACAGTACATTGTATTCAGAGAAATTACACAGATCTACACAGTGATTGCATCTGAATGACACTTAAGTGGGTCTTCATAGCATAATACAGTTGTATTTCCAAGTAACAAAGCTCTAATACTAAACCCACACTTGTGTTTGACTTGGACTATGACAATATCTGCAGAATTAAAGTGTTCCGAGCTTCACCTTTGTATAGCATTTCAATAGAGCTGAATGATAAGATTGAAAGATAACAATATTCTGGACCTCTGGAGTTAATTCCGAGAATATCAGGATTGATTTAGCATATGTCCCTCATCCGGAAAGCCTTCCGAGGTACAGCATGATTTCCATCAAAGGTAGCACATGGTACAACAGGTCCACATGCTACTCCGAGATGCAGCATGATTTCCATCAAAATCAGCACATGCTACAAGAATTCCACATGCTACAATGATTGATATCAGTTGTCAAGGGTTGTTTTGAGGATATATAAGGAGGGTGCTGACCTCTGAATGAGAACAAGCACTTTCCCCCCCACTTCTGAGAGGATTTGGTTGGTTGGTTAGTAGCTTCTGGCTATAGTGACAAGTGCACTTTAAACAAAGATGATACAGTGTTAACTTTCACTTTAAACAAGTTAGAGTTTAAGAAAGACAGAAAGAAAGAAAGTTCAAAGTCACAGATTACCATTATGCTTCAGAGTTAATAGCAGTCAGAGTGCTGTGAGTAGTGCACACTCTTTCTGTGGATTGTACTTGTAGTGTATAATACAAATCAGAGGTTTTGTTCAGTTCAGATAAAGTCAAAGAAAGATTTAGCATGCCCGAGTTTGATAGAATCTCAAGAAGAAAAACTATTCAACCTATACATTATACCCACATGATGTAGATATTTGTAGAGTTGCAGTGTTATCTTGCTTTTTCAATAATAAACCCCCTTGAACTTAGTGTTTGATGATGGTTTGTGTTGGTGTTGGTGTGAGTGTTAAAGCTTGCATTAGCATTTTATGCATAGCCCAGAGTCAGCATATCAACGAGGAGCAAACCAAAGAACTTATAAGTCCTAAGGATAGAGTAGAGAGTATTTCAAGGCAACGAGCCTAAAGACTAAGTTGTAGAGGAGAATTTAAGTTGATAATTAAACTGAGGAACTACAGTATCGTACAGGCAGTATTTATATCTATGGATCGGCACATCGGGGCAGAGTGCCAGACTAACTACTAGGAGCTATACGAGTAGTACCTGCAGGGTAGAGAAAAAGACAATAAGGAGAGACTAGAATGAATGGGTATGTGTAGCAAGAAAGAACAATAAGAATGAGATTACAATAAATGGTAGATCTCGGTATACCAAGTGGCAGAATGGGGCACCGAGGCATGGACTTGACAGTATCCCCCTCTTAGGCTTGAGCCCTTGAAAGCCAATAAGACCAAAATTGATTCCATCACTAATTATTAGTCAAGGAAAAATTTCCTGTCACCGTAAACCGAACACAATTTGAAGGAAAATTTTAGCTAGTCTGTGCACTGTTTTTCTCCTATAAAAAGGGCTAGGGTTTTACCGCTGTGGGCCTAACTTTTCCTTGAAATTTTCTAAGTCCAAAATGTCCGCCAGCCGAAATATTACCACAACCACCAACACTCGCTCCTGTCCCACCACTGGACCCTCTAACCCGCCCCCAACTCCGCCCACCCCCAGGACCGCCGGTGGTGATGATGATGACCAAGATGAGGAGGAAATAATGAGGAGGGCTTTAGCAAGGGTGCAGAGGGTAAAGGAGAGGAAGGCGGAGGCCGCAGCAAAGAAGAAAAGGGTGGAAGAAGAAGCCGCGAGGAAAGTGGCCGAGGAGGAGAGGAAGAAGGACATCGGAACATCGGACATCTTGTATTCTTATTGCTTCCTTGTTGCCTCTTTATTTTTTGAGTTTTTTGTATATAAAAATATTATTGCGTCTTTGAAACTGAAAGCAAACGGGCCGCGGGGCAGCGGAAGAAATAATTAGTTTGAAGTAGTAGTTTAAGTGTAAGTGAAAAATAAGTAAATGAACCAAGTTAATCAGTAATGAAAAGTGAAAATGAACAATATGAGGAAGAGGATAAACACTCAATTTGCTATCATTGTGTTTACCCTCTTGACGCAGTGAAGTGAACTTCAGCAGAGAACGGAGTTTTGGGAAAAGGAATGAAATGTTTTTTGTGATTAAGGTCCAGGTTTTTGAGGGTATCCAGTATGGAAAGCAAGTACCATTCATCAGCAGCAACCCAGGAGAATTAATCATCGGTACCTTTGTAACCGGCCCACCGGATATAGTAGCATAAAGGGCAACACTTATACCTTCTATCCAGCTTGAAGTGAAGGATTTCGGCAACGTTGTACTCCTTTTTACCATCAACTTCGATTGGAGGTGGAGGAGATTGAGTTTGATTTGGGAATGGGTTCAGCGTAACTGGCTCCAGTTGTGAGACATGGAAGACCGGGTGAATCTGGCAAAGATAATCCGGGAGCTTGAGCTCATAAGATAAAGTACCAGGTCAACTGATGACCTTGAAAGGACCAAGATATTTTTCAGAGAATTTTTCAGTACGACAAGTAGATTGAATGTGCTTAGCAAGAACAAATACTTCGGAGCCGATCAGGAACTCCAGGTGCAAGATTCTTTTCCTGTCAGCTTGTTCCTTGTAATTGAGCTAGAAGGATTTCCTCTCGAAGAAAGACGTGGAGTTCATCGAGGTTAACGATGAAGTCTCTCGCTAGATCAGACTTCATGTCGACCTTGGGCCGAACGGTGTTGTTAGGATGGTATCCTTTGTTAGCAAAGAATGGAGTAATACCAGTGGAAGCATTAGGAGCATTGTTATAGGTGAATTCAGCGATCGGAAGTAAGTGCGACCAGTCATCCTGTTGGTAGGAGCAATAGATCCTGATGTACTGCT